CCCCCTCCCTCCTCCACATTCTCCCCTCCCTCCCCCGCACCACCTACATCCAAACCATAACCACCACTCTCATCCCCACCATCCGCACCCTCCACCAGCACTCCAAAATCCACACCATCATCTCCCTTGGCGGAAGCTGCGGCACCGCCATCGCCACAACACTCATGCGGGAGGCCCTCCCCATCGGATTTCCCAAGGTGATGGTCTCCACTATGGCGTCGGGGGATGTACAGCCGTATGTTCAGGAGACGGATATCACCATGATGTATAGTGTTGTGGATGTGGCGGGGATGAATGGGATTTTGGAGAGGGTGTTGAGGAATGCGGCGGCGGCGGGGGAGGGGATGGCGAGGGCTTACTTTCAGGGTTGTGTCGAGGGGGGAGAAGAGGGGGATGGGGATGCCGATGGGGGAGAGGGAGGTGGAGGAGGGAAGAAAAGGATCGGGATTACGATGTTTGGAGTGACCACGCCGGGCGTTACGAGGATTCGGGAGTTTCTTGAGGATCATTACCGAGGACAGTCCAACGAAGAATCAGCAGCAGCAGCAGCAGCATCAGGAGGGGATGGATGTGAAGTCTACGTCTTCCACGCGACCGGAGCAGGCGGAAAAGCCATGGAGCGATTAATCCGGGAAACCCATCTGGATGCGGTGGTGGATTTGACCACGTCTGAGATCGTGGATGAGATCGTGGGCGGGGTGTTAAGCGCTGGGTCGACACGACTCTCCGCGGCTGCAGAGAAAGGTATCCCGCAGGTCGTCAGTCTGGGAGCGTGCGATATGATCAATTTTGGGACCCCCGAGACGGTCCCGGAGCGGTTTGCGGGGAGGCGTATCTATGAGCATAATCCGACGGTTACTATTGTGCGGACGGATGAGGAGGAGAGTCGCAGGGTGGGCAGGTTTATTGCGGACAAGTTGAAGCAGGCGATACGGCCAGACAAGGTGGTGGTGTTGATACCGGAAGGGGGCCTGAGTATGATGGACGTGCCGGGGCAGCAGTTTCATGATCCCCAGGCGAATGAGGCCCTCTTTGACACCCTGGAGAAAGAGTTGCAGAATACTGGAATTACGGTCACTCGACACCCCCGCGATGTCAATCATCCCGAGTTTGCACAGGCCGTAGGAACCACCTTGATTAAACTATTGGATGGTTCATAGTATTACAAGACAGACAAAGATTCAATCAATTAACCTATGTAGTGGTATCATCCGCACTGTTGAATGCAATACTCCACCCTGTATCCAGAAACCAGCGACTTTTATTTGCCGTTGAAGACAATGCTTTTGAGCCCCATGTTGATAAAGAACCCTTTATGTCGTCGTAACATCGTGAATGTTGAAGCTAGGTCAGGTCTTAAGTAGTTTAGTAGCGGTAGTGGTCGGCCTTGAAAGGTCCAGTCACCTCCAGACCCAGGTACTCGGCCTGGACCGGGGTGAGCTTGGACAGCTTGCCGTTGACGTGCTCCAGGTGGAGCAGAGCAACCTGCTCATCCAGCACCTTGGGGAGCACGTACACACCCACGGGCTTCTTGCCCGAGGTGCCGAACTCGACGTACTTCTGGCCAAAGGCAACGTCCTCGGCCTTGAACAGAGCAATCTGAGCCAGGACCTGGTTGGAGAAAGAGCAGGACATGACGAAGGAAGAGTGGCCAGTGGCACAGCCAAGGTTGACCAGACGACCCTCGGCCAACAGGATGATGTGACGGCCGTTGGCCATGGTGTAGCGGTCAACCTGGGGCTTGATGTTCTGGACCGACTTGGCGTTGGCCTTGAGCCAGGCAACGTCGATCTCAATGTCAAAGTGACCGATGTCTGATTCGTTAGCAACAGATACAGAGAGGGAAAGGGGGGAAGCATACTGCAAACAATGGCGTCGTTGCGCATCACTTCAAAGTGCTTGCCAACGAGAATGTCACGGCAACCGGTGGTGGTGACAAAGATCTGACCCTGGGGAGCAGCCTCCTCCATGGTGGTGACCTCGTAACCCTGGACAGCAGCCTGGAGGGCGTTGATGGGGTCAATCTCGGTGACCAGGACGCGGGCACCCATGCTGCGCAGGGCATCGGCACATCCCTTACCGACATCACCGTAACCGGCAACGACGGCAACCTTACCGGCAATCATGACATCGGTGGCGCGCTTGATACCGTCAATGAGGGACTCACGGCAACCGTACAGGTTGTCGAACTTGGACTTGGTGACCGAGTCGTTGACGTTGATGGCGGGGACGAGGAGCTTGCCCTCCTTGAGCATGCGGTACAGGTGGTGAACACCGGTGGTGGTCTCCTCGGACAGACCGTAGCAACCCTGGAGCTGCTCGGGGTACTTCTGGTGAACGAGGGAGGTCAAGTCACCACCGTCATCGAGGATGAGGTTGAGCTTCTTGCCATCCTTGAAGGAGTTGAGCTGCTGCTCCAAGCACCAGTTGTACTCCTCCTCAGTCTCACCCTTCCAGGCGAAGCTAGACCCGTTAGCGAGGCCGTGGCAGCAGCGGTAGCGAACTTACACAGGGACACCGGCGGCGGCAATGGCGGCAGCGGCGTGGTCCTGGGTGGAGAAGATGTTGCAGCTGGTCCAGGTGACCTCGGCACCAAGAGCAACGAGGGTCTCGATGAGGACAGCAGTCTGGATGGCTAGAAGAATTAGATGGAGTCAACGATACCGAATAGGAGACATACTCATGTGCAGGCAACCGGCAATGCGGGCACCGTTCAGAGGCTGATCAGCAGCGTATCTGCGGCGGATGGCCATGAGACCGGGCATCTCAATCTCGGCGAGCTCAATCTCGCGGCGGCCAAAGGCGGCCAGGGACTAGGATGGTCAATGAGATCCCAGAACTAGGATGGATGAACATACGATGTCGGCGACCTTGAACTTCTGAGCGGGGGCAGCCATGGTTGCTATGTGATGCTACTTAGGTTAGCACGAGCAAGAGACGAGATGAAGAAGCCAGACAGAGGAGTAACAGGTGGCTTACAGGAAAAGGATAAGCAGAGAAAGAGGAGATGGGAGAATGGAGGGGGGGAAGAGAATAAAAGGACTCGGGACAGAAGAGAAGAGGGGACGAAGGATTCAGCAGACTTGGCCAAGGCTGCGGGGCGGCTGTGGTCGGACTTTCTGTTGCTCCGACCTGCGTGCTGACGGCGGCCCTCCTGATTGCTTCAGCAACTCCGTACGGTGTACTATTGATTCGGACCCCGAATGTCCTGCGCCGAATCCTCTCCTGAACGAATCTCCGACTGATCAGCAACGGTCGGAGGGTCCCCAAAACCCCACCTGTTACAACTGGTGCCGACTATCGGACGCGTTGGGCTCCAACCAGGTGGCTACAACTCCAACCAGCTCGTATGCCTTGGGTCTTACATAAGAATCCGGCATCAGCAAGGGATGGAGCCACGTTCAGCATCCTGATAAAGGTTCAAGAATTCAAAGCGCTCCGACCGATCGTGGATCGTCCGTCGAGTGATGCTCCAAAGTAACAGTTCTTATCTCGTAACTCTGTCCACTGTCCAGACAGTTCTGTCCACGTAATTGCATCGCCAACGAGCTCCCTGCAGATCGCCCCTACGGAATGCAGCCAGTCCAGTGACATCAACCGGCTTGCAAGGGGTGTTCACCTTCGTTCACCCCTCGAATCGTTCGTAGAACAACCATACCACCAAGATGAAGTCCGTCTTGACAGTCTTTTATTGTCTGGGTCTATGTCTGCCCGCTCTGGCTACGCCGCTGATGGAAATCACCCTCACCAACTCAACCTCCTGTCAGACCTACGGAGGCGATAGCATAGCCAATCTGGTTTGTCGCGATACAGTAGGTGATTCGGGCCAATTCCAGCTCCAGGCTGATCATTCAGTGCATTGAGCAGGGTGATGGATGGACTGGGGGATACTGTGACGACCAGCAGTAGGTTTATCCTATGTTGAACCAACAATACTGACGATACTAGAATCTGCCATTGCACGTTCAATGTTTAAATGAGCATACCGTGGATGGATCAATAGACACAATCATAACAATTCATTGATAACCTCAGTCCATGTCAAACCCCATCATTAAACCGGTAAAAGTTCATCCATCTCTACACAAGATTAGCCTCGTACCAGCTTCCAGAAAGCGCACCCACCTTATCATACGGCCGGGACGAGTCTGCAAAGCGCAGATCGGTCGCCAGCCGAATCACATTGTCCGGATCATTGTTCACCGTCGACGCGTGGATCTACCTCATCAGCATCAGAATTCAATCGCCGCGGACAACATACCATATGAGGCTTGTGCAGCACCACATCCCCCGCTTCGTAGGCCGACACCAGCCAGCGACGCCCGTGCTGCTTGGCAAACTCCGCCGGATTCTCCGACAGCATCCCCGTGGACATCATATTCGAGTTGAACGCATACTTGGCCTCTTCCTCTGTCAATCCTGCCGCCACGGCCTTGGCCGTAAAGTCATCCTCGATCTTCATGCCCACAGAGTCACCTACACCCGTCAGTCTCATCCATCTGATGTCTCACATCACCTACTATCTTCCAGATAGATCAACCCTCCTCCCGTCAACTTGATATCCCCGATGGGCACCCATGCCGTCACACTGGTCGGCTCGCCATGTCGGATAAAGATCTGATCGTAGTGCACCCCAATCGGCTTCGTAGCAGGGATGTTGTTCCGCAGGAGGGTGCGTTTGAACGTCAAAGTATTCTGTCCCCAGCCAGTAAACTTGGCGATAAAGTCATACAAAGCAGGATGCTGACACAGCTTCTCCGTATACCAATCCTTGTAGTGGGCTTCGATGGCGCGATCGACAAACTGGGCGGCGCTCTCTCCGCCCGGGCGGCCGTTGCCGCCTGCAGCGCCCGCCCCGATCCCCGGGTAGTCATCGGGGGTCTTGTCGGGGTTGAAGATGCCCTCCACAGGGTCGGAACCGTCCTTCAAGACCCCGGTAGGGGCCAGGTAGCTAAAGTATTGTCTGCGGGCTTCGAGGACGTCTTCGCGGGGAAGCACTTGCTTGAGGAAAAGGTAGCCATCTTCATTGAAGCGTTGGCGGAGTTCGTCGAGGGGAAGGTTGGGGTCGGAGGGCCGCAGCAAGGCGGCGTTCTCGGAGGTCAGTGGACCGTCGCTGACGGTCAGAGTCTGAGACAATACACCAGGCATTGTGATGAGGTGATGATCGATGGGAGGATCTGATCAGACCAGGCCTGGGTTTATATCCCTTTGCACCCTTTGTGACGTATAAGGGTCTGGGATGCCCCGCATTTGCGGATTGGCAATCCATCCAGCAGGGAGACATTACTTATTGAAGACTGTGCTGTGTCCTGCGTGCTGTGTACTGAGTACTAGTATTGTCGATTGCGAGGGATCGGGATCAGGATCGACCCCACCTCCGCGTGGAAAGATACTCCTTTGAGGGGTGCGGGCAGTCCCACCGCGGGCAATGTTGCCCCTTCGGGCCAGCCCAGGCCCCAGGATCCGATCCGAGATGGATGGAGGGATGGCCAGGCACCCAATGGCTTCATCAAACAGCAATGCATTAATCACGGGGTATAAACTCTATACATAAAAGGCACCATCAGAAATGCGATCCAACCACGGTTACGCCTCCTCCCACTCGGCAATCGACCACGTCCCAACTCCCTCTCCCACCACCAGTCGCAGCGTGGTAAATTCAATCCGCTCATACAATTCGCGCGCTGCTCCACGTGCTCGCTTATGCCACGGGCCCGTTCCTCCCAGGCGCGCATCCTCCCGACTACGCCAGATGCCTACTGCAGTCAGCATATATACGATGACCCCAACTATCGGAGCACTCACAAGTAGCCAGGTTCCGTCTCTCTTCATCCTTCGTCCCAAACCAGTACTTCAGTAATCCCCCGCTGGCCGTCGCCTCTTGATGTGAATGGGCATCCAGCGCGTGCAACCGCTCCGGGTCAGCGTCCGCACGCAGGACCGATCGAAACACCACTACATAGAAATCTTGCGAAGTCCAGTGATACCCCCCGGCCTGAGACAATGAGCGCAGAAAGTCGAACACGGCCGTCCAATTGAATGACTCCGTGTAGGGGGCTGTTGCATAGTCTGGCCGGATGGGCTGGAGGATGGTCAACGCCTTGGCGAGTAACTGGTTGGGGTGATCGAGTCGGCGCAGGTCCAGCAGGTGCGCTGGGTCGTTGTACGGTGATACGATGAGTCGATCATCCGACAAGGCCGTCGTGGGAGGTCCGAATCGCAATTGCAGCGAAGCGGAGGCGTGGAATTTGAATGCATCCGGGTCGGTCGTGATGAGCGTATGGTGGAAAAGCGAGTGAGATGAAGCCTTCACGGGGACGGCCTCTGACTCCACCGTTGGGACAAGAGGTTCGACGATGCCGGGGGCCATGATCTGCTTCCGTCTATCTGGAATCACAACGCTAAGGAACGACAATAACGACTGTATGCCAAAGGGGAGGGAGAGAGAAAAGTCAGAATCAGTCTGAACAGGAGTGGCATTTTAAAAAACGGTGAAAACAGGTCAACCACGGAATATCAAGCACGACAGGCCCACCGGATTCACGCCCATGGAAGAAGATTCCTCCAAAAGCACGCCATATGCCGCGGTCGAGTCGGTCAGCCGGAATGTTCCACAGCCGGTGCATGATTGAATTTTGGTCTGGCCGTGCCTAGATGATCGTCGGCTAGTTTATGCTTATCATCGCGTCCCCAGGATTCAATAATTCACTATACCAAATGACGAGTCGGGATGATGTTGAACCAGGAACGGTCACTTGATCCGTCAGCTGCCATAAAGGATAAAGAAACCAGGCCACGCGATGAAACGGTGCTTCTCATTGTTCTTGCCACATTTTTCATCAATTAGGTTTTGCTTTCGGAACGATCGCACGACATCTCTCCCAGGCTTGCGCCATCTGTGGGTGCGCTGCCATCGCCAGCCAAGAATTTCACCATCCGCCTGAACCATGGCAATCAATTGTGTGGTTCACGCGGAACCGACACCCTTGCGCCAATGCCGGCACTGTCGCGCAGATTCAGAAATAGCACTGGTATTTGATTTAATCCTATCATACAGTTCTTGATGGTATCATGAAACCCGGTTATAACGCCTTGTGAATGCTCGTAACCCTAAAAAGATAGCCGCTCGTTACTGCTTCATCGGCGGCGGTGGCGGGGCCATCTTGCCCTCGCCGGTATCAACCTTTTTCTTCGGAGGCAAAGCCGGAACCTTAAAGCCTCCACTTCCCCCCTGAGGCGCGGTGGTCTGGCCACCCACCTGGGTGAAGGTGCCGGACTTGAACCATCGGTCCTCCTCCGCCTTGCGCTTCCGACTCAATTCCGCTTGCACCTTGGGGTCAACCAGCTCCAAGCCTTGCACGGGCGTGAAAGCGATAGTACTGGCAGTGCCTGCAGACCCTCCCAGAGAGGTGCCAATGCCCGAAGTCCGCAGACCTTTGGCGTGCAGCACGCTCGCCGTTCCACTGGCACCAGGACCGAATGCGCGGAGAGAGGTAGATGTGCCACTGACGGGGGTTGCATTTCCCCATCCCTTGTTGTTTTTGCTGAGCTTCGCCCGGGTTCTCTGATCGATCTGGGTCGCACGGATCCGCCCATCGTTCTGCTGACCGAGCATACCCAGTCCGACCGTTCCCTCGCCAGTACCATACCCAACTTCTGCCTCTTCCCTACCGAAAGCAACCCGATTCTGCGCCTTACGGAGCTCCGTCATAGCGACCGCTTCCTTGGCCTTTCGAGCCCGTCGTCCACCTCGCTTGCGGGACGGCTTGTCATCCGGGGCCGGTAGCGCCTTCACACCCGAGTTCGGCGCGGGCTCCGTGAGTTTCTCCAGTCGCTGGAAACACTGCTGTTTCAGCTCTTCACCCAAGGAGCCATCGGGACTGTATTTGGAGACGTCCGCTCGAGTAGCGAGGACCATCTTAGCAGAGACGATGCGGATAGCCTGCCGCTTAAGATCGTTCGGAACACCCTGGATGATCGGCGAGTTGTAGAGAAAGCCCTGAGATCGGATACCGATATTCGTAGCAAAGCCCAATCCTTCCGATCGCTTTGAGCCCTGGGCAGCCAGGTTACACGCGGGTATCTTCGCCAGCTCGAGTAGTCCTCCTGTTTGGTTCAAGAACTGCGCGGCCGTCTCCGGTCCGATCAAAGCCGCCAGGTTGGGAGCAATCTGGCTCATCCGCGACTGAATGCTCTCTGTAAGGGCCGTCCGTTCGCGATCAAGCTTCAAAATCCGCTCGCAGGTATCAAGCACTGTCTTCAACTCGGATTCCGTCATCTCCCGGCCGCGGGTGGTCGTACCCTCCACCGCAACTACCATCAGAGACGGGCCGTCCAGGATCGACCGCAGTGGCACGCCAACCATGTTGTCCGGGGAGGTCGACAGGGCTTTGATGTCGTTGAGCGGGCCATTTTTCAAGATGGCAACGGTTTTCGCGTAGTCGATAGGCGTGGTGACAAGCGTCTCTAGTTCAGGGAATCGGATCGAGTAGTGGTCGCGTAGCACTTTGTGTAGGCGGGTCAGTTCGTCGGCGGTCGACAAGGCGACGTCAAACTCATTGGTAACCTCGGGGGCCTGTGCCAGCTGCTCCTCATCCACACCCTCCCCCTCGAGACCATCGTCCAACTGGAGATCCTCGTCATCGTCTTCGAAATCTCTCAGCAGCTCCTCGGCGTTCGACATGATGGCAAGCGGTGACGTGACCAGCAAGCGAGCTGTGAACGCAGGATAATAAGATGGAATGAGGTTTCCGCAACTGCTTGCTTTTGCCGCTGCCGATGCTGCTGAGTCAGCAACGGCTCGAGGTGGCGCGACGGACCACTCCCGCAGCGTGTCCGACTTTGGCTCAGCGCCGATCCAGAATCTCAACTGCGCCAACCTCGACTACCGTGACGGTAGCCAGCAACGCCATTGGTTTGGTCTATCCGATCGTGTCTTCATCGGACCCGACTTGCCCATCCCACGCCATCAGATACCTCTGACCGGGTCGATTTTAACCACACCAGCCACGATGGAGTCGTCTCGCGGCCCTCCCCGGGTCAAGAACAAGGCCGCGGCGCCTGTCCAGATCTCAGCGGAGCAGCTGCTTCGTGAGGCCGTGGACCGCCAGGAGCCCGCGTTGCAGGCCCCGACGCAACGCTTCGCCGACTTGGAAGAACTGCACGAATACCAGGGTCGCAAGAGAAAAGAGTTCGAAGACTATGTGCGCCGAAACCGGATTAACATGAACAACTGGATGCGCTATGCGGCATGGGAACTGGAGCAGAAGGAATTCCGTCGGGCGCGTTCGATTTTTGAACGGGCGCTGGACGTCAGCCCGACCTCCGTGGTACTGTGGATTCGCTACATCGAGTCGGAGATGCGGAATCGCAACATCAACCATGCCCGGAACTTGCTCGACCGCGCCGTGACGATCCTTCCCCGGGTGGATAAGCTCTGGTACAAGTATGTCTACATGGAGGAGACTCTGGGCAACGTCCCCGGCACGCGACAGGTCTTTGAGCGGTGGATGTCATGGGAGCCGGAGGAGGGCGCTTGGAGTGCATACATCAAGCTGGAGAAGCGGTACAATGAATTCGAGCGGGCGCGGGCCATCTTCCAGCGGCTCACAATTGTTCACCCCGAACCCAGAAATTGGATCAAGTGGGCGAGATTCGAAGAGGAGTATGGCACGAGCGATCTGGTGCGGGAAGTCTATGGCATGGCGATTGAGACGCTGGGCGAGGACTTTATGGACGAGAAGCTCTTTATTGCGTATGCGAAGTTCGAGGCGAAACTCAAGGAGTATGAGCGTGCTCGGGCGATCTACAAGTATGCCCTGGATCGACTCCCTCGTTCCAAGTCCATGACGCTGCACAAGGCCTACACGACCTTTGAGAAACAATTTGGCGATCGGGAAGGCGTGGAGGACGTGATCCTGTCGAAACGCAGGGTTCAGTATGAGGAGCAACTGAGAGAGAACCTGCGGAACTACGACATCTGGTTCGACTTTGCCCGGCTCGAGGAGACCTCGGGCGATCCCGACCGGGTTCGCGACATCTACGAGCGCGCCATCGCGCAGATACCACCCTCGCAGGAGAAGCGACACTGGAGACGGTACATCTACCTCTGGATATTCTACGCCATCTGGGAGGAACTGGAGGCCAAGGACGTCGAACGGGCCCGTCAGATCTACAACGAGTGCCTGAAACTCATTCCCCACAAGAAGTTCACTTTCGCCAAGATCTGGCTCATGAAGGCGCAGTTTGAAATCCGACAGATGAATCTCCAAGCGGCCCGGAAGACGCTCGGCCAGGCCATCGGCATGTGCCCCAAGGATAAGCTGTTCCGGGGATACATTGATCTAGAACGCCAGCTGTTCGAGTTCGTACGGTGCCGGACGCTGTTCGAAAAGCAGATTGAGTGGAATCCGTCCAACAGCCAGTCGTGGATCAAGTACGCCGAGTTGGAGCGCGGCCTGGATGATACCGACCGTGCGAGAGCCATCTATGAGCTTGGCATCGACCAGGCGACTCTGGATATGCCCGAGTTGGTCTGGAAATCATACATCGACTTTGAGGAGTACGAGGGCGAATACGACCGAGTCCGACAGCTCTACGAGCGTCTTCTGGAGAAGACGGACCACGTCAAGGTCTGGATCAACTACGCGCGGTTCGAGATCAACGTGCCCGACGAGGAGGAAGAGGAAGAAGAGGAGGAAGAACGGCCGATCAGCGAGGATGCCAAACGACGTGCTCGCGCCGTGTTCGAGCGGGCCCACAAGGTGTTCAAGGACAAGGATCTCAAGGAAGAGGTAAGCCGCCCACTCTCAGATACCACCCATGCCAGTCTAACTGTTTTACAGCGCGTGGAACTCCTCAACGCCTGGCGATCATTCGAGCACACGCACGGCTCGCCGGAGGACATCGACAAGATCGAAAAGCAGATGCCGCGGCGGGTCAAGAAGCGACGCAAGTTGGACGACGACCGGTACGAGGAGTACATGGACTATGTATTCCCGGCGGACGACCAGTCGGCGGCGAATCTGTCGAAGCTGCTGCAAAGAGCACACCAATGGAAGCAGCAGCAACAGGGTGGCGCATAAGATACTTATATTCCGTAGGGGTGACATACATAGTAGGGTTATGGCAGAGATACCTAATAATCCGTTGACTCCAACCCTACCTCGTAACACCGGTAAAGGGTTGAACAGAGTCGATCCCTCCAAGCCAGTATCCCAGAACAAATCAATCTACCTATACCCACCATCTCCCAAACCACCTATCCTAATATTCCTCTATACTCGGTCCCATCACATAACCAACCCCCACGTACCTATCATCACATACCAACGTCTTCCCTTCCATTCACTTATCCACCACCTCAATTCCAGGAACATATAGCCTAATCCTCCAGCTCAACCCCATCACCGGGACGATGGCGCATCTGGGAGCGCGTCAGACTGAAGATCTGGAGGTGGCCGGTTCAAGCCCGGCTCGTCCCATTCTTCTTTTTTTTCCTTTTCTTTTTCTTCAACTTTTGTTGTTGTTGATGTTATTTTAGTCATGCTCCACTCACCCTACCTGGTTGATAGAAGTAAGTGGTTTTGGTTTTTTGTACTCTGTAGAGATGGGGGGCTTAGGGTGGGGCATGTCTATTTGGTAGGTGGCGGGGATGGGGTGGATTCTTGAATATTGGGTAGGGTTTGGGTTTTAGGATGGAGGAGTGAGGGGAAAGGTACTTGGGGTATTCATATTATTAGGAACTGGTTAGTTTATGATGATATGTAAGGTTTGAAGTCCATACGTAAAGTTAATGTATCAATCACGTTTGGGAGGAAGGGAAGTATTAGGTTAGCAGTCTGTAGAGGGAGGTAACCAAAGGAAAGCTGCATACAGTAAGCACGCAAACAGGTAAAAGGCAGCAAAATTCTCACCTAAGTCTTCTTTATGCCGACTTTCCATTCTTCTTCTTTTTCTTTATCGCCGGCTCCTCAGGTTCCTCGCGAGCTTCCTCGCGAGCCTTCTCGACGAACTGACGTCGAGCCTCCTCATATCGCTCTTGAGTCAATTCGTGATGCTCGAGTAGGACCTGCGCTTTGGCTAATACCGCATGCTGCAGGTTATCACCAAGGTCGAATGCCTCTACCGCCGGGTTCAGAATCCCTAAGATTCGACGCCCGTCTAATGATGGATCCTCCTCGTTTTCGGGAGTTCGATGCTTGGTCTGGGTAACTACGAGCTCGGAGGTCCGATTGAGAGTGGCTCCCAGACTCGCGAGGGTCTTGTATTGGTAGGACCCGTAGTTCGAACCTAGGGTAAACGCCGCCTGATCAGCGAACCGATAGACCTCTAGCAGCGCCTTCTCGCGTTCCTCTGCCTGTTCGGGCTTCACGTCTCGCAGGAGCATCTGGAATGGCCGGCTAGAAAGCATGGCGGAGGTGAATGACGAGACGGCTTCTTCGCGCCGCTTTTGAGTCTGCTGGCAAAGTTCGAGGTCTGTGGCCTGGTTTGGGAGGGTGGAGTGGGAAAGACGGACGGTTTCTGTTTTCCGACGACTGGCTCGAAGGGGGTTTGCTGTCGTTTGGGGTCAGTATTGAAGAGAAGCAGAGAAGAGAAGCAGAGAAGCAGAGAAGCAGAGAAGCAGAGAAGCAGAGAAGCAGAGGAAGAAGGGTTTGACATGCGGGTGATCATCTCACTTTTTAAGAATTGCTGGTATAGATGCTGCAGACGCTGTGCACAGGATATCGAGCTTTCGATTTCGTCGTGCTGATCCGTGTCGCCCTCAATGAACCAAAATGGATTTTCGAAGAACCTTTCCATGAGGTCCTTGGTCAACATCGTTTGGGCGACCAAGTTCAGCACGTTTCGACGGATCGGATACGGAAACGACCCCATCAGGGTATCCCAGTCCAGATCCTGCACCCAGTAACCCGCTAGGCGATCGAGGATGCCCTGCTTGTCATCGGCGCTGAGTTCTGCAAGGTCGACCAGCTTCCTCAAGGCATAACTCTGGCACCAGGTTTGCGCGGAGAACAAAACGCCGTCCAATTCCTGGCTCATGTCCTGGGGAACACAGGACAGCCAGGCAAAACCTACCGATCTCAGGATTCTAAGTTGTCGACCATACTCCTTGCGGTCAATGTTTGCTACGTCCTGGAGAGTTGCAACTTTTTGTTCGAGATCAGCAACTCGGTTCTTGAGGACGGCGTTTTCGGTCTGGGGGGAGGTTTCTTTGTCTGGGAGAGGGTCCGTATCGCCGGATGCCTCCTAGAGCAACAATCAGTCATCTTCTCTATAGTGGTCCAAGGAATCCTTACCCTGGCTGGGATTTCGTCCATGATGGAAGTTGGGGATGTGTAGAAGATGATGTGCAGGGTGTAGCGGGCAGAGGATACGAAAAAGCCGGGGGATGGGAAGGACTCTTTGTTCCCTCTTTTCTTCTTTCTTTCAGCCCGCTTTGAAACTAGGTATCCCAGTCGACATACTACCCGGGAACCTATTCAAATATGTCTAGCATGCAATGAAGCTGAAAAGTTATCACATCTACAAGTAATTCCAAAAGCTCTTGGTGGCGTTACTGTCCAGCGACAAAATGCCGGCTCAATTACGATGTCTCCTGTAAAGGACTGCATGCAATCCTGTCTCTCCGTCGAGAGGTGTGGACGATCGTTCAACCTCACTGGCTACTGAAGAAGGCGAGTGCTGCCCAGCTAAATGTCTTAAGTACTCGGGCTAACGCTGTAGAAGGAGAACCACCATGACGCAGCCCATGCCACTGGGCCCACCATTGCAGAATTGCAGACACGTGCGAGTTGATGCGCCTCCCTGTAGACTGTCCGACGTGACGCCTGATTGTGCAGGAGACACACGACGTCTCTATAATATCTCTACTTCTGCCACCTTCCTCTCGAATGGATTTCTGGAAATCAAGTTTACGCCGGGGCATACAATTTGCAGGAGACAGAGTCAATGGGTATAGACTGCAGGATACTGACAATTCCTTGTTTCCTACAGTTGGGATATGTAGCTAGATTGGCAATCCTTAATGAATTAATTATATTTTCGATCTACTTTACAAGTCGGATTCACACCCTTCCTCTCTTCTTTATGATTGTCGTTCACCGCAAACGCCCAGCTATCGTGGCCTTGCCTTTTTCTTTTTCTTCTTACGCCCTTCTTATAGGGGAGACCGTTGGGTAAGATTTCTCATGGCTGGTATGATTGGAATCTTACTTTCTTTTCTTATTCCTTGGTCGTATTCTTTTCTCTTAAAAAAGAAGAAAAGAAATACTTTCGCAGTCATTGACTTAAATGGACGGGTGTGTGTTGGGGGGGGAGCTTGGCATGTATGATGGATGGACCGATCACCGACCGAGATGGTATGAGATACTTTTCTGGGATAATGCGGAAAGTTTAGGCTTTAGTATACGATGACCGAAGTGATCCCTCATGTTCGTGAATACCTCATTTCAATTGGTAGTGTCGTGTTATTTCTATCAGTCTTTCACTCTAGTCCCTCTCGCACGTGATTTGTATAGGCAGTTGTTAGATATCTATACACTGTATAATACATGGTATTGTTCATCTTCAAATTGTAATCATCTATGCTAGATATTCTGGTTATTCATCTCCGTTTGTATATATGTCTCGGGGATCTGTCGGGGGGTGGGGAAAGAAGGGAAGAGGGACATTCGAGGTCGCACAGCATTATACTAATTAGACTCCTCAGGGATAAGGTTTCTTCAGGCCTCAGGGATGATGGTCCGATTTCCCCGGAAAAGGTTATTGGGGTGCAGCATAGTACTATATATGTTATCTGTCATGATGGACGTAGGGATGTATTTATATACTTTTTTTTTTTTTTTTTTCAAAGTGTACTGCTGGACTGTAGGTACCGTAGAAGTACTAGCTGTGTTGGTGGGTTTGGTATTCATTTCCTTCCTATTTTCCTCCTCGTCTTTCTCCCTTTTCTGCATGTGTGTATGTCGTCGGCTGAGTCGGCATGAACCTTGTCCTTCGTACCCGATCAACCAATCACCCTTCTCAAACCCGATGCTTGGGTAGTACTGAGTAGTGAGTACCTCCCCCAACGGCCCCAGTTTCTAGATGACTGTCCTCCTCTGTAACCCGACGAAGACTCGGCGACGGCGCATCTGCATCTCCCGCCTTCGGACCGGACAGTCAACACAAGCGAGAACCATAATCATTCCTGGGGAAAGGGGGTATGATGAAGAAGGGGTGAATAGGTCAGGAAGGTACTTGTTCGTGGGGTGAAGAGGGCTGACTGTTGGTAATCTTTTGACGGAATTACATGGTGGTTCGGGGGGAGTACTATGGTGTGAAGCTAGGTGGTAATAGGCTTTCGTGTAACCTACCTATTATTTGGTGAGAAATGTGGATGTATGTAGAGCGGTGCAGAAGAGACTAAGGGTTTCTTTGGAAATAGATACTTATGATAATATAATGCTATTGAGTTCCCGTCTGATATTGATAGAGGGTCTAATCGGTTCAGACCTCGTATTATAATCGTGGCATTCTGATGTTATCAGTTAAGATTATACCAAGTTCATAATATGAAACAATGCTAGGCCTATCAGAGATACAGTAGGAATGATCTGCAATACTTCTATGGAGAGGATACTAGTACCTGCATAACAGGGGCATTAGGAATAGGAAATAAAGCAATGAATGGAAGCGTACAGTAGATATTCAGCTGAAGCAGCGGAGATCACTGGACTGCTCTCTTTTTGGTAGCCGGACGCCCTCTTCTTTTCTTCCCTTCAAGTTTCTCCTCTGTGAACTGCTTCCCCTCCTTGTCTTCCTTGTTTTCCTCCTCTTCTGCGGTGTCTGCCTTGGTGATTCTTTTTCGTTTCCTTCCCTTCTTATACTCGCCATCTCCATCTGTTCTACTCTCCTCGGTTTCAAGATTTGCTTTATCTTGATTCTTTCTATTCACCCCCCGTTCCTTCTCAATTTTGTTCCACTCGGCTTGCCGCTTCGATTTCTCTTCACAAATTCTTCTCCCCTCTTCCTGTGCTTGTGCGTGCTGCTTCCTGAACATCTTCTGGTGTTGCTCCTTGGACATTGCACCATCCTCGACCACTGCTTTTAACCGTGCCCATCGCTCCTCAATGCCCATTAACGTGGTACCTCGCAGGCGTGACACGGCCGGCTGCGTAATGAACAGAATCCGACGCCCGTCTAGCCTTGGGTCGTCCGGCCATAAACTATGGTTAGGGTGCGCCTTCATCTTATCCGACCGATGAGAGAACAAGGGCGAAGTTAACCGCCCGAGATTCGTATACTCGCAGATCCCACGCGTTTGGCCAACACAGGTGGCCAGCTCTTGGGCTTCCTCGTAGTATGTGACGAGTTTCTCGTCACGGTCCGAGGCGTCGCGGTTCGCCAGTAGCATCCGCAACGGAGGGGAAGCAAGCATAGCGGACGCAAATGACCGGGCTGCTTCCTCGCGTCGTCTCTTCGTATGCAGGCCCAGCATAGTGTTCGGGGCTTGGTCTGTGGTGATCGATTTCGCGAGACGAACGGTCTCCGTCTTCCAAAGTGTGGCGGACCCCGGATTGGCTATGCATCTGGTCAGTATAGAAGGCGGAACGGGTGTGTGTGAAGAGGTCGTCTCACCCTCGAGAAATTGCTGGAACAGATGTTGCAGGTCCTGTGGGAATTTTCCCCGGGAATCTGTCTTGCCTTCAAAGTACCAGAATGGGTTCTCAAGCGATCGAGGGGAGAGACGAGGACAGAGAAAGAACCGGAGGCCCTTTGTTCGTCCCCAGCCAGCCCGGCTCCAAGTAACCTTCAACCAGACCGATCGTCCAAGATGTGAAAGTTCCTTTGAGACAACGGAAGCTGCCGTTGGTACACATCGTCCACCATTGGATTTCCTCGTTTCTTCCCATTCCCCGCCACAACCACAACACTCCTCCTTAGCTCTCTTCCGATCCTACACAATGGCAAATTCGATCATTGTTGCTATTGATGGATAATTGACTCTACTATGGACATACTAAGAATGACCGACGGACTGTATCAAATATATATCTAGTAATTAGGTCATTCAGTACACCTTTCTATACCTCTTCAATAGTTCTTATTAGCTTAAACTTCTCACTACTCACGGGTATTCGATTACTAGTAATTCTATTACTTTTCATTTCTTACTCTCCTATTTCTACTTTAAAGCTATCTTACTACTTTCTTCCTTCTCCCCACTTTTTTAAATACTATCCTTAGAAGAACTTGAAGATTATATACACTATACTTATAAACATATTATATATACCTAATAATAGTTTGTGATTATAACTACAGTTCCTACAGTGACTTCTAATACACATAATAGCTAATATCATCTATGAGTTATAGGATGTAATAGTAATACATATCTATTTAACTAATACTATATCTACGCTTTTAAACTCTTAAGCTAGTAAAAAGCTTCATATTTTACATTCATATAGTATAAAAAGAAAATATAACCCATTCTTCTTATCTTACTATATTTTTTTTCCAGCTGCTAATGATAACTAGCTAGATACTTATTAAGCCAGGTATCCGTGTTATCAAGCCCGTAGGCAGCGCCTCCGGCGCTGCCTTACTACTTGTTGGTAGTACGGAGTAGTACTAATGAAACCAAGTATATGGACCCGTTTTCTCGTATTCCTCCTTACCTAGAGTTTGTTGTCCTACCTATCTACCCCTCCTACAGGCTACTCCCTAAGTATCTAGCTCCCTCAATACGGCGGGCATCTAATCGTAGTGACGTGTCCATAATCCTCCTCCCCGACCCAAGCCTAGCCAAGCTAAGCTAAGCTAAGCTGGGTTGGGTTGGGTTGGAGACGTTGTTTGGCGTACTCGGGATGCTGCTACAGTATGTTGTAGAGGTGTTGTATATACTTGGTCTTTTCAAGGTTGGGTTGAGGGGGTTAGGGTCGGTGGTTGCTTTAGGGTTCTGGGTATACATTCTTATGAGGTATTTGTGGTTGGTGGTGGCGATGGGAGTAGATGGTTCGGTTTGATAAGTCAGGTACTGGTTGAATATTATATGGTTGGTTGGAGCGGGAGTTGAAGTGAAGTGGAGTGGGTTGTATAATCATGCTCATGCGATGATTGCTTACTGGGATGCGATAGAAGGTTGGTTTTCTATGTTTAGAAGAGTAAGAACTATGATAGGGCTGGTAGAGGGTTTGAATTGATGATAAGAATTGTTTATACTCCGTAGAGACACATTATATATAGAGATGAGTGTAGTCCGAACATAATCTAGGCTAGCTACTATCTCATGACTACAATTAGTTATTCAATGAGCAGGCTGAGAAGCTAATATAGGGCCATTGAGTATATCATTGCCTAAACTTATGTTTTCGAGGTTGAAAACATATCTGTATACTGCAATCTGAAGGATTACGTCAGGCTTCATCCTGCCGCCAATCAGCGGCGCCACCCCGAGCGGGGCGGATGAAACTGAACCCACCGGACGGCTCCCCGGCCACGAGTCAGTCTCGCTTCAGGTACCCGGCTCGAACATGACTAGGTCGCTGGTCCGGAGTCGATGGGATATGTGGTCGTCGGACCTATAAATAGACGGGACTGGAAATGTGAGAGATCCCGGAATATTTCCACGGGCGATATCTCCGGCTGCAATGGTGATATCCTAGTCCGGTCGGATTAATTGTACCTGCGTCATCCAGCCTGGCCGCGGCTGTTCCTGACTAGTCCCGTAAACCAATAATCGGGCTGCAGCGGGCACATCCTGGTCGCGCACGAGGACCAACGGTCATTCCATTTATTATGTACCTCCTCCGGGGATACCTGTCAGCTATTCAGTCCGTACTCCGTATTGATGCTCCGTATGCAGTGAGCAGTCCGAATACCCAATTTATATTAATTCAGCAGGGATGCCGCTGACTGATAAGCCCCCAGGATGGGACGGCGTAATCAGAGCACCATCCAGTGGCGGCCGTTGGACCTTGTCATTGCTCCATCCCTCCACGGTCCCCACTCTACATTTGTTTTCCTTTCGCACTTCTCGACATCGCTTCGGATCAAGGCAGCATCATTTTTGGTCCGATGCGATCGCATGTTTCCAGCTTGGTCGGCGAGCCTGGAGGACCAATCCTGCATTGCACGGTATCCTGGTCACTTCCCCTCTGATCTTCAGTTGCGTTCCAAGGGTACGAGACCCGTGGGTAACCAACGAAAGGATGACATTGGGGCCCAAGGGGTCGGACCTATACCTAAACCAGTTCCTGGCCCCTCGACGGGCTGACGGGCTGACTGGCTGACTGACTGACAACCTGGACAGGTGTTGGGTCATCCAACATGTGATGCGGTACATCCTTGCAGCCTCATGCAGGTACACTTCCATCGCCATGTAAGGACCTGTTCGGTTTCCCGGGTCGCAACCAAAATAACCCCCTCGAACGGGGTCGGAGATTATGGTTCAGGCGGGCGGGCGCAGGTCACTCGTGGGCGTCGATAACTTCTAGCTTCCATCTAGGTAGCCTTCTAGATTAACTAGATCCTCGGTAGTCCTTCGCTACTCGATACTTGCATGGCAGGTATGTAGTAGGTACCTGAGCGGGCAGAGTCGTCGTCCTGGATTGGTCGCTCCTGCCCATCGCCGCCTCCTCCTTTTTCGCTCCTTCCCTCCTGGTGTCTCTCCCACTTCACTGCCGTCCCTTCACTGCCTGCACTTGACTTCTTTCCCTTCCCTTCCCTTCCACACTCCCTCCTTCTCCCACCACCAACAGTGCTGTGCACTCCCACTTACGTATTAACTCTCGCTTGCGTTTGACTTTTCTTGATCATTGTCTTATTTTACTGGCTTCCCGTTTCGTTGCCCCCTTTCACATCGCCGATGCTGCCCCGTGCTAGCCGAAAGGGTGAGTGCTAGTGCTGGCCTAAGCTGCCCGCCGTCGTTTCACCCTCCACCGTTCACCCATACAATCCGACCTCCTCTCTGCCCTCTCCTGACACCCTCCTTCTCATCCCTCCGCCCGCTGGCTTTTTGTCCCTCTGCCTGGCTCTGCCTGGCTTCCTATCTCCTTCTTTGCGGCCTCGCTTCCCTTCGTTCTTTCACGTTTGCTGCCGATTTGATATCGTGCACTCCGTCCATCGTTTCTGCTGTCCCCCTGAATTTCCCCAATTGACACCCTCATTGCCAGGCCGCCATTCATTTCTCACCTAAAGCCCATCCCTTTTTCAATCGTATCGGTCGTTCGGGTTTCCATATACCTCATCTCACCAGCATACCGCGCATTCTCGCTTGCGATCCAACCATCCGCTGCCCCATCCCAGCCACTCGCGATCAACCCCGGTGGCACCCTTCGTCCGACCGCGTCGACCATGCGATAGTGTTTCGGCAGTCATCTTTCATTCCTTCTCCGTCCTTGCGCCTGCGTGCTGACCTCGGACGGCTGGTTGTTTCCTGATCGTCTTCGGCTGGCACTCTCGAAGAACCTCTCGTTTCTCCCCCCTTCCTCGGAATCATTCGATATGCTCGTTCCGAAACCCCCTGTGGATTTGGAAGGCCACTGCTCCGCTCTATACGACAACACTCTTTACACCTACTCCGCCAACGGCTTCGCATCGATACCCCTCGAGCGCAATGGAAACTGGACCGAACTGACCATGGGTGAGGCCGTCTCGGATGCGGCGTGTGTGATAGGCGGCACCGATGGCGATGAAACCAAGCAAGCTCTCTACGTAGTCGGCGGAACTGGCTCGTCGAGTCAACCGGGCTTGCAGCGATATTCCTTTCAAGACAAAAAATGGACCACAATCCAACCCCCGCAATCGGTGATGGGGAACCGCACTCGCCACAAGGCCGTCTACCTGTCGAATTCCTCGTCAATCCTGGTTTACGGCGGTCACCAGACCGACGAAGATGTCGCATCCTCCGATACATACGTCCTCAGCACGGTCTCGCCGTACTCCATCGCGGCTCACAATGCGACAGAAGCATCGCCAGCCGTCGCACCGGTTCTCCTGCCCTGGAATGGTCGCGAGGCAGCTTTGGTGGGTGGCACGACAACCCCCAAAAAGGTCCACCTATTCGACCCCACTCTGGGCTGGTACAGCTCCAACGTGACACTAGCCCAATCGCTGTCCACTGGTGTGCAGTGTGCAATCCTGGACGGATCCGATGGCAGCAAGGTCCTCGAAGAGTTCGACATGGACGTGGCGCCCAACACGGTCACAAGCGTGGTGTTGGTGAATTCGTCCGGGAAGGATGAGAATCCCGCTACCGCCTTGAGTTCCCAATCTTCGCGTAAGCGCAAGAGAGAGATCACCCTCAGCAATTACCCGACTTACGATAGTAGCTTGGCGGGATCCACAACACGGCAAAATTACTCATTAGCCCAGGGAGAGGATGGATTGGTGGTGATCTCCAGTGGCAGTGGTACCGACTCCTTAGCCATATTCAACCAAACCGCCAACAGCTGGGTCAACGCCACGAAGCTGTTTTACGGTGACGAGAGCCAGCAGCAGATTCTGGGATCAACGACGACTACGTCCTCATCAACGGCAACTTCGACCAGCAGCGCCTCTTCCAGCCCTGCAGCCGGCGGTAATTCGTCCGACAACGATGTCGGCACCATCGTCGGCGCCACCCTGGGAGCCATTCTGGGCGTCGCAGCCTTTCTGGTGATCATTCTGCTCCTCCTCAAACGCAAGAAGCAGAACCTCAAGAGAGCCAGAGCCGAAAATGATAAAGATCGGCTCAGTTTCCAGGATCAGGGCGTGGAGCCTTTGGCCCAGTCAGCATACCCCATGGCGAAAAGCCCGGCGCCTCTGGCAGCTTCCTCGGTGGATTCGCTCGCAATATTCTCGGGCAAGGTGGGGGATGAAAAGACACCGAGGGCAGCTGGGGCCCGCCCTGCCTATGCACAGAATTCGACTCCGCTGAAGTCAAGTCCGCTGACCACCATCCACTCCACTGGAGAGTCCTCCTCACCCAGCATATACTCAAGCGCTGCCCTGGAGAAGGAACTCGGGGGGCAAGACTCCAACCCTGGGGGTCGACCGGGCGACCGCAGGACCGATGAAGGGTGGAGTCGGTACTTCCAGGACAATAGTGCGACAAATCTGGTCGGGGTGCAGTCTCAGAACCTCCAGCCCCCCTCAGCGGCAGCCAAGCCGCAGCCGAAAGGCTGGGCCATGAAGACCCTCACGCCACTGGATTTCGGGTTCTTGGACGAGCCCAAGCCTCTGGGACAGGTGATCAGCGGGAGCCCCACCACCGAGCATGCCTCGTCTATCATATCTTCGGAGGGCCGCCATGTGGCCATCCAAGAGAGTCAGTCTGCTCGTATCTCTAGCGCTTCCTCGATGAGTGCCGAGTTGGAGCGTGACTCATGGCAACAGCGCAGCTGGGCGGGCCGGCCTCCAAGTAGCACCTACAGCAGAAGCTTCTACAACCCCAGCACCCATGTTCCGTCAATAGCAGCGCCATCCGACAGTGACTACCGACTGTTTGACCCGTCTCGCACCAACACCCGGGGGTCTAGCATCCTCATACCCGAAGTCTCGGAACCCATGCCCACACACAATGCCACCAATGTCAATGAGGACATGAGCTGGTTGAACCTCCATGCCGATCGATGAAAGCCCCCACGGCATCTCTCGGACCTGAAACGCGACCAACACCTTCCTTGCAACGTCACATCTGTTCTACCCTCCTTTACCCACCCATCGCCGACAGCTTCGACCTGATACCTTCCTTGCATTGGCCTGGCTCCTTCGTGGTCCCCACTCCGAAAGTTGACTTCTGCAAAAGTGCCTTTCCCTTCGCCCCGTTGGGATGTACAGCTAGCTGCACTTGACCTTTCCTTTCTGTTCTTCCACCCATGTTCCCTGTCAGGTTTACGCCTGCCTAATGGTGCCTGCACCCTGTTGCATCTGCTTTCACTGCTGGCAAAAGAATCGAGCGTTCCGTTATCTCCTTGCTGCGTCCGTCCGTGTCTGTTCGTGCTTGGCCACATTCCCCTGCTCCCCCCTAGTCTTGCATTTAGTTGTTTGGTTCCTCCCTGATCGACGATCTGATTCCTAGTTGTTCCGTTGACGATCCTGCCCATCCATTCAGCAGGGGTGTGCCTGCCTGTTGAGATATCATACCCGGTGCGTTGCCTGTCTTTTACCCATGTGTCTGTATTGTAAATATTCCGTCGGTTGCTGCGCGGATGGGACGGTCTACGGCCCCATTGATAGATTCTACGGGCATGCCTGCATGTCTGCATGCCGGGAATGGATCATGCTTATTGACATTATCGTAGCCCTTTGTAGAAGCCGGGATGGCAACAATCTCTACTGGACAGTCCGTAGGTTCGCGAATCGACGAAGATAACAAATTCATCAAAAAGGCAAGCAAAAACGCAAGCAATGTACTGTACAACATGTAATTATAGATCAATCAATAGAGGTGCAAGAAACATCATCATCATAAGTCATTATCATGGCACATGTCCGGATGAGCAATTCCCCTATCGAAAATTCATGCATATGGTGTAACGGGGGTCCTCGACCTACCCATGGACCGAGACCGGGAATCCGATGTGGACCCATACTCGGAAGGATGGTGCTCCTCGATCTCGTCCGGATACACCGTCCGCGGCGGATGAGACACCGGTCCCTGACTCTGGGCACGGCGGTGTCGTCGCTCTCGTCGTTCATTGCAGCCTTTCGCAAATTCAAGTCGCTCGCGGCGAGCTTCCTCGGCATGCTTCCATTCCCCAATTGCACCTTTGATTCCCAGAGCCGCGAGGCCCACGCTGGCTACATCCCCCAGCTGACCCTTGAGACGATGGCGGCGGGCTTCCTCCGGTGACATCTCACCCTCTCGAACCAGTTCCGCTCGTTTTTTGTGTTTTTCCATGCTCTCATGCAGACTATGTGCGGCGTGGATGGTGGCCACCGCGGCCAGGCCCGTTTTTGCCAGTGTTTTCCGGGTAAGTTTCTTTTGTTGCTTCTCCTCATCGGTACTACTTCCCAGGTCAGAATCAGAATCCTCGGAGTGACGATCTCCATGTGGGTTGACACGACCATGACCAGCTTCGCCGATTCCTTTGGATGTGGTGCGCGTGGAAGGTCGTGTCGAGGTGGTGGCAGTGGATAAAGGTCGACTCACATCTCTAGAATGCCTGGGGCGCCGTGGGCTGCGATGGCGGCGCGACTCGTACTCGCTGGAGGGCTCGTCGTCCGAATAATCATCACGACGAGACGGGCGGCCGCCATGGCCTCTCCTGTCACGGCTATCCTTGTTTCCTAGGCCTAGAGCTTCCATTCCTTGGTTAATGTAATCGGACACGCTCTTGCTTCGTTTCCGGGGGCGGCGGTCATCGTAGCTATCCTGAGAGCTGGATCGGCCCCGACTGCGACTCCGAGGGCGCGACTTGGACCGGAACCGATCGTAGGCCTCCTTACCCGCAGCGGCCAGGGCGCCCGTGGCGACCAGATTCTTTAGCCCGCTCTGGCTTTGGGAGCGACCCCGCCCCCGGGACCTCGACCGGGACCTGGATCCGTTGATAAAGTGGTTCGCAGCCAGACCAGCCAGGGTGGACTCGAGGATATGGCGCTTAGAATGCTTGTCCGGATTCCGATCCACAAGCCCGTCGGTACCGCCAGCCGTGATCGCCGCTGTGAGGATACGCTTGCCTTTTTCACCGGTCCACTCGCCAGGCTCCTTGCGGACCCGGAAAGCCTCCACTGCACCCGCGGCTAGGGCCGCTCGAACGGCTTGGGCGATCCGCTGCTCGCTTTTATCCCGACGGTGACGACTTCTGTCCCGACTGGGCGAGGGGGAGTAGGAGTAAGACCGGCGATCCCGGCCATGCGAGCGACCGCGATCACGTTCGCGATGCTTGGAGCCTGACGAGGCGACCGAGCCTAGACCTAGGGCCCCCAGAGCCTGCTCCGAGATGGACTTGCGACGGCGCCGGGGAGGAGAGCGACTATCCGATGGCGAGCGGGAATATCTGTGACGATCATCTACAGAAGTCAGCATGCGAGTGATTCCCCCAGATCATGTAATATTGCGTACGTCGGTCATCATGTCGCCGGGAATGGCGGTGGGAACGACGGTGATGACCCGAGTCATCATAGTTGGAATCGCGATAGCCCATAGAGTGGGATCTGCGCACGCCCTCCGAGACGGTGGAGACGCGGGACGGTCTGGCCTGAGGGGGGTAGCCGTAGCCGTATTCGTAGCCATACTCGCCGGGAGGGGCATCGTATGAGTCGACGCTGCCATCGCGATGACGGACGACATCCATGGGGTGACGACCACTAGAGTGGGGAGCAGGCGCGTAGTAGTAGTCTGGGTTGTAGCCCCCGGGCGGCCGGGGGTACTGGCGGCCTTCGTAGTAAGTCATGGGCGGGTGGAATGTATGGGGAAGTGACGAGGAAGGCAATGGAATTGATGAGGTTGATGGAAGATGATGAAAAGGGAAGATCAAGAGGGATGGTTGATGAAGGAGGAGGAAGAGGAGGAGGAGGAAAAAGAAGTGAAGTGAAGTGAAGGAAAGAAAAGAAAAGCGTGGCGATGGGGCGGGGCAGGGCCCGTGACGTAGTGGAGGACGAGGACGAGCAAGATGGAGGAATAAGGCAGGTACGACCGGCAGGGGCTGGGCGATTGGCTGCCTCACGCCCGCCAGTGTTTCGGACAGCTTCGGCTGAAACCCACAGCGTCTGAACACATCATGATGAATTGGTGTTGCCTACCAGTGTGACGGGTACTTGGAGAGTACTCTTTGCAGATACGAGAAATCATCTGTAGGATGTCGTCCGTCCGATGTACTCCGATGTAGTTCTGGAATTCAGGGTCTGGCCGCTGACATCATCACTCCCCGCTCCCTGCTCCCATTCGACGCATACATTACTCGAGTACATTGTAGTACGTACAGATAGCATGGAAGATGAGATGGTGGAATTGGCCACCAGCTGAGCCCATGTTAAGTCACCAGATGTCAGAAACCATGCCCGGGGAATTTCCCCATGTTTTTGACAGGTCCACGTCCCTGATCCAATTTTCCACCCCGGTTCCGCCCCGCCCGATCCGTGGTTCGGGACTGGCCAGTTTACACTTGACAGAGATCAAACACAGCAGATTTGCGTCGTGAAGAGTTGCCTCTCATTGATATTCATTGGTTCCGTCTCGGATCCAATGTCGTAGATGATCTATTGTACATTCCAGAAACAGTTTCGGCCGTCGCTCCCAAAGAACCGGTAACAGAGGTATTCGTGGCACACAAAGGAAACAAGACAAACATACACGCTGACAAGCCATTCAACCAGTACAAGAACAATGCAAATGGGGTGACCCAAATAAAAAAGAGGGAAAAAGGGATACCGTCCAGAAGGACGGTACACAGAATTAAATCCACCACGACCCACGAGAGTGCCGCCAGCAGCCACCCCGGCGCCGCTCATGGGCGCCTTTTCTTTTCCGTATAACGCCGTTGCTCCGACGGGACTCGTCTGGCCCGCCTTGGGAAAGAGGGAAGACAAAATTAAGGATATCCAGAGAATGGAAAGGTCATGCTCTTCTCACGTATCCGCTCACTCATCATACTCGTGACGCCATCGGTTCATACGCTCGATGACTGCCACTGGCGGGCATCGAGCCGTCGTACGGGCTGTCCATCTGCGTCCCACTGATGGAGCGTTGGTGGTTGTAGACCGAGGCGTTGCTCCTCCGTGTCGACCAGCTCCCACTGCCATCACTGTCCCGATCCGTCGCCATCGCCGTCGGCATCTCTTCTGAGTGCGTGCGGTGAGTGCGGATGTGCTGCTTCATGTTGTCCTTTCGCGTAAAGGCCTTGTTGCAGATGGGGCAGTGGACGCTCTTCTCCCCCGTGTGCTTCTTGCCGTGGCGGGCGGCATGTCCCGAGGTCGTGAATGTCGCTGAGCAGCCATGGCTAGCAGCAAAGGGACAGGGGTACTTGTTCTTGCGGACCCCGGATTTGGCCGCCATAGACTCTTTGGTGCTGCCGATCGAGGGTTGCGGCGACGGGGGCTCGGCAACGGAGCTGCCGCTAATGCGCTTGTCGGAGAGAGGGCGGTAAGCATTGGGATCCTGGCGGCTGAGGTGGTAGTGCGAGCGAACGCTGGTGCTGCTCATGTAGTCGTAGGAGCAATCCGAGGAGCCGGGCGACGTGGGCTGCGTGGGTTCGGACACCGGGTCAAATGGGTGGCGCGCCAACCCCGGCGATACCGATGGGGAGTTCACATATGCATGGTGGTAGCGGAACTCTGGCGCCGGGATCGGCTGTTGGGATTCATAGTGATAAGGATAGGATGACACCGTTTGCTGTCTCGAGAGCCTTGGGGCTGACCGAACGGTGAAGGCCGGGTTGTCGTCGTTGTTCAAGATCGACACAAAACTGGCTTTGCAGCTCGCCATTTTGACACCGATGGAGAAGTTCAGCTGCTGAGGAGTCGTTAGTTGGATGTTCTTTTTCTTTTTCTTTTTCTTGCTCGGTCTATTTCCGCACTGTGCTTCTCCCTCTTCATTCAGACTGCAGAGCTGAGACAGAGCGCACACAGGTGTACAGTCCATCGACCCAGATGAACACGAGGAGAAGAAAACAGACAGCGAAAACTCGAGAAGAACAAAAGTACGTACCAGGACACTTCGAGAATGTTTGCCTGTTCACTTTTGTGTAACAGGGCGCTCGACTATTGACAGACCCCGGAGAAGAAGAATGAATAAGACTCGAGGAGTAATTCGAGGCGGCACCGGCCTGAATTTGCCAGGAAGATGGAGGATGGTGTTCAACAAATCCCCCGCCGATCTGGCACAGAGGAACCGATGATCCGAATTCAACCCACCAGAGGGTTATCACGATGGACCCGCCGACAATTGGAGCAGGCGAATCAGATGGCAATTGCAAACTGGCCCAGTGGGATTGCAGAACCAGCAAAAGCAATCACGCTTCTTGTTTCTTTTGCAGCCTGTGTTAAAGACAGGACGAAGCAGTCGTTCCAAAGAAGTGCCGAGTCGGGAGAGCCGGAATAGAATTAAATCAGTGATACTGATAAGCCCACGGAGATAGGCGTGGAGTAAACTCGACAGGTAGATAGATGTTGGTGATGGTAGTAGTGGTGGTGGTGGTGGTGGCGGTGGTGGAGAGAGAGAAGTGGTTGATCGGGGATAAGTAAGAAGCAAGATGGATAGATAGGGTAGATCGGGATCGAAGACAAACGATAGACCAAGCTTTTCGGCTCGAAAGGGGAAAGGAAGGAATCGGAGGGCAGGGAATGATTGGGGAAGAAAAGAGGTCGAATGGGACGGGCAGGGCAGGAAGATTAATATGAACCAGCGACAGGAGAGGCAAAGGAACGTCGCGCAAGCAGGCGACTAAGAAAGAAGCATCTTGAAACCCGTCCAGGGTCCCTCCCGAAGCTCTGGCCATCTGGAAAGTCCGTTGACTTTAGTTTGCTAGGAGTGGGTAAGTTCACGGTGGACTCGCTCTCGACGCTAGTTCGCCGGAGTGGAGCTGAAATAGGCATCATCATTCATGGTATTGTGTTAACTGTTATACTGTTCTGTAGGCCCTGAGGACAGGGTCTACTGAGGTATTGTTCTTCAGGTGCATACTTCTACGACACTTTTACAACACTTCTATTTATTTCTTCTCTACCTTCCTCTCAATATCATGACAATAATTACGAAATAATACCCCCAAGACAAAATCTTAGTCAGTCCGAACCCCGGGGCCCATACCAAGGTTCCCAAGCTGGACCTGAACTTGACCCAAGAGCCACGAGTAGCCACGCGGATCAACCAAACCGTATGCGAGACCCGTGGCTTTGCCTGTCACTCGAATTCTTTTTTTATAATAATTTTCTATTCTGAAATTTGCAGACCGAATCCAATGAATAATAACAACAAGAGGGTAGGTAATCTGACGACGACCGACGACGACCCCTTTCAGGGCCAGGGCCCATTACCCAATTCAGCCCCCCTCCCCTCCCCCTCCACCATCTACCATTTTTTCATAAATTAATTATTTTCCCACCGGGGGATCTAACTGATTAGATCCCTGCCTGGCACCGTACGTGGTCCTTGTCGTCAGCTGAATGGGCGAGAAGTGCATAAAACGTACATAATAATAAAAAACAAAATTGATTTAATTTTATTTTATTATTCGTCCCAATCATAATAATAATCTAGCAGTAATAATAATAGCGAGGTCGAAGGTGCAAAAAATCAGAACCTTGACTAATCGGAATTAGTCTGGTCCGGTCGCGTCCAGTCAGTCCCTTAGACCGGGGAGGAGAGAGACACACATATATCCATCCAATGAGAGTCGACTACCGACTCCGACTCCGTGTATTATATCATTTCAAGGGTTCTCGAGTCATCACTTATCGGGTAGGTACCGTGTACATAGTAGGGATTTGTTTGTTGGTTAACGGTGTTCATTTATGCAGTAATACAATGACATTCATTATTTCATATTCTGTACAGTGAGAGATACATCGGAGGTCGGTCAAAAAACCCTAAGGTATCCCCGAGCCGCCACAAAAATCAAAATGCAAAAAGAAAAGAACGAAAAAAAAAATGACAGAATCCTACTGGATCTATCAAAGCCCAGTGCCGCGCGCGCGCCAGGACGCCTCGCTCGTGCGGCCATGCACAGAAAAAAAAAAAAAAGGCACGGTGTGTCGATCCCTACCTGGCAGGGTAAAGTGGCCCCTGATTACATCCCCAGAAGAGGCTTACGGACAAGCTTTTAGCCACGGAGGGAAGGAATCCATGGGATGGGGAGGGGGGTTGAGTTATGATTGGGTGGTTTTTTTCCCATGCTGACATTGGTGTATCTGGCGCTAGTGATGATACCAGTATTCACTGTATGCTGTACGATTTACGGACTATGGAGGGGGCCAGAGGGAGGGGAGGAGAGGAGAGGGAAACTTTCACTTCAGGGGATTAGAATCGTTAGAGCTATTCTTCATAATACGTATGGAAGTTAAATTGGTGGCGATACGGGATGATTATCCTCTGATCGTCCCCTGTTTGGGTATTCTTGTCCGAATCGTTGGTCGGAGGTAAAGTCGTGCGACTCGGGGGGTGGTGTTCGATGGTCGAGGCCGAGGGGTAAGTCGGAGGTAAGTTACAGAGTAGGCAACGTAGGGATTGTGGGGTGAGCGAGGGTCGGTCGGTACTGCCTCAGAAGGCTTTACTATGTACTCCGTACTTGAAGATACGTGGATTATTTTCTGTTCCGTTTTATTTAATCTATAATTTTAAGGGCATTTCTTGAGTTGAGTAGTAGTACTCCGTACGGAGAGTACTGAACCGACGTTCTGGAAACCAGCGCGTCCCACCCGACCCGAAATAGCTTCGATTCTCAATAGCGGAGGGGCACAGTTCAACCGCAGTGCCCCCGTCCTGCCAATAATAGCCCGCCAGCGTCAGAGCCGGGATAAAATTATCCTCCCGTGGTTGTTGCAGATTTGTTTGACTCTGACTATGAATAGATGCTAGAACCCTGCAGACACACCTACATACTCTACATCGTGAATAGATACGGAGTACATGGGTAAAGTATGGAATATGGATTCCCCGACAGGGGCAGAGGCAACAACCGGGATAAAGATTTACCAATCACGATGGAGAGAGTCAGGTCCAGTTTTACGTAGATAGTACCAAACTACGGAGCATAGTACCAACAGTTTCCGGACCCCTCTTCCCCATCGGCGATGATCCATAACACTAACAAGTCTTAGCTTTCATCTAGATAGTGCAACTGCAACTGCAACTGCCAGTAGATACAGTGGTTCAAGACTAGCTAAAGAATTGACAAGCATTTAATCTACCAATGCATACGTGGACGCATCTCTCCCATTCTCATCCGATGCAATCTATCGTCTTGGCTGAGGATGATAAGCACCTATGTACATGCTTACATGGTGAAATGGCGCCATAGGGACCTGCTACGTACAGGAGGTAGAGAAAGCTTGGCGGGACCCTGAATTCGCACTCCCTCCCTCCCTCCTCCTCCCTGCCTCAACCAGATACTTGGACACGTACCTGAATTGATTCCTGTAGATACTTACTCCGGTATCTATCTATTACGGAGTCCCTGTAGGCAGATACCACAATTCAGGACTAGTCTCCTCACCAGGATAAATGAACAAGAAAAACAAAAAGAAAAAAAGGCACCGATGATGTGGACCGCTTGATCCATCATACGCGTCAGGGCCCCGGGATAACGTCAGGAAAAAAGCCCCGGTTCCAAGCGCTTGACGTTGCCGAGGAGCCCTGAACCGGTCTTTCCACCCTGCATCGGAGATCGTCATTGGTCAGATCCAAAATGTTGATGCCTACAGCACAGCTAGTAGTTCGGAGTCGCAGAAAGCTTGCGCATCGTGAGGGGACGTCTCGGAAATCGGGGCCAACATGCAATAAGGGCCGGCTGGGTATCTTATTCGTGATGGGGTTCATTTTTACATAGTATTCGGGGTTAACATCTGGTAATTTGTGACTCGGAGAATTGTGTCAGATTGAGAGCATTCAAGCAAAGGGTCATCATTATCGTGATTGGATGTCCTGAGCATAGAGGAGATACCTGACAGCAGCGGCTAAAAATTGGCAAAGTGGGAAGAAAAGCCAAGATCGGGGAATGACGCGGATCACACCTACTAGACAGATAATAATGTTGGAGTAAATAATAACAGGGACGATGATTCGATTGATCTAAGACATGGTGGCGGCCTGATGTGGTGCTTTGGCATTGTGCATGCACACTGATGGGGTCCATTTCCGTAGGGACTCCGTCTTCCGACTTCCGACGGACCAGCACCGGCACAGCACTGAGTTGATGCTGGCTGAAGCAAGATAAGAGTGATTTACGCACTTGTGTGCAACACCGCTTCTCAGTTACTTAGGTGCCAGCAGTATGCAGTATGTAAGATGTCATCTTGCAGTAGAAATAAGAACGACTTGTTCGATGTGAATTGCGTGGCTGGACTAAAGCAGACTATACGAGTCCCTACAGGAACCGAAGCATGGACGAACGAGTCAGGTGGTTCGGATTGGATATTGGGACGCCACCGTGGCAGCCAGCCTTGAGGGAGTCTGGAGAGGAGATCAGGGTCATCGTGTATCTACCTTTTACTATTACTTCGTACGGTGGACTGATACGAGTACGCTGTGACTAAGCTGCCGAGCCAACCGAAGCATCCTCGAATCGACAGCAGATCATCTGGCAGATACGGACGCGTATCGTCGGTACTCCTACTATCTATGGCCAGCCATGGGCGACGTAGAATTGCTTTGTAAGCGGCATCTCCACCGCATTGAGCTTGGCTCGATAACAACTAACCCTTCACTTTCTGGTCGAGATCTTGAAGAGGGTCTACCAAGCAGGAACATGCGTATACTACCGTGGCTCAGTCTCCATCGGCAGTCTGCAGACATTTTAAGTCTACCCCTGGAAAGTGGAATATCAAAGAAACGAGTGTGAAGATCGCAGGGCCAGAGCCAGGGAACGACGCTGTCAATGCACCGGACCCAGTGCTCAGTTGCTCACACCGAGAACACACATCTGAAACAACCAATGTTTAATGTGATCAGATCTTACCCATACCCATAGGCACATACCCAAAAATTCATATAAGAATATAATAAAAATTATATCCGATGTTGAGTACGGAGTACTGACATATCATCTCGGCCACCCTCCGTAAATAAACTTTCATTGTTAATTCTTTACCCGGAGGGAGACGTACTACCAAACAAAAAAACCAACCCTGAGCCCACTGAACCAGCCCCAAAACCCAACCCAATAAAATAGATTAAAAAAGGAAAAAAAAGCGAAAACCCTTATGCCAAGTGTCAGTACCTTACTGTGGCTTGAGCCCTATGGACCCTGACCCGGCTACACTAGACCGCCTTGGGTACTGCTCGGCGGAGGGTAGAACAACCGGTGCCAGACCAATGCAGGGATTTCACATACTAGTTCTTCCGGAGACTCCCTAGTCCTAGTTAGTGGGTGCTAGTCTTAGTGACTCCGTTCTTAGCGATGATTCCAGGGGAGAGACCGCGGACTGGGAGGGTTGGTTCATTTCGTGTGTCTTTTGCTGTTTTGGGGAGGATCTACGATCCCTTCTTACTACCACTTATTATCTATTATTCCTGGTGGTTTATTTTGTGGTATGGAAGAATAGAAATATAAATCTATGGGTGGTAATGGTTGGTGCAGGAATGACCCCGACCTAAGCTTCTCTTTGCTTTTTCCGTACGCCGTATTCTACCTCGTTTAGTTTCCTTTGTGTGATAACTTCGTACTTACCTACGGAGTATCCGTACCAATGGCAACCAAACAAATACATAAGCCGGATATTCCGGCATTCCGTGTCCCTTCCTTCCCTTAATCACCACTTATCTACGGCGCTACGCCGCACACGTATCTAGATGCTTGGTCCGAGCCGATGTTGAGGCAAGCGTACGTATACTAGACCTATCTACGTAGTCTAGTATCTAGACGTAGGGCGGGTGCCCTGCGCCCCGACACGATACGTATGTAGCGCGCTGTTGCGACTGCGATTCTATCTTTAGGATGGGTTGTCTCGAAGTCGAGACTCGAGACAGGACCACTTAGTACTATGTACTTCTCCGGTACGGGATTGATGTTTTCCGAATGGAGGACTTTGTAGATCATATCGGTTCAGATTAGTTCTAGCCAGCAACCAAGTAGCCACGCTGCTCAAACTTCAAAGAAAGTGAGTGAGTGAGTGAGTGAGTGAGTGGTGGTGAACAAGAGAGGGGCTCGGGCGATGCGAAACCGCTCCATCGCGGGATCTCAGTCAGGGTCGGGTCAGGGTAAGTTAACTAGTCAGTCAGTCAGTCAGGGCAGGGTTCGGGAATCGGTTCTCCGTCCGATAAGGGGCACTCTACCTACTCTCAGTTCTGAACGATACCAAGTAAACATAAGACATGGCGAATAGCGATAGGCTGACAATGGCCACTACCCATGGCTCAAAAAAACCACCCGGTAAAGTCCAATCCGTTGAGTCACAACCCAACCCAACCCAGGAAGCGAGCGAGCGGGCAAAGCACACGCAACCTATGGAAACAGAATCGACCCTACGATCTTCAGGGTCCGAAAAGAAAGTTCGGAACCTCGCTGGAGCACCAAGCAAAGGTCGGACCAAGGTCGCATCGAGGCGCGAACTAAACTCTCTACGGTAGTTGATATCCGACCGTGACCCTCATCATCCATGATCCGAGGGACAGGAGCCGAGGAGGGGGGGAAATCAATGGTACCGTACTCCGTATTGGATACCGAAATGGGTAATTTACGCTTTCCGAGGACGGGGAGGAACTCAAGTCAGTAAGATTACTCCGGGGCCCGCATATACGTTTTTCCAGGGGAGTGGGGTGGAACTAGTGTCTTCTTAGCTACGCGCTAGTGAGGGTTGGTTGGGTTATCGTGCAGAAATCCGGTGGAGAGGACGAGTCGGAGGAATTGGGTGATGGTGGTGAATTTGCTGGTGATGGCGATTGCGGGAGATGGAATTGCCGGGTTTGTTTCTGCTGCCTTGCTTGCTGGTGAGGATATGGATGGCAATGAGGAGGACGATGGCATTGTCAAAGTGCATTTCCGTTAGAATTCATTTGTGATTGTACTGTCCTATGTACACAGTACAGCGATATCAACCATGCAAATAGTCCTCCTCAACTAGTATCACCCACCACCACCACTAGCAACGCCAGCTGCGTAAGCAGAGACGTCACTCAGTGGGGTCCGAGATTTGACATGCCGCGCGTAGAATTAGATTAGTCCTCAGATACGCATGGATGACCCGGAGACTAGTCTGCTTAAGGGCTAATTCGACGCCCGCCGTTCTAGACTGTCGCCATGGCGGTTGGCAGTGTTTTCAGGGCTCGACTCGATGCGCCTACCGGCCCCCCGAAGCCCCGAAAGAGGGTCAACACGAAGTACCTGGCCCAACATACGTAAGCCACAAACTACGGGGTAGGGACCGCCGTCCATAGATCAGGTGTCGAACCACCCGTCGTCGGGGCTTATGCCTCCTTCCATCCAACCTCACTACGGAGCATAGGTGGTTCTCCCGCGTACCTGCGACAGCCCACGGTTCGTATCCGTTACCTACCAGCAATCCTCTTCATGATTCACATCTCCGGATCGCCGAGAGTTCCCTCTTGTCACCTACGTAGGTGCATACGAATGCTCCGGCGCCCGGTGGGGCCGGCCTAGCGCCGCCTGGCGATGATTAGGGCTCGCGACTAGTATAAAGAACTGGACTCCAAGGTTGGGCGGGGATGCCATTGGGGCGGGCCTCATTTAAGGGTTCCCTTGTTTTCTTTTTCGCCTCATGGGGTCTTCACCGAGGCATCGAAATTTTTCTGCCTGCTCCTGCTAGTGTCGGCGTTAGCAGAAGAGGCCTACGTAGCGGCTTCTCATTCATCCCGTCAGAGATAATGCCATGTCGTGACGAACAAGTTCCGACAAACACCGCGGACGGACGTTTCGGATTCCGACTCGCTCCTGTTGAGTACGTATGTGTATGGAGTACCCCTACGCGCTTCCGATGGACGAACACGCATGACGCTGCCTCTTCTGTACGGGTGTTCCGTACCTCCCAGCCAGATGGTGGTTGCTCGCCTGGCCGATCTCGCTCAGTCCGGCGAGTGGGAGGCCTCGTGCGCGGTGTTGTACCAGACAGCGCGGAGGATTAATCCAATATCATTTATCGAGAGTAATCTCGGCGCAGCCTGCAGAGAAGATCATTCCTTCTCCGTCGTAGTGGCCAGTGTCGCCGTCACTGACAGGATCAGACTACCATCTAGCAAAGTATAATGGCCCCGTGAGTCTCGGTGGTAGGCTAGTAAGCAGCCACCAGAGGACCCTGGATTGGGGTGCCTTGGGCTGCTGCTAAGACTGATCACGTATGCCAAACGCAGGCGTTATTCGTGAGCCTTGGTTGGTTCATGCGTCGGCGTGGTACGTTTCCAGGCGGGAATGGGTTGATTGTATTCGTACTATGGTCTTGGCTAGGTTGGCCTCTTGCAGGTCCCAAGCAGGGTCTACGTCTTGCTCTGCTGTGTGCGTCAGCTGCGTTGGACCCTTGACTGGTGGCTTCGGACGACTACCGTTAGTGATGGGAGATTACTCTGCTCACCTCGCTTGTATTGGGCTTGATAGGGGTGTATTGTCATCAGATAATGTAGAGCCCAAAGACGGTCTTGCATGTCTTATCGAGGTGGTGTCAAGGCTGACTGCCCAATAAGCGCACCGTGCTATGCGCTCAGCCAGCCAAAGCCGCGCTGAGTCTGCATACGCTTGTGGCTTTGACAACTGCATGTTTCACCTGTCGTCAGAACAGTCATGAAATCGTGATATCAAGTTCGATATCACTGATCAGTCCTCTTTTTTGATACCTGATTATGGTCAATAGCTGACGTTGGCTTTTAGCGACCCATAGCCTAGTGGAGCGTACGAATGAATCCACCGGATAGTATCTTCGTCGAACTCAGCCTCGCCCCAAGTCCCCCAACCCACGCTTCGCTCCCATCCACCCGGCCCTGTTACGAAGCTATCCCCTTTCGCTGGCCCACCTCAATCATGCATAGTCGGATCGGGTATACAGCTCGGCGCCCCAATGTCCACGAGGCTGCGCCGCTTGTTGCTTACGTCTGAAAGGGGCAGGCGAGAGGTGCCCATGTGGTGATGAATTGCCCAGAAATGGGCTGTTGCTGCTACTTGACCTTCACTGCAAAGCCTGTGACAGAAAATTGGCTGGGGTTCTGCTCCAATATAGCGAACAAGAGGATAGATGTATACTGAGTGCAGAGGGCTCAGATGGGTTATGGCACCTATGTCATGTCGGTGATAGGTTGGTTAGAGGTGTGACAAGTCCCTCTGCACATAGAGCATATCGAGTATAGGCTACAGACATTGATCTCATCCATGCTGCGGGTTGTGAGTGTTGTCATTCCCTGTGCATGTCGTTGAGGCTGCCCGCATGTTCAGTAGTGCTTGGCATGAACGTTCCGCTAATATTCCTAACCAGCAGATATACTGACTGAGACATGATGCATTCCTATGCGTGTATGGTTCAACAGCCCTGGGATCATTTCATAATGATGTGTGGCGAAGGTATTCCATTGGCAGAATTGAGACTGGAATGCTTGACATTGGAATGTAGTGGTCACTCCTTGCGAGTCAGGGCTCGCCGTGTCTCATACTGTCCGACGTGAATCACTGGATAACAACGGCATCGCTATACTCTTGAGTGCGAGCGATGCAATTTGCGACTCTTCTTACTCCAATATTCTCACTCAATAGTGGTCTCAGCTTAGTCGGAAGTCCTGCCTCATAGTGACATTTTGTGAATCCAGAGCGGACAAGGTGGCATGTAAAAGTCATTCGATGGCTGAACTCGACGTGAGGCGCGACTGGCAAACGCGTGGTATTCTCTCGCGACGCTTCTCCGACCATGTCCATTCCACACGGCGGCAAAATGATTGTGCAGGAGTCCAGGGCAACAACGGACGGTATATCTAGCAGGCGACGTCTCTTCAGGTGTTAATCAGACATTCATCAAACTTCCTTCTCAACAAATACCTTCGTTAGTCTCTCTTTTTCAAGAGGTGGCTTTAATTCCATTTTGATACCATATACCACATCACGCTGCCATCTATCATGTTCTCTCTCACCAAAGCTTCGTCAGTGGCTTGCGTCCTCCTGGCATGCCTTACCTTTTCATCAATTACCCAAGCACTTCCTGTCCCCGCATCAGACAAGGAGACAGCTTCCAGATTGTTGGGCTCGCGATCACCGGATGCGGTATGCGCCACATCTCATTGGCATCAATCAAAGTTAGCTGACAGTGACCCACAGAGAATGATTCCTAACGCCGAAGACCGTGATCTCGTTACGTCTCTCTTCAACTCGCTGGGGTTCAGCGACCTGGCCGATCTTAATCACTGGAAATCCGACAATGAGCCCGTCATTGATGATAGCAACAGCCCCGACAGGACGGAGACCACCCAAGACAACACTGTTGACGATAATGGCACCATCCGCACAGATGACCCTGATAGCGGTGATAAGGACAAGGATGAGGACAAGAACAAGGGCGACAAGGACAAGGGGGACAAGAACTCCACTGAGAAGGACAGCCAGAATGATGGCCAGCTTCCGAACCCTGCCACGGATCCGACGGGGTTCGTGACGGCCTTGATGCAGAAGATACAACACACGGTCAACGAGGCGCTGGATAGCAGCGATGAACACACGCTCAACTGAGCGATGCTGGAGAGGGTTCAAGTCCTGTGATTCTCCTGGAGAGCTGAGTTGGCAAGCAGCTCGCTACTCTGACGTTTTTTTATCAATAGTCTGGTATTCTGTTTGTGAAAAGTATTCAGCGGCGTGTCACGATTGACGAAACCAATGGCAAGGAACCTGTATGATTAGTTAGTCCTTAGTTAGCAAATTGACTGAGTCTTGGAACCAATACGAGTAGATCGGTCTCCGTTCTTCGCTTCCGTGGACCCTGAATGCCTCCTGGATCGGACCAAGCACTTAACTCCACCTAAACCCGGGCCATCCGCTCGGCCTTTGGCCTATCACCGCGAATGATCTTACAAATCTTGAGGAATACACTCCGCTCAGATTCGATCAGCGAGCTTTGGATTCATCCATGAGTCACAGGCAGCTTTTTGTTCCGTCATCCGAGGACGTTGTGGATGCTGGAGGAGGAAAGTTCAGGAAGGGTCCGCGAGGGGAACCGAAAACGAAAGCAGCCGCGGGCAGCGATAAAAGCCCCTCAGAGACCCTTTCGTTGTGGTCGCAACTCAAACCCACTTGCACTTCCTTTTTGACCCCTCGACCGAAAACCACCCGTGAATCGCTACACCACAGCCAGCAGCATGCCTTTGCTCAACGGACGAGAAGTCGGCGACACCGGCTATGGAACCATGAGTATGTTTCCACAACTATCCTAGTCCTGCAGCAGCTAACAATGATGTCAATCTAGGAATGACCTGGGTCCCTCAGCCTCCCCCACATGAGCAATGCTTCGACACCTTGAACACCACACTCAAGCTGGGTGCTAACTTCTGGAACGCCGGCGAGCTCTACGGTACACCCGACTACAACTCGCTCCACCTGCTGAACAAGTACTTCACCGAATACCCCGAGAACGCCAGCAAGGTGGTTCTCAGCATCAAGGGTGGCTTGAAGCGTGGCGTGCTCACTCCCGATAGCTCTGAGGCCAACATCCGTCGGAGTGTGGAGGAGTGCCTACGCGTGCTGGACGGAAAGAAGACAATCGACATCTTCGAATGCGCCAGACAAGATCCCAACGTGCCGGTGGAGCAGCAAGTGGCTGTCCTGGCCCAGTACGTCAAGGAGGGCAAGATTGGGGGCATTGGCCTGAGTGAAGTAAATGCTGAGACTATTCAGAGAGCGTACGTTCCCTCGCACCCTCTCTTACAAAAGCTGGATACGCAGGCGGCGGCTGACCAGGCGCAGTCACAAGGTCCACCCCATCGCGGCTGTAGAGGTTGAGTTGTCCCTCTGGGACACCACGGTCCTTCACAACGACGTTGCCAAGGTCTGCGCTGAGCTCAACATCCCGGTGGTGGCATACTCGCCTCTGGGCCGAGGTGTGTTGGCGGGGGCCTTCAGCAGCGCGTCTGAGATCCCGGATGGCGATTTCCGGAAGACGCTACCGAAATTCAAAGATGAAGCCATGAAGGAAAACATTAAGCTGATCAACGAGGTCAAGGAATTGGCCACGCGTAAGGGCGTGGCTCCCGTACAGATCGCACTAGCTTGGCTTCTCACTCTGAGCGGCAAGCCTGGCATGCCGACTATTATCCCCATCCCCGGTGGTACAACCGTCGACAAGGTTACTCAGAACCTGGAAGGAGTTCCCCGCTTGAGCGATAGCGATATGGATGAGATTAAGAGCATCTTGGAGCGGATTCCGGTGGTTGGGGCTCGCTACTAAAGCTACGGTGTGATGTCGGGTCGCGCCCAATCGAAGGCTCAGAAGGTATATGTATATCAACAGTTATGAAGGCTGAAATTAATTCCATTGCTATCTATTAATTAAGAAAGGTCCTGATTGATCCGGGACTGTCAGCGGTTGATCAGGCAGAGGCAGAAAGCTGCATGAGCATAATGAAAACAAACAAATGATTGATCAGATCAAGTGTAGAAGAGTCAACATGCAATCTCACAGAAAGTAGGAGATTGTCCGAATTGCAGAATTCTTGATTCATTCATCACGGAAATTGCAGGAGGAACAAGCAGACACGCGTCGGTAGGAATTGGCAGCAACTTACCCTGCGCCAGATGGGCAGGATCTGTTGGGACAGATCACTAGAACGGTAATAAAGAGGATCCAAGCAGGTCAATTAGCCCGAGAGGACAATTGAGATATACATCCAATCTCAATACTCCTCCTGGAAGTGCCAGGTGGTGTGGGAGAAAGAAAGAAACAAAGGAAAGAAAGCGGGAAAGCGGCGGGAGAAAATTGGCGGCGCAATAGCCTCATCACGTGCCGGGCAGTCAGCCCAGTGTATACTCCGGCGCCGGATTCACCTCCAATCACCCTAAACATTGCTCGCTTCTACAGTCATTGTCAGTAACCCTCTCAGAGGTCCACCGTTGTCGCTCAAATCCCCGCTATTCACCTCCAATCTCTGAAGCGGGTCCCTTCTGTTTACCACCATGACGGAATCTCCGGGCTCCCCCCTCTCCTCCATTGCTTCCGACGACATGTCGGATCGCGAGGACCTGAAGCAAGGCTTCTCCCCCTCAGGCTCCAACATGCCTCCCTCAAAGCGTCGTCGCACTGGTGTCGCCTCCTGGGATCGCAATACCCCCGTCTCCACCACTTTCCAGGATGACCTCCCTCCACCCTCTCCCTCAACCTCGATCTCGTCCGATACCTCCGGCGACATTCCCAACTCCCCTACCACCCTCGCTCTCATCGGCGGCAGCCAGGATGACGACTACAGCGGCCAGGGCAACGACCAGGTCACCTTCTGTCGCTGGGATGGTTGCGACGCGGGTGATCTAGGTAACATGGACGGCCTTGTGAAACACATACATGAAGAACATGTCGGTAGCCGACAGAAGAAGTACTCCTGCGAATGGTCCGATTGTAGTCGAAAGGGCCAAACACATGCCAGTGGTTACGCGCTGCGCGCACACATGAGAAGTCATACACGAGAAAAACCATTCTATTGCGCTCTTCCTGGTGAGATCACGTTCACGTCATGTCATCCCTTCCGTGCAAGGACTAACGTGTTTCATCTTATCTCACAATAGAATGTGATCGCAGTTTCACTCGATCCGATGCGCTCGCGAAACACATGAGAACTGTTCACGAAACCGAGGCGCTTCGGCCATCGGACCCCGTGCCTAAACATCACAATATTGCTGCCTCGGCAGCGGGAACGCCGACCGCGACACCAGCTGGCAAGGTCCAACGACTTAAGCTGAAGCTATCATATCCGCCTAAAGACGATGCAGGAGATCACAGCGAAAGCGCCAACGACGACCCCACGGGACCGGAAGAAGATCTTCTCATCGCGCCCGGTGGCTTGGAGAAGGAATTCGACACCTATGAAATGCTGCTTGAAGGGCCACAATTGTACCGGCTGCTACTTCGACAGATCCATTGGGCACAGCAGGAGGGTGCAGAGCTGCGTGATGCGTGGGACAAGATCCGCGTCAAACGGAAGGAGTCATGGATGGAAAAAGAAGCCATCTTCGATGATTTGGTGGAGGCTGAGCTGCGACTATTCAGGGCCATTGTAGGCCCGGATGGCGGATACGGGGTTCCAAATCCTGCACCTACCAGTGGAAAGGACATCTCACACCAGCCAGAGCCACGGCAGTCAGAAGTAGACATGGATCTCGGACAGGATGCTGAGTCTGGGTCTGTCCCACCATGACGCGGTGGTCATCAGTCACTTAATCTCTTTGAGTTTCCTTCCGTCCCTTGTACTACCTTCTCCTTTTGACTTTTGCGCTTTTCCTTTTGGGCTGGTAATGACTTTTGACACTTAATCAAGCAATGTCTCTCCTGCTGCAGACATACCGTCTAACCTATTCACTTGGCACACAATTTTTTCCCTTTGCCCTCTGTCTCCTATCTCAACTTCATCTCCCTCATCTTCCAAAGCTTTTGTTCCTCACATCATGGGCCATGGATCCGCTTCCGGTTAATTCTCGTCTGCTTTCATATCCGCAAAATATCCTGGACTTTGTTACTACTAGTGTGTGTACCTTATGAAATGGGATTGGCGCTACATTGTTTCCTCTCTTCAACTGTCCATAACAATTACACGAAGGCTCTGCCTTCAAAAGTCTCACAGATATAGAAGTTGGGGATAAAGTCTCGGAAATATGCATTTCACTCCTCTTTTCATGTGCATTTCGACACGGTCGAAAAGACATGGTAGCCCATTCAGATGGGGAAGATAAGAAAAAGTAAACCTAGAAACACCAGCCAGCCTTTTCCCGTTGGCAGGGATGAAAGGGGAAATAAAAGAAGAATAAACAGTCACAAGAACAATCGAGGTCTAAGGACACTTCGATATAACACCAGAACAGATGATGTCCCCAAGCTGAAAAAGGACAAACTCCAGGGAATAGATAATCACCCGATGAAATGGAAAAGAAAAAGATACATGAATTCGAAGGATATAAAGAGTTGCCCAACCGTAGGGCCCAATAAGCACGCGGCTGGGATCATCAACAACAACAGCAACAACAACAAGTTCATCGCTCCAGGTATATGGGAGGAGGGAGCGACGAGAGACAGAGATGAGGAGAAATGATATATGTGAACACATCACAAAGCCCGATGCTCCAAATACGCGGGACGCAGATAAGACATAAGAGCCAAGAAAGCTGCCATGCAAACATCATATGAAGGCCACTCATGGGTCAACAACCCTCCTTCGTAGATCATACCAGACGCCGTCGCCATGCTTTCCCAAATGATGCATATGTACCTTTAACATGAATAAAAGCAAAGAACTCCACAAAAACAGGACCGTCGACGTCTTTTGCTGTATGTCGGACTCGGCCACATTCTACTCGCCGTTGGAAGCCGGCTAGCTGGTAGCCGCCTCCTTCCGGGCAGCGATCAGTTTATGATACATTTCCTGAAGTTTAGCCCCCCCGGCCTCTTTGTTTGGCCAGTAGTTTACCGAAACATATTGCCTGTGATGGGAGTTAGACGTGTTCGACTCGAGCTCAGAAGACGCGTGCGGTGACATACCATAAACGAGTCTCCAGAGAAGCCATGGAGCCCTCGCCTTTCAGGTTCTGACCGATGAATTCACCGATCTTGCCCAGTAGACGCCTCAGTTCCGTGGCCCGTTCAGCCTTATTCGGAAAGTTTTCCTTGGTCACGGCCGACACCTTCTTCAGATTCTCACGGATGGGCTTGAAGAACAAGCGAGCCATGTCCTCCTTGCCCGCAGAATAACCATTCTCATTAGGTTTACGACGCCGAATGTCCTCGCTGGAAGCATCAGAGGTCCGATGACGGCTCCGTTCCCCATCATGTACGGACCTAGGGCGAGAATCGTGGTTCGGGGTGTGGTGTCTTTCGACACTATCCCTAGCCCCGTGAGTGTGGGACCGATGCCGGGGTCGTTCAGATTCTCGGTGACCTCTGCGGGAGAGTGACGGTGCTGGAGAGGCCGACACGCTGTTGCTCGCATGCGCGCGGGAGCCTTTCCGGTTGTTCCGATGGTGATTTTCAACGGCTCGCTTCGCGCTGACACTGGAACCGTTCGTGACTTTGTCCCGGAGGACGGATAATAGATAATCGGCACGACGCACAAGGTGGACAGCCCCTGGGGACTTCGTGGTCTTGTCCTCGGCATTCATACGCTCGTTTTTTCTCTCAACACGGTGCTCTTCAAGGAAGAATTTATCACCGAGCGCGAGGTCGGGATCATCCCGGATTTGGGTCCAGGCACCATACCCATGACGTGCAATGCCGACGCACAGCATTCCGTCTTCTCGCGCACCCCACGGGCAGGTATAATCCGCCGCTTTAGTGGCTTCGGGGACACGGAAATTCTTGAAATCAGGCACCGCAGCCGTTGCCTCCTTCAAGATACGCATCTCTGTCGGACGCTCCACGATAGTGTACGCATTGAGGCGCTTGACACCATGAAGGTCAAATAAGACCGCCTTCTTTTCTTTCTTCGTCGGCACTTTACCGGCGTGTTCGAGAGCTTCGAGCTTTTCAACATCTTCCCGCACAAGGGCGGCAGCCTTGTCGGTGATTTCACGGAGAGCAGCCTTGACCGTCTCCCTGTCACGGTCGAGGAGACGCGCCTCGCGGATAACCTCTTCTTCGCGTTCAACAATGTCACCATAACGAAGATATGATCGCAAAAGGTGCCGGTACTCTTTCTCCACAAGTGGCCGTTTCGGATCTGACTGGGAGTTTGAATCCGAATCGTCGGCATTGTCCATGCTGACCTGGGCTCTGGCTTGTCTCTTGGCTTTGCGTTCCTCACGGGTGTCCCGTGCGTCCCCAGGAGCGTTGCGTTTACGAGGTCGATTTTGCTCAATGACTTCCGCAAGATACCGTTCATCGGCCTTCTTCTTTTCTTCTGCTTTGATCTCCTCCAACTGTTCCTTGGGGATGATGTCGTCCCAGCTAAGGTCGTCGACCTTGATGTCAACGTAGTCAAAAGCTCGGAGGAACTCTTCACCACCGTCGGCTTGAATTTCCTCCGCTTGTTCAGTTTGATGCAGTTCAGCGTTGGCGAGGACGGAGTCGATATCCAACTGCTCCAGCTTCTCCTGATTACCTGTCTGCTCGAACATCTTCTGACCACGACGCTTGAGAATACGGGAAATATCCTCTGTCGAGTTCGGCTCGCTGACAGAAATGCCACTGCGAGCCATTTTACTCTGGATCTCCGACGCCTCCTTGTCAGTGACACCGCGTTGGATTGTGATGAATTCAAGCAGAAGCTTGTTCCGCGCTCTCTCAATCACTTCTTCTTCAACAGTATCCTTCGAGACTAGACGATACACACTAACCGGTCTTGTCTGTCCGATACGATGTGCTCGAGCCATGGCCTGAAGATCAGCTTGAGGGTTCCAGTCCGAATCAAAGAGAACCACGGTATCTGCAGTCATGAGGTTGATGCCGAGACCACCAGCTCGGGTGGACAAGATGAATGCGAAGTCACTGCTTCCCGGGGCGTTATAATGTTCAATTGCCAGACGACGGGCGGCCGCCGGAATGGTTCCATCCAGACGCTGATATGAGTACCCTCGGTATTCCATGTAATCGCCGAGGATATCGAGCATTTTCACCATCTGACTAAAGATCAAAACGCGGTGACCATCGCGTTTCAGCTTCGCCAGAAGTTGATCAAGAAGCATCATTTTACCGCTGCTGGTGATCATCGCTCGCAGAACATCTTCCCGGCGAGCACTGCCTTCCAAGATCCTGGCCTCGGCATTTGGAAACATGAACGGATGGTTACTTGCTTTCTTCAGCTCCATCATGATATTCAGCAGCGACTGCTTTTGACCCCTGGCACCGTCATTGAGCGCAGCGTAATTCTTGGTGAGGATGTTCTTATAATATTCCAACTGGATATCAGAAAGCTCGACGCGAATGATCTTCTCCGTCTTTGGTGGCAGGTCAGACTCCACCTTAGACTTGGTCCGACGCAGCATGAAGGGTTGGATGGCCTTCGTCAGCTCTGCAAGCTTGTGGGAAGCCATTTCCCCATTGAGATCCATGTCGGCATCGATATCAACCAAGCCCGGGTTCAAGAAATCCAGCAGGGCAGAGAGCTCGGCGAGATTGTTTTGAATTGGAGTGCCTGTAATAAGAAGACGAGCCGGTGACCTAAACTCAAGCAACTTCAGGTACAGCTGGGATTCACGGTTCTTTAACCGATGAGCCTCATCAACGGCCATGAACTGCCATTTGAACTGGCTCAAGAAGGTCGAGTCTAGCAAAACATACTCATACGTCGTAAGGAGCACGTTGAACTTGGGTCGTTTGGGGTTGCCGTCGACCATGAGTTCATGTTCTCGCAGAACTGTGCGCGCGGCCTCGTTGCCATTGTAGACAACATAGTTCAAATCGGGGGTCCAGTAGTCAAAAGTGTCGGCCCAGGATGGCATTGTCGAGAGTGGCACAACCACCACGAAGGGCCCTTGTTGACGCCGCACATGGCGTAACCAGTTGATGAAGGCCACCGTCTGGACAGTCTTTCCCAGTCCCATCTCGTCCGCTAGCACAACGTTGCGGTTCTTCACCCAGTTGAAGGCCATAAAGTTGACACCTTTCACTTGGAATTCCTTCAGTTGGCCGTTCTGCAAGAAGCTCGGGGTACCCTTGATTGGCTCAAATGGCTTTCGTGTGGCTGGGTTTGATTCGGACTTGTCTGAGACCGGGGGGCGAGAGGAACGATCTAGGAAGCGGTCTATCTCGCGCTGAGCAATATTACTAACGAGCTCTTCACTCTCCCATGTACAAGAGTCGTAAAATAGGCGTTTCCATTTGACGAAGTACTCAGTCCCTTCGTCGCCTTCGCGCATTCCGATGACTCGCTCAACTTGTTTGTAATCCTCAATTGCGTCTACATCCCTCTCCCGATCGAGGTTCCACTTTTCCCGATCCTCGGGAGCGACATCCTCGTCATTCTTGAGGCGGATGTCTTCAGAAAGGACCTTGCGTATGTAGTTGTCAAGACGGCGGGTACTACGACAGTTTGCAAGGCTCTCGACCGTTTCCCATGTGGCATGGTAGTGAGATTTGCCTTGCCATTTGATGTAGAACTCGAAGTCGTGCCGACCGAGGTCGAGGCTACTTGAGTCCGTTCCATCCTTGATGCGATGATTGAGCACGATGTCGACAGCTGGGCGATCATCCTCCATGGTATTGACCCAATAGTTCTGCGTCATCTCGTCAGGGTCATCCTCGAACATGGAATCGTCATCATCCTCATTGTAGTTTGAAATCCGTGAGGCGTTCCTCGTCGAGAAACGAACCTCGGGGTGGGAGGGTACATCGTTCGAGGAGGATTGGAGGAGTCGTCGACGTCTTGCCTTGCTCGTACGAGCGCGTGGGCCGCCGTACTCATCGCTATCCGAGTCTTCAGAGTACGAGGACTGGGTTGCGGAGCGGGAAGGACGTTTCGAGGATGGCTGTGAGGCTGCGGGGCGCCGACGCTTAGAACGGGGAGCCACAGCATCAGAGTCCGAGTCGGAGTCAGATTGGACCACTTGACGCGTCGTGCGGGCTCTTGCGCTTCGACGAAGCCCGTACAGGTCTGGGTTCTGTCGGATATAGTCCGATTCATTGACCGAGGACGATTTACGTTTTGTGCCTCGCCGGGTTTCTGATGATGAAGAGTTTTCAGAGCTCGAGGCATTACTCTCGTTCTCATGGTTTTCCGTTCCAGAACCATCCTCATCTCCCTCAGGGTCCGGGGATCCGGCATTGTAGGACTCGTCCGCGGCGTCTTCGTCGGGGGAGGATGAGGATTCGCGTGCGGCATGGTTTGCAGAGGTGTCGGAGAGGTGGCTTCCACTCTCACTAGCTGCTAGCTCATCTCTGCTGCTGGCAGCATCGGAGGCAGGTGAGACGGAGTACCCATTCATCAAGGCCATTGTGGCCGATGGTTCGGAGGTAGATGGGATCACCATGCTAGTAGCTATAGATGATGAGAGGCATCAGCATTGAAGCCCGACACGAGCCCGGAGAGGGATGGAAGGCACGGCATGGTGTAAAACAGAAATACGCGACTCAGATTTCACAAAAACCGAACAGAATAGGTAGGTGAACGAGGTAGGAGATGAGGGTATGATGGATGGGCATGTTTTTGATGGCGGGCTGGATGAAACGCGACGGAGAGTGTTCAGGGAGAGATGAGGATGACAGGGGCAAATCCAATGGCAAAATCGGGTGCAGGAGAAGAAAACCAGCCAGACCTTGACCAGTAGGACCCCACGAACCCCTCGACACTCCAGATGTAGGGGATATCTGGAGTTGTTCGGTGGGTCGAGACCGTGGAGAAGTACCCCAGCCGACAGTGCCAGGACACGTCTGAAAAAGCTAGGAAAGACGAATAAAATACTTACAATCCATAGCTTGGTGACCCCGAATCAGGGGAAAATGGAGAAGGAAATGGTGAAAAAGTTGAAGGGAAAAGGTGGGGGGGAAGGGGAGGATGGAATGGTGGAGGCAGCAAAGGAACGATGGGAGGCCGCTGAGAATATGATGAGGGAGAGGAAGAGAGTTGTAACGTCGGCTGGAGGTGGACGAGTCGCCGTGAAGGGATTGGCTGTCAGCCTGATCCCTCAGGCTGCCACAGCCCGCCATGCCCGCTGTGGTTTAGCGCACCGCAAGCGAGACTTCAACCGGCCTAGCGGGGTTTAACCATCACGTGCCTAGCGGCCCCGGATCAACCTTCAGTCCGAACAGGCTCGACCGCGGTGGCCAGCGGGCCAATCAACGGAACGGGAAATAATGCAAGCCAGTGTTGCGGCCTGAGGCACTCATGGTTGCCCACAATGCCCGGCATAGTTTTCTTTCGAGAGCCCCTCCTCATCGGGGTTCTCCAGCAACGTTTCTCCTCACTCTCTGTTCGGTGCTGCCTGTGCAGATATCTGGCGCGTTCGCATTCTGCCAGTACAACCCGTCGCGGTGTGATCGGTCTCATTTACTCGAGATTCCGCCTTCATCGACGCTGCTGCTGCTTTACTGCTGCTCTTTATCCCCACTCTCTGTTTCGCGCGTTCGACTCGATCTGAACATCAGGCACCATGTCTGACAAGCTTACTCGGTATGGCCCGCCAGTTCCGACTCGTTCATTTTTTGGCCACCAGAACTAACAGTCTTGGTGTTCAGTGTCGCTATTGTCAACAGTGACAAGGTGAGTTCCTGTACCCCGCGGCATACTCTGCCGTCCCCGTCCATGCATCAACGTTTACTGAGACCTCGCTTTTTATAGTGCAAACCCAAGGTACGCGAAGCCTCGAATATACAAGTTATCTCGCGACACATTGCTTTTCTAACTCGAACGTCCGACCGTCTTCTAGAAATGTCGCCAGGAATGTAAGAAGTCTTGCCCCGTCGTTCGTACGGGCAAGCTCTGTATCGAGGTCACTCCCGAGTCCAAGATCGCCTTCATCTCCGAGCGCCTCTGTATCGGTTGTGGTATCTGTCCCAAGAAATGTCCCTTCGGTGCCATCCACATCATCAACCTGCCGACCAACCTGGAAACCCAGGTCACCCACCGTTACTCTGCCAACAGTTTCAAGCTTCACCGTCTTCCTATGCCCCGTCCTGGACAGGTTCTTGGTCTTGTCGGTACCAACGGTATTGGAAAGAGTACGGCCCTGAAGATCCTCAGTGGCAAGCTTAAGCCCAACCTTGGACGTTACGACAACCCTCCCGACTGGGAAGAGATTCTGAAGTACTTCCGTGGTTCCGAGCTGCAGAGTGCGTATAGACAGTGCATCCAGATCAGAGTACGCCGACTTCTAACCTGATACAGACTACTTCACCAAGGTTCTGGAGGACGATCTCAAGGCTGTTGTGAAGCCTCAGTATGTCGACCAGATTCCCAGGGCCGTCAAGGGCCCTGTCAAGAATGTCGGATCTCTCATCAAGGCCCGCACTCAGCTGGACAACCTCGATCACATCTTGGACACCCTCGGTATGAGACTTTCAGCTGATGGACACTATAACTGGCGTGCTAATTTTGGTTCCAGAGTTGAGACAGGTCCAGGACCGTGATATTGACCACCTCTCTGGAGGAGAGCTCCAGCGTTTCGCCATTGGTCTGGTTTGCGTCCAGAAGGCAGATGTGTAAGCATACCCTCTAGCACCGTCGACCTGTCTTTACACCAGAGCTGACGGAATCACAGCTACATGTTCGACGAGCCTTCCTCCTATCTTGATGTTAAGCAGCGTCTCGCCGCCGCCCGCTCCATCCGAGAGCTTCTCCGCCCTGACGATTATGTCATTGTTGTCGAGCACGATTTGTCCGTCCTTGACTACCTTTCCGACTTCGTCTGCGTGCTGTACGGAAGGCCCGCCGCTTATGGTGTGGTCACCCTCCCTTCTTCCGTCCGTGAAGGTATCAACATCTTCTTGGATGGTCACATCCCCACCGAGAACTTGCGTTTCCGTGATGAATCTCTCACTTTCCGTCTTGCTGAAGCCGGTGACGATTTCTTGGTTGACAAGAACCGTGGTTTCAACTACCCTAGCATGGAGAAGACTCTTGGCAACTTCCACCTGAAGATCGACGCTGGAAGTTTCACCGATTCGGAGATCATTGTCATGATGGGTGAGAACGGAACCGGAAAGACCACTTTCTGTAAGATGCTTGCTGGTGCTGAGAAGCCCGACAACGGCGTCAGCATCCCTCGCCTGAACATCAGCATGAAGCCCCAGAAGATCACTCCCAAGTTCCAGGGAACCGTCCGTCAACTGTTCTTCAAGCGTATCAAGGCCGCCTTCCTGTCGCCCCAGTTCCAGACTGATGTCTACAAGCCCCTCAAGATCGATGACTTCATCGACCAGGAAGTTCAGAACCTGTCTGGTGGTGAATTGCAGCGTGTTGCCATCGTTCTCGCTCTGGGAATGCCCGCCGATATTTACCTCATTGATGAGCCTAGTGCTTACCTTGACTCCGAGCAGCGTATTGTGGCCTCCAGGGTCATCAAGCGTTTCATCATGCACACCAAGAAGACTGCTTTCATCGTCGAGCACGATTTCATCATGGCCACTTATCTCGCCGATCGTGTCATTGTGTTCGATGGCCAGCCCTCTGTTGATGCCCACGCCAACACCCCCGAGTCTCTGGTCACTGGTTGCAACACCTTCTTGAAGAACCTGGATGTTACCTTCCGTCGTGACCCCAACAGCTACCGCCCTCGTATCAACAAGTACCAGAGTCAGATGGACCAGGAGCAGAAGTTGAGCGGCAACTACGTAAGTCTACCAGCGTTATCTTCGGTTTGTGTTCATGTCTATTGAACTGTACTAACTGCGATTATAGTTCTTCTTGGAAGAGGAGAAATGAAGAAGCTGTTCCTGGCAAGTATGACCGCGTGCCTCACAAACGTGACGGCCGCGACTCGGGCCAGCGACGATACCGACGTCGCTGGAGGTACCTTCGGGTAGTGGCGTTTTTCGGCGTTACCAAGGCCTCTGCAGCACAGAGTAGGCGGCGCCGCTGCCGTGGCGTGCGCCTTCCTGGTGATGTGGATGGTGCTTTGGAGGAGGAGGACGAAGAGGAAGTGGGCGACATGTTTGGCTAGGAGCAGTGGTTTACCTGATCCAGCTGATCCTCTCTGGCCCCCGTGTCGTCGCCCCATGGTCGTCCCTTCCAAGCCCATCTACGCCTGCATAGTCCGATATTGTCATCTTCACGATGTTATGGAGTGAAGACACGAGACTCGTCTCTTAGATTATGTTTGGGTACCGGTTTTGGGATGGCGCAGTCATGTCGGAGTTAAAGTTTCCCCAGAGTTCCAAGGTTATTTACGACATGGATGGTCCACCGACAAAGGGTTCGGTGAGAAAAGTTAGCTGGTAAGGTCAAGCTAGGTGACCACTGTCCAAAAGATTTGAACATATTGTATTACGTGCTTTGTTGTCCAATCGTACATATGGCTTAACCGTGTTTCTGGTCCTTGCGTAACATTTGTGCATTCCCTTTATATATTTACTCTACGTATACGACTCGGAATTATTGACTAATAATAAATCCCAACAAATCTCCCTGACCAGACGTACATCCTATGAAGATGCTACGAAAGTAAGAGACAAAGAAAATCGACATACGGTCGGAGCAGCAATTGAACAAAGACGCCGACGAGATGGCTAGATCAACGATCACCTGACATGAAAGAAATCTCATCGGCTCTCCTGCCTTTCACTTTCCACGTCAGCGGGCTTGTTTCTTTGATACTGTGTAGTGATTGCAACGTATTGGGGAGGCTTATTACTATGACAGTGGTAAGTGATGCATGAATTACAACGATTATCAGGCTGAAAACGCAATGAACTCGCTAGTACTTACTCAATCATGTTTCCCCGCAGGCTTCAAGTCAGGAGACCAGCACTTACATCAACCACAATACATATCCTACTCCATGTCCGGACACCCATATCCCGAGGTACACATGACTAGTGTAATCAAGCGTCCGGTCATTGACCCATTGAAACAAATATAAAATCCAAGTCTAGTATCCAGATTGTATATCCAAGTGAACCCCGGACCCGCGGAGCCGTTATGTACCCCGCCAATGATAGAATATTTTATATCCAACGATATACTCCTCAGAACTTGAACTAACTAGTCAAGTCAATGATTCGAAGGCCCTGGTACGATACATGGATGTCAATAGTATATCCAGATCTAGCAAAACTAGGCTATATTAATCTGAACAGGGCGGGCGAGCTTTATTGACCCTTGAAACTTGATTTATATATATATCACTGCACCAACCGCCGTTTCCAATTGACACACAGTTGATTGTGGAGTGTACGACGGGGTTGTATTTGAAGGGTGGCAGAGAGGACGGTTTCGCTTCCTCAGCTTTTTGTGTATGAGATTAATAAGGCAGAGGGTGGTGGTGGTGGTGGTGGTGGTGGAGGATTGCAGATTGAAAGTCTGAGGGCTTATTTGATAAGGGTAGTGTTGTTGATGAAAGCGGCGGGGATGGAGGAATTTTTATCGATATTTTACTTGGGAAGAGCCTACTCTGGTTTTTATTCTAGCAGCATGCTACTTGCTCTATTAGCTCGAGTCAAGTTGAGGGTTGGTTTCGCTACAGAAGACAGCCATTTTATCATACTATGTATATACTATCAGTGCGCTAGGAATCAGATTAGTGTTCATTGGCACTACCTAGGTAAGGTCTGCCAATACTGTAGAGTGCATCTAATCCTCTTCGATCTCTCCCTCCTCGCTGCCGGAGTGGACAGCCTTCTCTTCTTTCTTGGAGTCATCAGCTGCTGCTGCTGCTGGAGTCCGTTCGCGACGCTCCCGGTCTCGCTTGGCACCGCGGCTGCGCTCCCGTTCTCGACTATCACGTCGGTACCGCTTCGCAGAGCGACTGGCAACACTTTCCGTGTCGCTGTCGCGTCTGCGCCTACGATCATTGCTGGTCGTGCTTCGGGTATCGGCGCCATAATCCAACTCATCCCGACCTCCACGAGGATCACCGCGAGTGCGATAGAGGCGTTCACGCTCTTCCTCGCGCTCTCGACGCTCACGCTCGTAGTGGCTGAGCGGACGGGCACTGCGATCCCGGTCCCAGTCGCGGTCGCGGTCCCGATCCCGTTCGCGCTCGCGGTAACGGTCCCGGTCTCGGTCACGCTCCTCTCGCCTTTCTCGGACAGGCGATAGGCCGCTGGCCTTGCGGTAGGATCGTTCACGGTCCGCCTGAGCTTTACGACGGTCTGCCTCGTAGGCATCCGGCTCGGGCGTCCGGCTAAGGCGGCTCGAGGTTCCTCTTCTTTCGCCTCTGTAGGACGGCCCACTGCGATGATCACGGTCACGATCGTGGTGATCCCGGCGACTTCCGCGATCTCTATCACGGGCCTCGCGGTCTCTCTCCGCGTCCTCCTCCTTCTCCTTCAGACGGCGAATGACCTTGTCAAAGGCAGCCTGTCGGAGCTCATCGGTCTCCAGAGACTTGTACTCGTCGAATCTTTCGATTCGGGGCCGCACCTGTTCCCATGTATCAGTAGCACGGACAGGAGGCTCAAGGCGTTTGATCCGGGAACGCAATGCATCTATAGCACGTCGTTGATGACGATCCGCGGCATGCTTTTCTTCCTCACTCCGTCGGAGCGCCTTCTCCTGGACACGCTGGAAGATTAACAGGAGTATCTCGGGATCGATATCGGCCGTGCGGCGATCGCCAGACACAACCACGTTGAATTCTTCAAACGTAGTCTTGGGTGTGACCTCAAAGCGTTTGTCCTAGTTAAAGAGTGGTTAGTGACGGATAAAAGAGATCGTCAGAGGCAAGTCACACTTACATCAAGCACATCCAAGATATCGTTACGCGGACCACGCAATGACCGTTCTTCTTCCTCAACTACATCCCAGAACAGATCCAGAGGAGATGATCCGGAATTACCCAGGATACCGATATACCGGGGATCTTCGCGGATCAACGGGTAGGTGTTCATCCATTTGCTTCCAGCTTTAATTTTGCCCTGTGATCTCAATTCCTTCAGAAGCTCAATGAACTGCTCGCGAGCATGGCGTTCCTTTCTCGCCTTTGCTGCCTTTTGCTGCTGGCGTGCATCGTTGAATGCCCGCTCAAGGGACTTGATGTGGTTCTCAAAGGCAGTCAAAATGTCAGACTTGCTAAGGGTTTTGAACTTATCGTCGCTCTGGACCTTATCATTCGACTGAATGATTGCCTGGGCTTCGGACCAGCGTGTGTATGGTTCCAGGTTCAGGGACTTCAAGATAGTCACCAGCTCATCCATGGCGGCCTTGCGCTTAACCGCTTCCACCTCAATGTGCTCCTTCTTGAGCTCCACAATGTACTCCTCGAAGAGCTGGCGCCTCTCACTCTCATCGTCCGTGGACCTGAAGATAGTCTCACCCTCGATGATCGGTCGGATGGTCTTCCAGCGACTGTAATGCTTAATCTCAGGATGGCGCTTCAACATGGTATTGAAATCTGCTCGGAGCTTAGCGAATCTCTCTTTCGCCCGATCCTTCTCCTGCATGCGAACCTCGACCGCATATTTCTCAAATGCTGCCTTGCGGTCTCTGGGGTCTTTCAGAGCACGATACTGAGGATCCTTGATGGTTTCACGCATGGTTTGTTCCCAGCTCCAGTCGGGTTGAACGTTGTGGCGCTTCAGCATCTTCATGAACGCGTTTTCCGCTTCTTCGAGGGAGCTGTATTCGGGTTCGGCTTGAGTGCCTAGGATAGGAGCCGCCGCGATACCATTGGAATCCATCGAAGGATATCCTATACGTCGGTCGCTATAGCCTCGATCAAAGTCGTCGCGATCGCGCTGCTGTGGGTAAGAAGAAAACGAGCTAACACCTCCTGCAACGAAAGTCGGAGCCCTGTTTGTCACAAAGGTCAGGATTACGTGCATAGTCGAAACGGGATGTAGATGACTTACGCCGCCGGAGGAGGTTGAGGCGTTTGAGCCTGTGCCAGAGCATTCTTGTAAACATCTGGCATCTCCCAAGTGCTTTGCTTGCTTTCGGTGTTGTACCAGTATTTCCGACCACCCTCAGCAGTATATTCTTTCCATGGCTGATTCGCCAAAGCGCGCTATAGATGAGGCGAATCAATCAGCATCTGACGGCCCAGAAATGGTGAGAGTATACATACCTCCATCGGCGTCATTAGCTCGACGGGCTTTGCCCATTGCGTCGCCTTCGTCTGGACATTGTAGTAGTAAACTCTACCATCGGAGTTGCGCGCCTCCTGCCAAAGGGGGGACGCGCCAGCTGGACCGTTCATCGGATTCATCTCGTCGATGCAGAAGCTGCCAGGGACAGACACTACTGCGGTTGCGATGAGAAAGATGGAAAAAGCCGCGTTTGAAGAAGCTCGCCGGGGTTCCTGCGCTAAGGGTGTTTGCCGTGTTTGCAAGGGGTCCCCCCCGGGTCGTCATATCGATCACCTCCACCGGGCGCGCTTGGGTCCCTGGCTGCTGTTAATTAGATTGCGCACCGAGGGGCTTCGGATTGTGGTCTTTTTCTAGCTTACCCCGGTCGCTTACCTGCTTGCGCCATAAATTTCACCACCGTCAGAAGAAGAGGAGCATGCGGCTGTTGCTCTCGCCATGCCGAGTCTCGACATCCCCGGGGAATTCCTCAGACATGCTCTTCTAGCCACGGTTGTCCCGCATGATTCAGATGTCGATTTGGAAGCAGCTCTAACGTCTGCCCTGGAAAAAGGCGCAGAGGATGTAACATCTGTCCTCTCCCTGATACCACAGCGCTCCCTCCTATTCTTTGGTACGCTAAGACCTGTTGGCCTGACCGAGCTCTATCTCTTACTCATATGCAGCGCCATATAGATGAGTTCTGTACCGTTCGCGTCGTCCTGAGGCTTTCCAACTGCTCGCCTTCCAGCTTGAAACAGCACCTTCCACACCTCGAGGTCCGACTTGATGCCTTTGCTATCGACCCCGCTGAAACGGTTGCGGAGAATCCGACCCCAACCCGAGACCTCATCTTCTCAGGGGTTGTAGATTCACAGGAGCCATTGGTGGTGGTGAACGAGTTTGAGGGAGAAACGGGCGGTGGGAATCATGTATACGTGATTTGGAGTGTTAAAGCATTCCTCAGTAAGGGCTCCATATGTGCTTCGGCGTCCAATTGTACTGACCGGTTCCAGAACGGCCTCGCATACGCATCCAACACCCTTCCCTCCTCTTCATCGCCGCCGCCACTCTCAATCCAGCAGAAAATCGACAGCAAGAATCTCGCGGAGATGACTATCTCCCCCCTCTTATCCCTGCATCGGCAAACATTCTACAGCCACTATCCACCGACAAATCCTTGGACCAAAAAGATCCCTTCCTCCCAGCGTCTAGGCTTCTGCGAGTTGTACCTGCGAAATACAGTGAAGATCCCATATATCATATCCAGCAACACTCCGGGCATCCGATACGGATCGTCCCCGCCGCTAGTGCCAGGATACGATATTCTCGATTGAATGCCTATAGCGGACGGCCTACTACCGTTGCCAGTCTTGATTTCGAAGTGACGCCTTTCCTTAATTGCGATGTCACATTCGACAAGGCAAAGCTTCACATGTCAGATGGGACGATCGAAACCCTCTCGGACGCGCCCGGCCTGGTCCCACCCATTCGATGCCTCCCACGAGATGATGTCACCCTTATATACAAGTTGACACCTGACTATGCGCCAGACCCAAATCCATCAACAACTGTGATGGTCAGTGTTTTGGATATCTCCTTGGAAGCAATCATACATCTGTCGGAAAACTGTAACCCGCGGATCTTGATGCAATGGAGGACCAATGTCGATTTCTCAATGGTTCTGAACCCGACCTTTGGCGGACCTAGCCAGGCCTTACAACGAAACAACCGCCCTGCAAGTCTGCCTATGACGCCAAATCAGAGCAACGGCGTAGCGGGAACAGCCACGCCCAATCGAAGCTCCTTAAGAGAGAGAGCTTATTCAACAGCGGACCTCGGTGTATCCGTTTCATTTAGTGGCCCCCCGCATGTGGAAGTAGGAAAGCCCTTTGCGTGGAGTGTCTTCATCGTAAATCGATCGGCCGCCTCCCGCAAATTCTCCATGGTCGCTATCCCTCGCAGGAAGAAGCCAGACCCAAGGGGACATGTAGTGCGACCATCTTCTTCATCGGCAACGAGCCGTAAGGACGCCCATGTTGCGGAAGCTGTGACGGATGACAACATTGTTCATGCTCTACAGAAGAGTGTAGCCGGTCAGGAAGCAGAGCTCATCTCTTTGAGTACAGATGTTCGGGCTGGGTGAGTGACTTTGATATCTCTTCTGTTCTTCTGCCTTTGGCTAACTTGATCAATCATAGTCCCCTTTTACCTGGCACCTGCTTTGCGACCGAATTAAAACTGCTTCCCCTGGCGGTGGGGGCACTTCGTCTGGAAGCCGTGCGCCTGGTGGATGTGAACACGAACGAAATGATCGACATTAAAGATCTCCCGGATATCCATTCCTTTGATAGGAAGGGTAACCCAATTGAGATAACCAGTTCAGAATAGAGGTGTTACTGTTATGATAGTTTGAACGCCGCCTACGATGCATCTTTCATAGACTTGGCTGATTCTGTGAGTGGGAACCGTGACAGCATGATTAGGACGTGATGCCGAGCAATCGATGTTTGAAAATATCGTATATATCAGATATCATAGAATATCATAGAAGTTTCAAATCTGCATGCTGCAATGCATGCGGGCCATACCAAGCACGAGCTACATAGTACCGGACCCTGCCGGGCCTCCGGCAGGATGGAGTAAAGCGGCAAAAAAACTAAAAAGAGGGACCCTGACCTTAGTAAAAGCAGCGAAAGGGCGGAGAAGGGCGGGTGATCACGCGAGCGGATTGGTTCAAGGGGCGGGGGAAGTCGAGCGGGCAGATGACAGGCCGACCTTTGATCCTGCGTCTGCTCCTCACAGTTCACAGCCTCGGAGTCAGAGTGCTGCCTGTCTACTACGGGGAACTTGAATCGCTGGTCGACCTCACCCAGTACCCATATTAATCCGCCTCCATCCGCCCCGTTGCTTCATCGAGACCCACCGAGACCACCCGCCTACAAGACCAGGAGTTGTTGGGGGCTTCGGCCAGGTTGCTCTTATTTCGCCTGTGCGCCCTTTCTGACAATCCTTTGCGTCATACACTCGCCGATACCGCCAACCGGGATTTGCGTGCCCTCGCCTTCGATCCCCTTCCATCCCGTCAATCACTTCTTTCTCCCCATCGCCTTCGTCATGTTCTCCGCTGGACGTCGAAGAATACTTGATGGACTCAATCGGAGGTACATCTACGGCCGTCTGGTATGTGGAAAAGAAGACTGAGCCTCGTCCCGAACCCTTGAATTCTTAAGGACCCTTACATACTGTAAACGGCATTCAAATTTTGTTCCATGCTGCGAACAATTACTGACTGCACTCCTTCCCATCTCCTTGATTATAGCCACTGCTTCACGCCATAATCTTCCTCATCGAAATGGCGGCAGCAATGCGCCTCGCGGCCAAGTTCAACTCCTACTATGCGGAGAAGCCGGGTAAGGCCTACGCTCACTTGATAAGCGCCTCAAGGGGTTAGCTGACATTTGTCTCGTCTTCAGTCCTGACTACTATGGTGACCAATGCGGTAAGAATTGCCTTAGCCCACCATTTGGAGATGCTCAGTGGCATGGATTGACTGACTTTGGACGGCATGATAGATCCTTGGTGGAATCGCAGATACGGTCGCACAGTTGATTACAGCTTTCAAGGCTCATGCAGGACACAGGCATACCAGTAGTAGCGATCTCATCTCGATTGAGATCCATGAGCTGGACAAAGAGAAGCCACCTGCTCTTGGGGAGCTGGGCCATGCGAGACATATGCCCCCTCCCTTTGACTTTGAACGCCTAACTCGCTTCATGTCGTACGGCTTTTTCATGGCCCCAGTTCAATTCCAGTGGTTCGGCTTCTTGTCCAGGGCATTCCCTCTCACCAAGAGGAACCCGTCAATCCCGGCGCTGAAGCGAGTTGTCGTGGATCAGCTCATGTTTGCTCCTTTTGGTATGTGAATCGCAAAGGAAGAAGAGGAAGCTTTGAGGCTAACAGACTATGTAGGATTGGCGTGCTTCTTTTCATTCATGACCGTTGCCGAGGGAGGGGGAAGGAGAGCATTGACGCGCAAGTTCCAAGATGTTTATCTTCCAACTCTCAAGGCCAATTATGTTCTTTGGCCCGCCGTTCAAATCCTCAACTTCCGGGTTGTTCCTATCCAATTCCAGATTGTGAGTCAGTGAGAGAAATGTTCCGTGTTCTCCTGCTAACGCTTTATGTAGCCCTTCGTGTCCTCTGTCGGTATTGCCTGGACTGCGTATCTGTCGTTGACCAACTCCTCGGAGGACGAGTAAGGATAGACTAGGGCCCATATACTGGTACTCGCAAGGTTTTTGGTCGCTTTCGTTCTCAATTGTCTGTCATTTCTCTTTTGCTGCGTCATTGTATGCTTACTGGGCGTTGTAAATGAGCTTTGGGGGTGGTTGTGTTATTCTTCGTCTCATGGATGGTGTATAGGTCATCTTCGTCCAGCAATGTGGTTACACCAGAGTCAACAATTGATGATGTCTCCCGTAGGCGGGGTTCTCCACGAGCGGGCCGGCAGTCTAGACGAGAAGATTCGGAACGGTATTCGATAGATCCACCCCCGGACGCAGCAACAGAGCCCAGGACATCCCATCGCAGCACTTGATCCGAGGCTATGAGGCATAATGTTCACCCCTGAGGCCCCGGCCCCTTCCGTCATCGACCACGGTGACTGACATCAGTCCCGCATCAGCCCGAGGCGTGGGCGAATCTCTCACCGGCTGCCCCACCACCGACCAAACCACTTACCCCGCCGCCGAGCCGAAGAGTAGCTTCCATTCGAGTCTGACCACTACCAGACTCGCTCACCGCGGTCCTATTAAGTAGGCATTTTTCCAATTCCCTCGTCCCTGTGGCGGTACTAATACCACGACCTCCCCCCTTCCAATTCCCCTTTCCCTCCTCGTTCCCCCACTTACCCATTCTCTCAGACACAGTCCGACTGCTCTAGAACCGTCGTTCACGATGTCTCTCTCCAACAAGCTTGCCATCACCGATGTCGACCTCAAGGACAAGCGTGTCCTGATCCGGGTATGTTGTTGCTCCGGAAACCCCACCATCGGTGCCCCTCGCGGGGTTACACGGATGGGCCAATGATGCTAATGAGTCCTCCCAATGGACAGGTCGACTTCAACGTCCCCCTCAATGCCGAGAAGGAGATTACCAACAACCAGCGTATCGTCGGTGCTCTGCCCACCATCAAGTACGCCGTCGAGAATGGTGCCAAGGCCGTTGTGCTCATGTCCCACCTGGGTCGCCCTGACGGCAAGAAGAACCCCAAGTACAGCCTGAAGCCCGTTGTTGCCGAGCTCGAGAAGCTGCTCGGCAAGAGCGTCGTCTTCACCGAAGACTGCGTTGGTCCTGAGGTCGAGGAGGCCGTCAACAAGGCCACTGGTGGCCAGATCGTTCTCCTTGAGAACCTCCGTTTCCACGCCGAGGAGGAGGGCAGCTACAAGGATGAGGAGGGCAAGAAGGTCAAGGCCGACAAGGAGAAGGTTGCCGAGTTCCGCAAGGGACTGACTGCTCTCGGTGACATCTACATCAGTAAGACCTCCCAATTAGTTCTTGAGATCGTGATGAGCGATGTGCTGATATGCTATAGACGACGCTTTCGGAACTGCCCACCGCGCCCACTCTTCCATGGTCGGTGTTGACCTTCCCCAGAAGGCTTCCGGTTTCCTCGTCAAGAAGGAGCTTGAGTACTTCGCCAAGGCTCTCGAGAGCCCCCAGCGCCCCTTCCTTGCCATCCTGGGTGGTGCCAAGGTCTCCGACAAGATCCAGCTGATTGACAACCTGCTCCCCAAGGTCAACAGCCTCATCATCACCGGTGCCATGGCCTTCACTTTCAAGAAGACCCTGGAGGGTGTCAAGATCGGAAACAGTCTGTTCGACGAGGCTGGCAGCAAGATCGTTGGTGAGGTCGTCGAGAAGGCCAAGAAGCACAACGTCAAGATCGTCCTGCCTGTCGACTACGTCACTGCCGACAAGTTCTCTGCCGATGCCACCACCGGCACTGCTACCGACGCCGAGGGTATTCCCGATGGCTACATGGGTCTGGATGTTGGTGAGAAGAGTGTTGAGCTCTACAAGCAGACCATTGCCGAGGCCAAGACCATCCTCTGGAACGGTCCCCCCGGTGTCTTCGAGCTGGAGCCCTTCGCCAACGGCACCAAGAAGACCCTCGATGCTGCCGTCGCGGCCGCTCAGTCTGGCTCCATCGTCATCATCGGTGGTGGTGACACTGCCACCGTCGCCGCCAAGTACGGCGTCGAGGACAAGCTCAGCCACGTCTCCACCGGTGGCGGTGCCTCGTTGGAGCTGTTGGAGGGCAAGGAGCTGCCCGGTGTTGCTGCCCTGTCAAGTAAGTAAATATTAAAAGACATACTGGATATGCGGAGATGCTGCGGGCGAGTGGACAGGCGCCTTCTGTAGTACCTGTCGGTCTCCAGCCTCCTTCAGGGCGGGGAACAATTCTACGTCTGGACGAATGTAATGTACAAGGATGATAATTAATCAAAATACGTGTTTATTCATTCCCAAAGAGAGGTTCTGATGATGTAATCGTGACTAGTGACGGGCCCCAAGCTGTGAAGGACGAGAGGTGAGGGCAGGAATGGTCGGTCGGTGGGCTTGATTTCCATTAACAGCTTTGTAAATACTCGTAGGAGGTATATGATGTGGTGGGCGACACCCTGCTTCAATCGAAGCGCTGCCATCGGGTCTTTCACCGTAGACTAGATCCGTCAGGCTGACTGCATCCTACAACCGCCCCAGTCACTGGTCCAAACCACCGAAGCAGGCACATCAATCAGACAACACTTATGCGAGCAAGGAGATCTAGCTCCGATTATGTCCATTTTCTCTCTATCGAGCCCCGTCAGGGCAAGCTGCATGCGGAATCAAGCGATGATTGCTTCGTGGATTTGCGTATGTTCATCTCATAACCGACAGCCCGTCAATCAACGTGACATGTTAATGGGAGGCCTCGACCTTCTTGAGCTCCTCTCTATGAAAGGAAGACGCGTTAGTTATGGTGGTCATCTCTATGCACTGTATGTAGTAGAGCGGGTCGGTGTTGACGGGCAACGTACTTCAGCTGCTTAGAGAAGTCCTCGGCCGCATCGTCATCATCCCAGCTCTCTTCCCACAAATGAGCGCTCGTGCCGTTGGCGGCAGATCCTTGTTCAGTTTCCTCCTGAGGCCAGTCTGGAAGGTCCGTCGGTCAGCGCAACCGTCATCACAATCATTGCTCGCTCGATGGCCGTGGGGGGGGCTCTCTTCTGCGTGGAAGAAGAGAGGGATTCCGGCGGTCTGTCTAACCTTCAACGGGAAAGTCCTCGAACTCGTCGTCTTCTTCCAACACGGGGGGCTTCTGTTGCTGTGGCTGCTGGGTGGGTTCGGCCTTGGTATCCTGGGTCTGGGTGGGATTCGACATGTTGGGCGGGGGGAGGAGGGGGTGAGCGGACAGGTGGCTTCAGGAAGCTGGAGGGGGGTGAGCGTGGTATAACGGGAGGAGACAATAGGAGACGCGAGGGGGGAGAATTGACAGGTCAGAGGATTGGAGGTGGCGGTGGTGGTTGATAGTGAGGGACTGACTGCAGGCGCGGCGGGCGGCGGAGAGGAACCAACTAGTAGCTCGGCGGCTCTCACGCACTGGGACTAGGCCACAGTCGGTCAATCCAACTGACTGACGACATCTCCCCCAGTGTCCCAGAGCCCCCCTCGTCTCATCGTGCCGGACATACCGGCCAGATCCATTCCCTCCCCAGGCTAACTCAACTCCTCCTTCCCCCGAGGCGCTAAATTATGACCGTCCGAAACGGTTCGTGAACGTTGACTGCCTTGTTCGCGACCACGCCCGGCACTTCCTTCGCTGGCCGGTGCTCCGCCTCGCCGCCGCAAGTGGACCGCGGGCTCGACGCTATTATTGTTCTGGTCCGTTGCTTATAATCGCTGGCCCATCAGCCTAGTCGGTCTCTTTTCCTCCATTCAACTATCTTTATTTCTCCTCTTCTCTTTCTCTTCTCTTGGGGTATGTACCCGGAAATTCGCCACGTTCTCGGTGCGTCTCTGAGGGGAGATTCTATCTTCTCCCCATTCCGTCTACGTCTTCCTTTGGCCTCCGGGCCCCTTCGGCTCGTGGTGGGAATTTGATCTCGATTCGTCTCGTGCACAACTTCCTTTCTAGCTCATTCTACTCTCTCCCGCCTGGTTCTTACCCAGCCCTTTTTGGTGAAGATGTTTCGCGTAGGCTCGTGGCTTTATGGCAAAAAGCCGGCCAATGCCTCTACCCAGTCTCTGGACTCTTTGTCCGAACTGCGAGATCGTGAGTGACCACGAGGCTCTCGATGCAAATGACGCTGACCGTTGATTTTCTGAGGTCCAAAGTTGAGGATGCTATGAGAGGTATGCCCAAATTCTCCTCCGTGATCGAATCCCCGCTCTTCCGGGGTCAGTGCTGAGGCGTATGCTGACGGTTGAGCACAGCCGCCACTCTGATCCTCAATGACGATGTCGATGGCGCCGAAGATGGCCTTTCTGAAGGCATCTCGTCATTCCATAATGTGTGTATGCCTTTAGACAACTGCAAGTGTTTCGGAACGCTTTTGAGCCTCTGCTGACTACAACGTTGCCTTGTGTAGCTTGGCAGAGGTGTCGTTGCGTTTATTCGAGCCACTCTGGGGTTCGAACAGGAAATTATGCGCCAGGGTGTGTGACTACCGTCCGATTGGGCTGACTCGTACTGATTTTCTATAGCCTCGGAGCGACTCAATGCCGCGGAGACTAGTGCCTCCAACGACCAGCATCGCGCGCAGCATAACTCCAATGCGCCCAACTCATATCACTCACAAATATATGCTCCCGGCACGGAGTTTGCGCTCTGCCAGGCCATGGCGCAGCTCATGAGCGCCGTCGTGGGTGTCTTAAATGAGAGTCTGACGGAAAGCATCAAAGGGTTCTATAAGCTGAGAAAGGCCTACATTGCCCTGGACGCTATTCTTAAGATGGAGCAAAACTTTATCGCGCAGGCACGGAACTCGGGGAATAGCACCTCTACAGAAAGCCTGTCCCGGGGCTCGGGGCAAGGAGCGGGAGCAAAGTCCGCCCCCGCATCGTCCGTCGAAGTTGCTGCCCTTAAAAAAGAGCTTTCAGACCTGTCTATCTCCACAGAGTCCGAGGCATCGACGCCGAATCCTTCTGATATGCTAAGCCATGATCCTGACTCGGACATCTTCAAGAACCAGATTGATGTCTTCATCCACTCCGGCGCCAACTTCTGCTTTGGGATCCTTTTGCTCTTGATCTCTATGGTGCCACCTGCGTTCAGCAAACTTTTGGGAATTATTGGCTTTCACGGGGACAAAGACCGCGGGTTGCGGATGCTTTGGCAGGCCAGTAAGTTTAATAACCTGATCGGAGCCCTCTCCGCGTTCGCCATTCTCGGATATTCCAATGGCTTTGTCCGCTACTGCGATATCATGCCCGACCCCGTCCCGGGAGACGATGTCCAGGGATATCCCCAGGAACGGCTCGAAGCCTTGCTGGCGCTCATGAGGAAGCGGTTCCCGAAGAGTCAGCTGTGGCTGCTGGAAGAGTCGCGGATGAACGGTGCGAACAAGAAGCTCGATGTGGCTTTGGAGCTGCTGTGCGGTAAAGAGCGCAGTCCGCTCAAGCAGGTCGAAGCACTACGGGTTTTCGAACGGAGTTTGAACGCCATGTATCTCCACAGATACGAGCTCTGTGCCGAGTCTTTTCTTGAGGTAAGGGTTTTGGATCTCCCTATGGTCTACCCAGCTGACTATTCAGTGCGTGGACCTCAACTCATGGTCTCGATCACTCTATTATTACATTGCAGGATCATCCCATCTCAGCTTGTATCGAAGCGTTGTCGCGACTGATGCTACTGCAGCAGCTACGCACGCCAAGAAGGCCACGGAGTACTTCCGAAAGGCGCCGCCGTTGGCTGGCAAGAAAAAGTTCATGGCCCGGCAGTTGCCTTTCGACGTCTTTGTGTCGCGCAAGATTGCCAAGTGGGAGGCCCGCGCCAAGGAGTGGAAGGTGCCCCTGGTGGACGCCGTCGGGGTGGATCCAATCGAGGAGATGATCTTTTTCTGGAACGGACATAGTCGGATGACGCAGGACCAGCTGGAGGAATCCCTGACAAAGCTGGCATGGTCGGAAAGCAATGCCAACAAGACGTGGTCGCGGGAGGGACCGGAGGAGAAGGCCATCCTACAGATCCTGCGTGCGGCCGTCCTCCGTGCGATGCGCCGACATGGCGAGGCGAAGGAGATGATTCGCACGAGCATCTTCAGCCAGGACAAGTCCCAGTTCACGGGGCATCTGAAGGATGACTGGATCTACCCGGTGGCGCACTTTGAGATGGCGGCTAATTTGTGGATGGAGCGTGCGACCTACTGCGCGGTCCATGGGGGCCCAGACTCGGCCACCGAAAAGTCGGTCACGAATGATACCACGCTGGAGCGGCGCCAGGTGCGGGAGTGCAAGGAACACCTCGAGAAGGCGGCCCGGTGGGAGAGCTACGAACTGGACGCGCGCGTTGGGCTCAAGGTGACGGCCGCGATGGAGGCGGTGGAAAAATGGGAGAGCGCGCATGCGAGCACCTCTGGGTGATGATGATTGATGTATTATGATGCTGTACATTTACCGCCGGGCATTTGACCTTACGATAAGACTATGGATAGACGGAGCAATGGTTTTGCCAGCTGAATCCCCGTAGGGCACGTAAGGCGTAGTGACCTGTCAAATTCCTATGGAGATGTCTGTCAGCTGTTTTGAGTCTTGACCGACTGTTAGCGGTGACGATCGCGCGGGTCGGATAAAGATCCGGGCTGTCACGTTCCCCGTCGGATGCATCCGTCATGACAACCATCGCGCTTCTCTCACGGGCCAGACCTTTGCACACTGCAACCGATGTGACTCATGCTGGCCTGGGCAATCAGGGCATGATGTATCCAGGGATGCAGCAATTGACGTCGATCGGCGGAGAGGTCTCCCGAAGGATCGAATCAGCGTGATGGGAGGGCGTGGTCGGACGTCCGATACTATGACGCTGGACCGGATAACACGGCTTCGGATCTACGCGATGTGCCTTAAAGATACTGGCACATCCTGTGTGTCGCTAACCTGAAATTCTATTTCTCTAAACTGCTTCCTCCAACCTGAGACTTTAGTTGTCGTGCTGTGTACTGTGTACTGTGTACAGCTCGGACCAATACTCGGGCGGCAATAACCTTTCCCCATCGCTCGGATATAGGAGATTTTTCGACCGGATTTGGACTTTTTTTACCTGCCGTGTGATATCATATCTCCGAGGTGGGCACGCCGGGTATTGATTGAGTTTTCCACGGGCAATCCTATCGGAAATCGTTCTTCAACATGTCGCGACACGAATCGACTCGTTCATCTTTCTCGTCCGACGATGTGGACTCCTCCGACGACCACGGCGCATCCATGCACCAGGACGATCCCGCCGCATTGGAGAAGCAGACCACGGCGGCCTCAGGATTGTCGGCCTTGGAGAACCGCGCGCATTCGGTGATTTCGCGCATTCGCAGTCGTGATCCGGGGCAAATTGCCCGCTTTACGCATCCGCTCTCGCATACGAAAACCTCCGAGGATGTGATTGTCGATTTTGATGGGCAGGATGATCCGTATCGGCCGATGAATTGGAGTTTTCGCAAGAAGGCGATTACGACGGTGTTGTATGGGTTGACTACCATGGGTATGCCGACCATTCTTTTACCTAGGACATTGACTGACTTGCGATAGGTGCGACGTGGGCTAGTTCGATGTATGTTTCCGATCGCCGATTCCATTCGAATAGTTATTGACGCCGCGCAGTTTCTCGACGGGCACCAAACAGGTTGATGCGGAGTTTCATGTGGGCGAGGAGGTCGGCACACTGGGTACCACGCTGCTATTGTTCGGATTCGGTAGGTCGCAATACCTTCCAGGCTGTCGAGGCTGTGCATGCTGACCTCTCAGGATTGGGCCCTCTGGTCTGGGCTCCGTTATCGGAGGTATATGGACGCAAACCGGCCGTACTGGCGCCCTACTTCATCGCGGCGATTTTCTCATTCGCCACGGCCACAGCCAAGGATCTTCAAACCGTCATGCTGACCCGCTTCTTCTGCGGCTTCTTTGGCTCCGCACCGGTGACCAACACCGGCGGTGTGCTCAGCGACATCTGGACCGCCGAACAGCGCGGCGCCGCCATCGTCGGCTACGCCATGGCCGTGGTAGGCGGGCCCGTACTCGGTCCCATCGTCGGCGGCGCCATCTGCGAGAGTTACCTGGGCTGGCGCTGGACCGAATACATCACGGGGATCATGATGATGCTGTTCCTCCTTCTCGACCTCACCTTTCTCGACGAAAGCTACCCCCCCGTCCTCCTCGTCTACAAGGCCCAACGTCTCCGCTTCGAAACCGGCAACTGGGCCCTCCACGCCCGCCACGAAGAATGGGACGTCACCCTCAAAGAACTCGGCAACAAGTACCTCATCCGTCCCTTTGCCCTCCTCAGCACCCCCATCTGCTTCCTCGTCGCCATCTACGCTTCCTTCGTCTACGGCATCCTCTACCTCAGTCTCGCCGCCTTCCCCATTGAATTCCAAGAAGTCCGCGGCTGGAACCAAGTCGTCGGCGCTCTGCCCTTCCTCGCTTACCTCGTCGGTATCCTCTTCGGCGCGTGCATCAACCTCCTCAATCAGAAATTCTACATCGCCCGTTTCAAAGCGAACAATAACTTCCCCGTCCCGGAAGCCCGTCTACCCCCGATGATGCTCGGGTCGGTGTTCTTCGCCGCGGGCCTCTTCATCTTCGGCTGGACCAGCCCGCCTCATCTTCCCTGGATCGCCCCGATCATCGGGGCCGTCTGCATCGGGTTCGGTTTTTTTACCATCTTCCAGGCCGCCTTGAACTACCTCATCGATACCTTTCAGAAGGTTTCCGCGAGTGCCGTCGCCGCGAACACTTTCCTCCGGAGTCTGTTTGCGGGCTGCTTCCCGCTGTTCGCGAATATCATGTTCCATCGTCTCGGCGTGGACTGGGCGTCTAGTGTATTGGGCTTCGTGGCTGTTGCATTGATTCCCATCCCGTATTTGTTTTATGTTTTTGGGAAGCGCATTCGTGCGAGGGGGAAGTGGTCCCGTGCTTCGGTGTATGGGTATTGATGCCTGATGCTGATACGTGGGACGTTTGTCTCGGTATATTGTCGAGCTGGTTGCACTGCTCGGCTCATACCCTGACGAAACCTCAACAACGCAAAGATTGAACGGAGTGCAGTCGGGAGAAAAGAACAGTTTTGATTTATTCGTTCGAGATACCTCTGATCACTTGTTGGTTTAAGTTATGCATACACGGCCGCGATAGATAGCATGATTAATTGGTCATGATTAATGTCTATAGATCGATAGATAGTTTGATTGGTTTATATTCTAATTTAGTGATAGATTTATTCAGTGGAATACACATCAAGTCTGATACTGTAGGATAGTAGGCGGCATCCCACACTGCCGCTGATTGGTCGAACCAGGAGTATAGGGCTGAGGCGGGAATGGATCCACAGCGAATGCCGCACCGCATCGCACCTGACCTGGCCCTGGGACTATGTCGATGGGATAACAGTTGAGGTAGTCAGGAGAATGGTATATGGTATATCGTTGCATGCTATAATCATACTCAGAGATCTAGAAGTGTCATGCATATCATCTCCAGTCCCTGATTGGAAATAAGCAGAAGAGCAAGAAGGATGATGAACGAACCTCATCCTATCCTATCCAGTAAGATGCTAACTGAGAGTCAGTTAGATTTGAAATAGTCCTACTCATACTTATACTCATGATAATAGGGGGAAGAGATCCTCCACATCCTCCACCCCACAACTCACCCAACAAACACAGATCACACCGCGCATCGCTCCTCGCGCGCCACTCAATCAGACTCTCCACATCGCCTCGACTCGTCGCGTGCTGGAAGATGACCATCTTACTGGGCAATTGCTTCGCTAGGTCTTGCAGTCTTCGCCCAGAGGGCGAATACGGGGCCGTAGCCGTGGGGTATTCTTTTTGTAGCCAGTTGGCGTTCTTCTGGAGTGAGGATGCTGCCGTTGAGGTGTTTGCTGAGGAATGTCTCGAGGTAGCTAAGTTGGGGGCGTCGTAGCGGCGTAGATGTGCGAGTCGAAGGGGGCGTTGGGCTGGGTGATGTTAGAGAGGGTACAGAGGGGCAGGGGGGTACGTCTTTGTTTTTCCTGTGGGATGAGGTCGTCTGGGGAGCGCGCATAGCGGTATGTGACTGCTACGTGCATGGCTGGGGCAATGGCCCGGTGTGCGCTGAAGCAGTCGTTCTGCGTGGATGGCCTTGGTGGCTAGAGCCATGCTGGGAAGGGCGGCGGATAGGGTTTCGGCGGGTTGCCATGGGGGATGGAGGCGCCATGACTGTTGGGTTACGGTTGTAAGACTTGATTTGATGCACAGGATAGATGTTTGATCAAGATGACGGGAATGGACCCTACCTATATGTGTAGGACACATAGATGTAGTGAAGATCGCGGCGATTGGCTTTACCAGTCGCCGCTCTAATATTCATTATGATTGGCCAGGTTGTGGTGGTGACCCACATCAAAAGCCGCACCGCGTCATTGCAAACCGTTTCTATACAACGACTGAAAAAGCAGCCTGATAGGCAGCCTGAATCTCATGACTCATTCCCCCCACGCCCTCAAACATCGTCGTCGATAGTATGTCATGAGCAAAACATACGAGCCCTGCATCGCGCCGCACATGAAGAATGGTAAGATATAGGCGGTTTCTGGGGTTGTATCTAGCGCAGGCGTTCCGCTGGTATATGGCGACCGGCCTGGAGACGCCAGATCCTCATAGGCGCGCGCGATAGCAAGTGATGATTTGAGACATATCAGAGACGATTGCTGCTCGGTGAAGGGAAAGACAGATTCGAATCTCGGTCCAGAGAGTGGGTGGGCCGAATCTCGTCTCTGGATAGCGGCAATATCACAATACTTGTTCATAAACAGAGGGATGTCCACGAATGCACGGAATCGATGCAGTCTCAGTCGTGCCCTAGAACTATTTAGCTGGAGTAATCGATCATGGTACATACATACGAATAGGTTAATACTCGTGCGATCGTCCGCATATCTTGCATCGCACGTGCATCGGCCCCAGTCCGCAGTTCAAGCTGTGGCGAACAATTCAAGTCCTTCAGCAAGGTTGAGATCTGTGAGTCCAGTTTCAATATCCTCTCCGACACGGATGCCGCAGCCATCGTTGATTCAGTCCCGCAATCGTTCATGACTTCCGAGACAGATATAATTGCCTGTTCGGCCTGTAGCAGTAACGGCCATGGCTGAGAGGTTAATACCTCAATCGGTTTTTGCATACCTTCACATACCTCTGAAGAGACACGAAACGACGGATACGGGGTCGTTATCCTCTGATCATCGAGAGTGATAATAGGCGACTAGAGTATGAGTCGCACGAAACAGACCAGCTAAGCAATAGACTTACTACCTGTTGATCAACAGACGACAAATAAAGCACAAACATCTAGACTTGTTAGCACTTAACCAACCAATATCAAGGTAAACACTCACGGCACTCCACCACGCCCGACGCTGGGCCTCCGTCGCCGTCGGTCCTAATTTATGCAAGCCCAGATCCATAGCCGCAGTGACGGCCCGATTGGCGCGACTCCGCATACGAGACATATTCCCTCTCTGGCAGTACTCGTACAGACTGAGCATGACCAGAGCCAGGACGGGAGATAAGACCGAAAGGCTAGCATCGATACCCTGTCGCATAGGGACAGTGGCATGCGACAGTTCTTGACAGATGCGATCAACCTCCTTATCCACTTCACTGAATGCCGCTTCTGCAAAGAGCTGTGCGCACGAGCGTCTAGACCGAACGCGGGCGTCGCTGAACGGATCTGGGTCCTGCGGAAGCGGTATTAATGCCAGGATCGCAGACAGTGTCAGTGTGAGTGCAGAGGTCGGCCAGTGCGGCAGGAAGGATCTTTCGATATTGTCAAGATTGGTATGCGGCAATTTAACCGGTACCGGTCGATCGCTGATCTGATCGGACAGCGGAGGCTGAAGGATCGATAAAAACGGATGGATATGTATATAGTAGGCATTGAATCTGAAGCGTCAGTCAAATACTGCCAGTGACTGGCGGCATCAGTCATCTCCACAGGATATAGTGACCATACTCACATATCCTCATCAGACCCATACGCCCGCAACCACACCCCCAACGCAAACCCACCCCCCTGGAACTCACATCTCGCCACATCCCCATCCAAATCCAAATTCCGAATCCCACTAAACGGACCAAGAAGATTAACAATATTCGTCAAATCAAAGTCCTCTTCGGATTGCCCCGGTACGGCTACTTCCTGCGTGGGAATTGGCTGAGCCACCGCAGGAACTAGCATCTGATTCTGAGGCACAGGCACAGGCTGGGGCGCGATAGGCCGATGAGTGCCCAACTCGGCACTCCGTCGCAGGCCGCCGCGACGGCTGGGCCGGTAGATACAGCTTAGGGTTTTGTGGGTGCACTGCGATATCATTTAATTGATAGGTCCTTAGATGTTGCGAAGTATGGAGAGAGGCTTACTCTGCTACAGGGGTGGCGCCCATCGCATCGGATTTTGCGTGCGCGACTAGGAGTGGTTAGTTTTTGGGCAGAAACTATGGGGAAAGCAAACTGACCAGGCGAGACAGGCTGCTCTGCTGGGGGTTTTCTGGATGGGATGCATGGTTGATGGAAGCATGTTGAGAAGGTCAAGTTGGATGCCTCCAGTTTCCGTGATCCCAGTGAGCTGGTTCCGCCAATCATAGTGGGCCTGGGACGCCGAGGTGCGGCCTTCAGTATTGTAATTACCGTGCATTACAGCGCTACGGAGGATTAAACTGAAGGTAATATGTATGAATTCTACTATTAACAGGACATCTAACTTTATACTCGGTTTAACCAAAACATCAATAAACAGGTGAAGACAAAACAAATTCCGGGTAGGATCATGGAAGTGTATGTGCTGGAGCCATATGCAAGTAGAACACAATAGGATACATGACAAAAATGGAAAGTATAGTCAAAGAATGTGTTTTAAGATGTATGCATGATCACTTTCGTGCAGTGACACTTCCCCATTTTGTAATTTTCCTAGCCAGCGTCATCGCTTTGCCCAATGAGCTCCAGCTGTTGGACTTGGTCATGGTCATGGACATATCATTGGCAGGTCCTTCAGTCGGGGCGGCGGCATCCTTCTTCTCCACCTTCTGGTGGTGCATCGCCATCACGGCCATCTGGCCGAGGAATGTATGGTGCTCGAGAAGATCCTCCAGACGCACCCGGAAGCCTTCTTCGCCTAGAATCCAGACCAGCTGGGCGACGTTCATAATGTCTCCGCCGAGATCGAAGAAAGACGCGTCAAGTTGGTATGGGGTGTTCTGAGTCCGTCGGGGCAGCACCTGCTGCCAGGCCCGGGTGAGGATGTCCGAGTGGATGACAATCTCCGACATCTTCTGGCTGTGGAGGTTGGATGAGAGGAAGGGTGCGTCAGATGTACTGGGTGCTTCCTGGACCACCTGGCTAGGGAGGGAACGGATGGTGGCTGGGGAGGCCAGTGGGACGCTGGGGTTGGCGATCAGGCTTTGGACGGTCTCGCAGACCATGTGCAGGGCTTTGGTAATGAAGGCGGGTGGAATGGGCCCCTTGAGCGAATACCCAATGGAGACATCTAGTTTCTCCTGACCGCAGGATTTGGAGGCCAGCGTGAGGTCGGTGAAGTTGTCAAGGACGCCCACACCTCCCATTCGGTATGGGTTGCCGTCGAGGTGCATCTGCCCCTCGTACTCGACATTCTGATGGAAGACAGACGTGGTGAAGTACGTCGAGTCGGGCCAATCGGTGCAGTTTCTGATAATCTCTCGGAACCCGAGCGACTCGTATGGCATGTTGGCGATCTGCTGGTCCTGGAGATAACGGAACAGATCCAGTCCAGTCCACTGTTCCCGGAACTTGACCCGGATAGGAAGGATGTTGAGACAGGGTCCAACGGTGGTCTCAATGCCAGGAACACTGGCATTCCGGCCATTGACCGTGAGCCCAAAGACCACGTCAGACTGAGCAGTCAGCTTCGCCAAGGTCACGGCCCACGCAGACTGCATGACGGTCGCAAGGGTGACGTTGCCAATCGCCGTCGATGGGATCACAATGGTCTTCTTCTGCTCTGCGAAAGCACCAATGTGCATAAAGGTATTGGGCCGCGTGCGTCGGATGATTTCGGTCATCTTCGAGCCCCGGAGAATAGTGGACCAGTGGTGGTAGTGGACCGGAGTGATGTTTCCAGGGAGCATCCGCATGTAGTTGGAGAACGAAAAGACTGGAGGAAGCGTGCTGCCCTCGTAGCCCAGCTTGATGGCGTTCATGATTTTTGGCAGACAAACACCGTCGAACTGAGCGTGCGACATCCGGATCAGAATGCGGTGCTGGTTGGTCTGCTTCTTCTTCACCACGTAGAATTGCACATATTGCTCGCCTTGCCGGGGATCTTGTTCGCGGTCCTGCTTCTGCAAGTTGTTGGTGTATTCGTCCAGGCTCTGCTCCGTCTCATGCACAAAAATGTCCGGTCGAATCTTTCGCAGCACCACCTGGAAGAACTGCCCGCGGTGGCAGACAAAGACGGTCCGGAGAATGTCAAAAGCATCGACAACCCGCAAGAAGCTTTCCCGCAGCCGTCTAATGTCGAGTGGACCATTACCATCGAGGAAGAAATAGTTCAACATCCATCTCGACCCGAAGAGGGTGGCGGCGATTGACATGGACTGGAAATCCGTGACGGGGAGGACATCGGCGATGCCTCCTTTGAACACCCCGATCTTGGGGCAGATGACATCCAGCAGCGACATGGCGTCGAGCTGCATCGGTCTCAACACGGAAATATCCTGTGGCGGGGTAGGGTCGGAGAGCTCTTCCTCCCCAGCCTCCAGGAGCTTCTCGATATTGTTTCCGCACTGGGTTTCGGCATTCGACGTCGGACTGCTCGTCGGCGCAATGACGGTCAGCATGTCCTCAAACACTGGGTTGTTGAACACATCTGCCACCGTCATCTGCAGGCCCTCCTCTCGCGCGGCGCTGACCATCTTCATCGCCGTGATACTATCGCCACCTAGCTTGAAAAAGCTGGCCCGGTATTGAATGGAATCTGAAGACAGCCCCAGGGTCGACTTCCACAGGTCCCAGAGGCGTCTGTCGTTGTCAGTTGAGGTTCTGCCATCATCGGTCAGGGATGGTGTAGAGTTTGCAAGATCATTTTCATCGGAGATCTCGTTCTCCTGAAATGAAGCCTCCATCTTGAGATGGACAGGGCCATGCGAGTATCTGGTATCTTGGCTTTGAGCAAGAGGTATGGTGAGCTTGCCCTCCTTCAGCATCTGCCCGATAATCTCATTAACGCGGTCATCGATGAGTTTCTGCAGGGCATAGCTGTCGATCAAGTGGTCTGCAATGATAGGCTCTCTGTTAGACTGGGAGATCCGGTTCTGGGGTAGCTTGTTGCGGAGATTCAAGCTCGAAACCAGCTTCGACGGCTCCTCAACGAAGCATGTAAAGACCTTGGTGATGGCATCTGCTAGGTCCTTTGCCTGAGTCTCAGTCACGGAGTTGCTCCAGTACCTGAGCAGCACCCCCTCCCTGCCCTTGGTAGTCTCAACATTCACCGTCACGGGATACTATTAGATGTTAGCTTGTTCTTGTGCATCAGATCGTAACTACCTACCTCGGTCGGATCGTGAGCCTTTTGGACATCGAATTGGAGAACTTGCTTCCCAGCACCTTCGTGCGCCGAGCGATTCTGTATGGAAAGCGTGGTGTTGAAGAGTGTCTCCCCGTGCCATCCAAGCTCATGCTGGATCTGAGCCAGAGAGCAGTGTTGATGCGGCACATTCTTGATAAAGTCATCTTGCACCTTCTTCGCAATGTCGAGAAGGGTCTGGCCAGGAGCGAACTTGACCCTGCAGCACAGCATGTTGATGAAGATGCCGACTGCGTCCTGGATTCCGGGAACAGGGGAATCACGTCCAGCAGATGGATATCCAAAGCAGACGTCATCTGAACCCGTCCAGCTCTGAAGCACAAGTGCCCAGGCACAAAGGGTCAGGTTGGCAAGTGTAACGGAATTCTCTTCGCAGAATTTCTGTAGCTCAGGGAAGCGCTTGAAACTGATCATGCGCTCACCGAGCTTGTGGCTGCCATCTGTTCCGGGAGAGAACGACAGGTGGCAGGGTTGAACACCAGAAAGATACTGTACCCAATGTGCTGCAGCTTCTTCCTGGGCGTGGCCTTTGACGTACTTGACATACTCGCTGAAAAGTGGCCCGGTTCCAGCAGGAAGCTGATCATTGTATGCAAGCGCCAGATCCCTTAGAAGCAGGTCCACCGATCCGCCATCAATAATGGCGTGATTCATCTCAATCCTGAAGAGAACCCGCCCCGAGGACGTCCTGCAGAGCGTCACCTGATGAGTAAGCTTGGTCGATCTCTCAGCATTGATATCGCGAAGCTGGATTTCTGCGAGTGTTCCCAAGGCATCCGATTCAGGACACTGGAACTCAATCACCTCATCATCGAGCGCTTTAACCACCACCTGGTCGAAAGAGCCGCCCTTGTAGTTGCTATCGATGAAAACGGTCCTCAAGACAGGATGCCGGCTGACAACCATAGACCATGCCTTTCGGAGTTTGTTTGTATCCACCGCGCTGCCTTTCGAGTGACGGACTTCAAAGATGACATGGAACAGGTAGGCCTTCGGGTCTCGGAGCTGACTGAGAAGGATTCCTTCTTGCACCGGAGAACAAGGATAAATGTCTTCAACCTGATTCCAACTATCGAGTCCAGCCTTGGGGAATGTGTTCTTGATCATATTGTTCAGTCCGTCGTAGGTGATTGGCAGCAAGGGGTAGTCGCTGAGTGTCGGTTCAGGCGTGGAATCTCCGAGGCGAAGCGTATCCTCCTCCAGCACTCGTTTACATTCAGATATCCAGCCATGGATTTGTTGTTGATGTTGCATGTGCTGGTTGTAGGTGAACGATACCTGAAGCTTGTCCTTGATGATGAGCGCCGAGATTTCGAAGAGGGCAAACCGGGGCGTCTTCGACCCCATATCTCCCGCCAGCTCGAAGGTTTCAGCATTGTATGCATCGCCGTAATGCTGGAAGAGGGAGTCATCCCGCTCCAGCTGTTGAAGTTGGCCAAGATAATTGAAAAGAATCTCAAGCGGGACGGGGAAGTTGGCAGCTGGTTTTCCTTCCGGATCAAGCAAGCTTTCCGCAAAGTATGGTCGGCTCTTACTGGCGAGATGACGCCTCGTATCCTTGACACGCTTCAAGGTGTCCAGTAGATCTGCTGAGGTCAGATTCATATTCAGTAATTTGGTTCGCACATAGACTCACCTGATCCATCCCCGACTTGCAGAGGGCACATGGTTGTGAACCAGCCCACGGTTCTCGAAAGATCAATAGAACTATCCCAGGACTCGCGACCATGACCCTCGTTGTATATCGTTGGCACTTCCCTATCGGTAAAGGTTCGGCGGAAGGAGTGAACAACAGCCGAGAGTATGACTTCAATGGCCTCGGCGCGAAGAACCTTCTGGCATGCCCCAAGGATTTGTGCTGAGATCGCAGCATCCAGAGTAAATCCTTCCATTTTGACATGCCCATAGAGGTTCGGTGATTGTTCCATTCCCCAGTAGCTCAGATTAGGAGGCTGGATGGAGAAGGGAAGTTCGATCCTGCCCTTTGTCTTTTTGCTCTCTTCAAGTTGAAGGTTGCACCAAGCTTGGAATGACAAGGGCTTCTCGGCGGATAACGATCCAGCGTCGAGGAAGTCTTGGATATCCTGCAGAACAATGCGCCAGGATACCATATCGACACAAATATGACTGGCGACTAGGAAAAGAATCTGCATGTCGCCGCGCACTTCAAACAAGTCCGCAGCAACGATAGGACCGTGCTGGACATCCACTGATCGTTGGCTCTCGCCGATCTTGCGTAGGATCGCCTTTTCACTGTCAACGGCATGATGGCGGAAGCGATAAGAGGCATCGACGTCCTAAGCGATCGGTCAGCTCGCTTCGAAAGCGGTGATTAGAGGAAGTTAGACATACATCAGTTATTTTCTGCTGCCATTTCCCGTTGCGAGACTTGAATAGCCGCGCTCTGAACATAGAGTGTTGCTCAACGACAGCCCTAATGGCGCTCTCCATACTCTTTGCCTCAATCTTTCGAGTAACGCGCACTGTCATGCTTTGGTTAAAGCGAGCCGTATCCCGGAAGTTAGATGCTGAGCGAACAAACAATCCCTGGATGGGAGATAGCTCAAAGGACTCATGGGACTTCTCCTCCCGTTGGACCGCTTGCACTTTTGTTTCCGTAGCTAGAGCAAGCTCCTTGATCGACTTTGTCTGAAGCACGCTGTGAAGGGTCAGTGCGAGTCCCTGTTTACGGGCGCGAGAAATGACGGCCATTCCAGTAATGCTATCGCCTCCTGTGCCACAGTTAGCAGTTTTCCAATGTCTATTCCCAGTCTAACATTGCTTACCTAGGCTCACGAATGACCGGTCCAAATCAACCTTGTGGGGTGGCAGATTGAGGACCTGGGAAACGATATCCTTGAAGATTTTGGCTGAAGTTTCCTTGTCATTTTGCTCTTCTTCTTGCTCAATATCTCCCCTTTTGATGCTGTCGTAATCCTCCATGATGCGATCGTAAGAGGCATCGTCAATACGTTCCAGCCAAGCAGTGATCCGCTTCCGGTCCAGCTTTCCAGACACAAGCATAGGGAGCTGCTTGATAAGCGCCCAGGCCTGTGGAACCATGTAGATAGGAAGCTGGGTCTCCAGGCTCTTCTGGATCGAAACAAGCTCCTGGTAAGCCGACAGTGCGGATCCGTCTCGACCGACAAGCTCACAAGCATTGTCGGAAATGATGCTCTTCTCCGCAGTTACTGAGTTGAGCGACAGAACCGTGACCAGTCGTTGCTTAAGAGGTCCAGTCGTGGGTAGTATGACCACAGCGTGTCGGACTCGTGGATCCTCGTATAACCGGTGCTCGATCTCTCCAAGCTCCATGCGCTGACCGTGGAGTTTCACTTGATGGTCTTTGCGTCCGATGTATTCGACAGAGCCGTCAGAATTGTACTTAACAAGGTCTCCAGTCTTGTAGATCCTTCTCGGAGAAGGTAGATCGCTTGGAAAGTTCTTGATCCACGCCGGCTCATCCACGAACGCCTCGGCTGTCTTCTTGGGGTTCTTGAGATATTCCCTGGCCAGCGCCGGGCCTTCCAGTGCGAGTTCACCAACAGCACCCAAGGGAGTCAGCTTATTGTGATCGTCGGGATCGACGACCCAGGTTAGAGTGCAAGGAATACCATGGCCGATACATGCGGGATCCGGATTGGCAGCAACATTGGTGTTGATGACCGCAAAGATCGTGGTCTCGGTCGGCCCGTAACCATTCATTAGGTTTACCCGATGTGCCCATTTTGTAATCACTTCGCGTGACATCTTTTCTCCACCGCATACGAGATCCTTGAGGGATGGCACAGATGATGGCTCAATGATGCTGGCGATGGATGGAGTTAGGAATGACCAAGAGACATTCATCCGCCGGATGGCTCCAGCCACATCATTCAAGCGTTCGTCCTCGCTGGGGATGCAGACGCAACCACCATGCATCAAGGTAACAAGAACTTCCATGACAGCTGCGTCAAAGGTAAGGGATGCAAATTGGAAGGCTCGGGAATTTTCGTTGAGGTGCACCATGGGCCCGAATGCCATACCACTGCTGGCAAGTGCCCGATGGTTGATAATGATACCCTTGGCACGGCCTGTGCTGCCAGAGGTAAAGATAGCAAATGCCATGTTGGTCGGCGTAGCACTGTTAGATCCCTTGGCACCTGTCGCTGTAAGAGCACAATAGGCCTTGATTGTCTCTTTGCTGACGGGGATGATCGCTTTGACAGCACCAGTGTACCGATTGTGGTACTTGGGAGAGCAGAGAACGACGCGAGCGTCGACCTCAGCCAAGATCTCCTTGTGTCGTGACGTTGGGTGGGCAGGATCAAGGGGAACAAATGCTCCGCCGGCAATGAGAACACCGAGTATGGTGACCACTGCCCATAGGGATTTGTCCATGCAGATCGGAACCAGAGTCTCCGGACCGATACCACGAGTCTTCAAGTAGGCTGCAAACGAAGAAGAAAGGTGATGTAATTCCTGGTATGAAAGCTGCCCGTCCCAAGAGCAAATGGCTGGAGCTTCCGGTCGGAGGGATGCCTTCTCTTCAATGATATGGTGGACACATCTGTCGATGCAAGTCAGGTCTCTCTGATTCCAGGAAGTAATTTCTTCCTTATCTCTAGGACTAGAAACCTCAAGGTCTCCGACCTTCCTAGTTTCACCATTAGCGATCGCAAACAGCTGACCTAGAACAAAGATAAACTGTTCGATGAGCATCTGAGCTTGCCAGCTGTCGAAAACAAGCTCGTCGTGGTGGAGCGTGACAGCCACTTGGGATTCGCCGACCTTGCACTCAACAACAATCGGATGAGTGAAGAAATCACCTTCGGTCAGGTTGTGCTTCATCTCCCAGATGTTGTCGTCGGATTGGCCTTCTTCAGATTGGATAACCAACAAATTCTGGGATTCGCAAGCAAGGGCGGTATCACTGCTGAGCTTGCGGATTCGTTGAAGTCCGGAGTGCTGATGAGGCATCATCATGGTGGTCAGTTGACGCACACTGTCCAGATATTGAACGATTGAGAGCTCGTGGTCAACAGCGATGCGAATGGGAACTGTTGTAAGGGCGGGTCCCGCGATATCCATGGCACCAGGCATATCAATATTTCTACCCATGAGTGTCTCAGCGAAGCAAACATCACCAGATCCGGTATGGACAGCGACCACCATCGCCCACGCAGCTCGGATCATCTCGGGGACAGTCAAAGAGGGGCCATTTGGTGCGCGAGAGATCTGAACTGAGCTGTAATGCCGGTTGCCTACGCGGATGGCATCAGGCGACGGCTTGTTCTGAGGGAAGGGGGAGGAGGATAGGCCTGCGAGGTGGGTCTTCCAGAATTCGTCCGAAGATAGCGCATCTTGTTCGACCAAGTGCTTGATGAACAACTTGAAAGGAAGCGCTGGACTGGGATTCGAGGAACCCCCATACACCTCTTCGACTCTTCGAAGGATCTGTGCCACACTCCATCCATCATAGAGAGCGTGATGGATGGTCCAAACGAAGTAACGTGTAGAAGAGGTTTCAGGCGCGACAATTCCATATCCAGTAAGCAAACCTCCGTTGTTTCTTGCCAGATCAATACTTTCACCTGTTAGACCATCAAAGTCTGTTGCCAACTCCCAGGAAATGGGGGCATCAGTAAGCACGGCCTGAACGAAGTTGGCGCTTTCTGTGTGAACGATCCGAGTCCGCAAGATATCCATTTCGTCAACCACCTTTTGCCAGGCTGCTTTAAACTTTTCGAGGTCGGCTCCCTTTGCAAGTTGGAATACAGGTCGAGCAACGTAGGCTCCAGGTTGCTTGATAGAGAGTGTGAGCAAGCCCTCTTGCATTGGACTGCAAGGGTAGAGGTCTGAAATCTGCTCCTTGGGCACGCCACATTGACCGGAAACCTCCTCCAGGATCTCCTCGAGTGACAGTGACTGAGGTAGGATGGCAAATGGTTCCACTGTCGGTACCTCAGTCTGCGTTTCTAGAGCCCCGCAGTTATTTGCCATGTCCCTGAAGATGGGGGATTGGTATATGTCGGCCACTGTAAGCGAAATTCCCTGGGAAGCCGCAGATACGACGAGCTTCATGGCAGAGAACGAGTCGCCACCCAATCCGAAGAAGTTGTCTTCGACGCTGATAGAGCCTGGGGCAAGGTTAAGAGCTTCCTCCCACAGCTCCCGGAGAGCACCCTCCGTCCCTTCCGTTCCCACTTCCGAGAGGTGTCCTGCGCCAACATTGAAGATCACATAAGGCCTCAAGCGTTCCTTGCTGAGTTTATCCACCATGGCTCGAAGTGCTTTCCGATCAATCTTGCCAGTGCTACCAAATAGCAGGCGCCGCATGGGAAAGTAAAGCTTGGGGACCATAGCGAGCGGCAGGGTCTCGCTCAGGGATCCGTGCAGTTTCTTGACAATGTCCACCATGGAGGCAGTCATTGGAAGTATCAAATCGTCGTCCACTGTCCCTTGGAAGTCGTCCTCGTTCACGATGAAGAATGCCGCCAAACATTTCGCCACAGTCTTCGCCTCTGGAGCAACAACCTCAACAGCGACCTGAGTGTCTGCTGGGAGGTTGCGGATACACTGTTGCTCGACTTCTTCTAGTTCGATGCGCACGCCGTTCAACTTCACTTGCGTGTCTATACGCGAGATAAAGCCAAGCGAGCCGTCGGAGTTGTAGCGCACCAAATCCCCTGTGCGGTACATCCGTTCCTTGCGCCTAAGGATATGTTGCAGTCCATCACGCTTGGTCCATTCCGGATTGTGGACAAAGACGGCCTTGGTTTTCTCTTCATTATTGAGGTAGCCGCGTGCAACAGTGCATCCCTCAAGAACAAGCTCTCCCACTGCGCCAACAGGTACAAGGAGATTGTGGTTCTGGGGATCAACGACCCACGTCCTGCCGCAAATAGCAGTGCCAATAGATCCGTAGTCATCACTAAGTTGAGCTCCTGTGTGATCAAACTTGGTGCTGGCAGTAAAAGCGACAGTAGCCTCGGACGGGCCGTAGGCATTGACGATACACCGATCAGCCCATCGCTCAAAATGGCTTGCTGTCATCTTCTCTCCTCCTAGGATCAACGTTCTCAGTGAAGGAACCTCCTTGGGATCCAGGGTATTCACGATGGAAGGCGTGGCGCTCATGAAATTGGCACTCATCCTTCTGATGGCTCCAGACAGGTTGTTCAAGCGCTCATCCTCGCTAGGAACGCAGACACAGCCACCGGCCGCGAGGACGATAATGATCTCCAATATGCTAACGTCGAAAGTGTAGCTAGAGAATTGCAGTGCGCGGGTATCTGAGTCTATATACGACGCCCTGGCGAGGTCGGTACAAGCCAAGGTGAGTCCAACATGTTCAAGTACCGTCACCTTGGGTTTTCCTGTGGTTCCTGATGTGAATATAGCGTAAGCTGCGTTGTCTGCGGTTACCTTCTGGGTTGGTGCCGTAGAAGGTGCATGGGGGAGCTGATCAATGGCGCCATTACTAACGATAACTGCAGAGCGACAGATACCGGAAGCTTTTTCGTAGTGAGTTTCAGAGCAGAGGATGACCTGAGTACCGAGGTCTTCCATCATGCCTTTCAGGCGACTTTCGGGGTGAGTAGGATCCAAGGAAGTAAAGGCTCCTCCAGCTTTCAAAACAGCAACCTGTGCAACAACAGCCCAGGCTGACTTTTCGAAGCACAACGCAACAAATACTTCAGGCTTGACCCCCAGGCCCACTAGGTGGTGCGCTAGTCGAGTCGATAGTATGTCAAGTTGGGCATGTGTAAAGTCCCCATCCCACGAACAGATTGCAGGGGCTGAAGGAAGACTGAGCGCTTGCTGTTGGATAAGCTCATGCGCGCATAGCACAGGCCGATCCGGCAACACAGAGTTCCACTCGCTTATCTTTTGACTAGAAAGCTCGCTGACAAAGTCAATCTCGCCGATCGTGATGCCTGGGCGAGTATTGACTATGAATTCCATGATATGTTTGAAACAATCAAGAACACCGTTAATGTCAGCGCTTGAGAAATGCTTCGTAGAATATCCGAACGAGAGCGTTCCAGATGCTTCTGAGAAAACGGCGTTGACAGCAATCATACAGTTGCTTAGATCAAGACCAGCGAGCCTGGCCACATCTTGCGTCTCGCAGGCATCTTTGGATTGCTCTGAATAACGGAAGACAGTGTTGAATATAGCGCTATTACCATGTTCAAGCTCTTGCTGGACCTCGGAGAAAGGCAGCTGATGCTGCAGCATTTGATTCAGTTCATCAAGTCGCTTCTTCAAAAGATACTCAACTTGCAATTCATCCTGAAAGAGCATTTTGCAAGCAAAGGTGTCCGTAACAATTGGAGACTCCGCAGAGCCGGCCTCTTCGTTTTTGTGGCTTGCGCCCAATGCTTGGTAGCCGAAGCAGACATCCCGCAAGCCTGTGTAGCAACGCAAAACTAACCCCCAGACGAGTTGAAGAAGAGTGTTCTTGCTGACACCGGCACTTTCACAGAAAGCTTGTAAGCTCTCTGTATTATCGAGTATCAGCTTCGTCTCAGCATGCATAGTCTGCTCTGCGTTTGCACAGAGAGATGGAAAGAGACAGGCTTCAACGTCGCCAAGATAAGTATCCCAATAAGCGACATCATGGCGGAATGCGCAGAAGTTCTTGTTGTCCCTGGATAAGTCACCAACTGTCTTGCTCATACTGGCTTCAGAGTTGATAAGGTCGACACAAGCCAGGAATTGAACAGTCAGGCGTTCGAGCTGAGAAGCATATAGCGTGTTCTCATCGTAACGAACCACAATTTCAAGCTTCTCGTCGTCAACAATGCAACCGACCACCAAGGGATAATGCTTAGCACACTCTGTGCCCTGGATATCAAACTCCTGTTGTTCGATCATCAAGCTTGATCGCTGGTTGCGCATGTCCAAAATGGTAAGTGAGTTCTTGAAGTTGCAGGCCCGTGCTGTGTCAGCGTTCAAGTTCTGAATCTGCTGGATTCCAGCCCATTGGTAAGGCTCGGTTGCGGCCAAGTTATCCTTGACCATGTTCAACAACTCGGTGACAGTCCACCCGTTGTCAATTTTGAAGCGTCTGGGGACGATGGCTGCGCTCTGTGTGTGATTGTCATGACTGTCAGTCAATACTGGCTCTGCGTTCAGCAGCGACTCCCCGAATGCAATGTCGTTAGAACTGGTGTAGCCATGGATGGTCAGAGCCCATGCGGAAAGGAGAGCGCATCTTGGACCTAGGGTCGTTGACTTGAGCGTGTCACACCAGGACATCTGGACAGCCTTTGTTGCTTGCTTGGTGACGGATCCACTATGCAAAGGCGAAGAGCGGGGTGAAGGAAACTCATGTAAACCTGTCGAGTCAGTCAACTGAGCTCGCCAGAAGTCACTGAAGCTCTTTATATTGTATCTAAGCAGTGCGGCTCCTGGCAAGCGTTGGGCTGCATCCCTTAAGAGCTGGCGGTTTAGCTTGCCAGACGAGTTCAACGGCATGCTAGGCATCGGGAAGTAAAAGCTTGGAACCCGGCTTGCTGGCAAAGAACTTGACAGCTTAGTATGCAGCTTCAGTGCCAAGTCATGCATTTCAGGTGTCATTTGCCCGATATGTCGTTGCTCCTCGTTATAGCTCGTACCGACTGTGCCATCGAAAATGAAAACCGCCAGAGATGGTCCAGGAGCTTTTTCGCTCGTTTTGTCGATTACTTCGACAGCGTACTGAGTATTGAGGGTTGAAAGTGGTGCGATATGCTGTTCAAGGTGCATGGCCTCTGTTTGTTGCCGCCAATGAAGGGCTCCTCCCTTCTTCCCCATGTAAACCAGAGTGCCGTCAGAATTGTAACGGGCCAAATCTCCAGTCTTAAACAACCGATATGTAGGTTCTTGTGACTCCAAACTTCCATCTTTGTCAGTTCCTGATTGGGTCTCATAAGTCTGTCTCCACACAGGGTTCTCAACAAAACTGCATTGTGTCAGCTCCTCGTTGTGAAGGTAACCACGGGAAAGTCCAGGGCCCTCTATCATCAATTCACCAACACAACCTATCGGAACCAAAACATCGTGATTGCAAGGATCCACAAGCCATGGAATGCAACCAATACTTGATCCCATAAGTGGCAGTCCATCCCACTCATCGAATTGTGAGTTTTGGACGCAAGTGGAGGAGCACTCCGGCGTCCCATAGAGTGTGTGCAATTGAACTTTCTTTGACCAGGTGGAAATGAGCTTTGGTGATGACCGTTCACCCCATAAGGCAAGTAAACCAAGCCCTGGAACATCTGTTGGCTGTAGGCTCGTGGCCTTTGATGGAGTCAGGCTGGCGCAGTTTGCCTGCAACATATTGATCGCTTTCGACAGGTCGCTCAGGCCATCATCGGACGGTATGCAAACACATCCACCGCACACAAGTGAGCCAAATACTTCCTGAAGGAACATATCAGAAGTATATGTGGCATATTGGAGCATCTTGGTTTTGGCACTAAGCCCAAGAGCTGAAGCGAAACCCCTTGCTCGAGTTGTTAATGCACGGTGGTCAAGTGTGATAGCTTTGGGACTCGCAGCGCTGAACACAACATATCCGTCGTTCCATGGCTGAGCAGGGGACTTGAAATCTGCCTCGGTGTCCGGAAGGTATTCGAAAAGGGGCCTGCCAACTGGAATAACATATGGGACGGCCCCTTCAAGCAGCTGCGCTCGGGTTGGAGACGCGAGAGCAACCTGGATTTCGTTATCGATGAGCCAAGTCTCAAAAGGCTGTGGTAGACAATTCAGATCAGCCGGAACGCATATCCCACCAGCCTTCAGAACAGCCAAGACAGCTACAATCTGCCAGGAGGATCTGGCGAAATCGATCGGCACCACAGTCCCATAGCCCACACCAAGCTGCGCCAGGTAGGTTGCAAGGAGCGAGGACAACTCGCTGAGCTTGGCATAGGTAAGGTTTCCGTCCCAAGCCGCAATTGCCACAGCTTGAGGTTCAGACTTCGAGTATCTGTCAAGCACCTCATGAATGCATTCGTCGACAGGCTCTGGCGCTTTGCTGTTCCAAAGCATTAATTGTTGCTTGTTGGCTTCGCTGAAGATATCAATCTGATGAACCTCAGCATCAAAATGATGCACGATATTTTCAAGCGACTTGAGGAACGCGCTGGCAACATTATCTGCTTGCCCGTCGGATAGGTGATCGGTCCAGTAGTTCAGGTCAATATGCGCGTCATCCTCTGCAGCCTCGACGTTTATAAAAATGGGTGCCTCTGCAGGGTCGTGAATTGTGCCAACTTCCGAGAATTGAATACCTCCCTTCGATGGAACGTTCTGGTTTGGAAGCTTCCGGTACGAAATCCCACTGTTAGCCAATGGGCCCGATAGTTTCAGAGCTTGTTGGATGGTAACAAGGGGCACGTGTCTGTGCGGCAAATTTTCCAGGTTGTCCTCTTGCACCTTTGCGAGGATGTCTTTCAGCAAAGCTCCTTCAGGAAACTTTATCCGGCAGGTCAACGTATTGATGACGGGCCCGACAACAGACTCGATGCCCTCTACTGGGACGTCCCTTAATGATGCCAAATATGTGAAAGAAACATCGTCAGATCCGCAAAAAGAGCGAAGAGTTAGCCCCCATGCAGCGCTGAAAGCGGTCGGCAGAGTAAGGCCGTTCTTCTCGCAGATGCTCTGAAGCGCTTTGAATGGTGCACAGTTCAATCTCTTAGTCTGTAGTCGTCTTGTAGCATCGTTGCCATCGTTGAGGACAGGGAAATTGCAGGGTTTGGTATCCCGCAAGTATGTGCGCCAATATTCAATACTGGCTTCCTGAGGAGCTTCACGAAGATAACGCACATAGTCCTTGAACTTTGGCCTGGGGTCATCGAGCTTTCCTTGGTACGCTAACTGCAAATCCCGGATAATAATGGAAATTGATGCGCCATCCATGGCGACGTGATTCAATTCCAGTCGACAGAATAATTTGCCAGAAGTTGTTTGACAGATCGTAAGCCGATGGGGTGGCTGTTTGTCATTGTAGGTCACTGGCTCTTGCTTGTCAAGGGTTGACAGCACCTCGCTTTCATCTGCACACACCACACAAGTCGGTTTAGATTTGAAAGCTTTGAGTACCACCTGGCAGTATAAGTCGCGGCTGTTCAAATTCTCGGGGAAAATAGTCCGCAGCATCCCATGATGATCAACCACTTTCTGCCAGGCGAGGGTCAAACGGTCGATATCAGGCTTGTGTGCTGCACCTCTAATTTCAAAGGTGTCATGTACAGCGTACAGTGAGCTATCGCGAGAACGGCTGAGTAAGATACCCTGCTGCATGCTTGAACAAGGGTAAATGTCCTCCACATCATCCATGGCGTTGACACCAACACTTGGGAGCTTTTTGGATACCAAGGCTTCCAGTTCCTCATATGTCAATGTTAACATGGGAAAACTGCTCAGCGTTGGCCTCGGTGGGAGGGACTGTAACTGTTCACCCAGGGATTGGAGTAGGGTTTGGCAACATGTCACCCAGTCACGAATAGCTTGTTGGTGCTGCATGTCCCTATTGAAAGAAAAAATAAAGCGAAGTTGCCCCTGCACGACCATCGCAGAAATTTCGAACAGCGCAAAGCGAGGAGTATCCTCGCCAAAGTCAGCCGGCCCGCCTCCTCGGCCAGTTTCTCCAGCCATCTGGTCCATGAGCTGAAAGAGGCCATCTTTCCTTTGTAGATCACGGTGCTGGCCAACGTAGTTGAACGAAACTTCCATGGGGCTATGGTGTAAACAACCTCCATCTTCACGCGGAATCAACATGCGACGTGCGAAATCATGGCGACCATTATCTGAAACCCGCCGGCGCAAGTCCTTGACACGCACAACCGTTTCCGTAGGGTTTTCAGCAGGAAGGCTCGACAGGAGTATGGGATAGAGGGTGGTGAACCAGCCAACAGTACGCGAGATGTCTATTGATGAATCCCAGACTTCTCTACCATGTCCTTCGTTGTAAATGATTGGCAGTGGCCGGTCTTTGAATGTCTGACCGAATGAATGGAGTAAGACTGCCAAAAACACATCTATCGGCTCAGTCTCGAGACTCTGATGGCATTTCATCAAGATGTGGTGAGTGACATCACTATCGAGCTCGAAGGTTTCACAGTCCACATCTCCATAGGTGGTCCGGCGAGTGTCCAATCCCCAGTAAGCAAAGTCCGGTGCGGGAACGTCAGGTAAATCCATTTTTCTCTCTGCTGTCGAGGTTTGGCAACGGTCGGCTTGGATTTGACACCAGCTTTGGAACGGAAGGGAGCCACTTTGTGATGTCGGTTGATTGGGATTGGTCAGTAGGTCCTCCAAGTCTTCCAGAATAATCCTCCAAGAAACGATATCGACTACCAAATGATGCGCGACCAATGATAGCAGACAGGCATTGTTGTCTTTGTAGAAAACATCAACAGCAAGCACAGGGCCAACAAAGGCATCGATGCATGACTGGCTATTTGAGATGACTCCGTCGATCTCGCTTTGGCTGCTATCATTGTGGGATCGCAAACGGTATGAGCCTGCTACATCTCGAGTGATGCGTTGCCGCAGTTTCCCTTCGACTCCTGACTGAACCAGTCGGGAACGGAGCATCGAATGGCGGTTAACAATGGCTTCAATTGCGCGCCGTATATCTTTCTCATCAACGTGCTGATTCAGACGGGTGACAATGCTTTGATTGAAATGGCCTTGGCCCTCATTCCGAACCATGAAGTGAAGTTTCTGAATTGGCGAAAGGTCAAACGGCTCATCGATCTGTTCTTGGTACACAACAGACCGGTCGACTCGTTTCACGCGAGTCGCCAACTCTTTGATGGATTTGCTATGAAGCACTTCTTGTACTGTCAGGCCCATTCCTTGCTTCTTGCAGTATCCCAGACATGTTATAGCGGCAATTGAGTCGCCACCAAGGCTTAAAAAGCCTTCGTCAAGGCTAATTTGATTTCGGGGAAGATTGAGAACGCGACACCATATCGAAGCGAGCTGCTCCTCGGTAGTGCTGGTCGGGTAATTCGCTTTCTCCGTAGAAAAGGTATTGACCTTGATGACTTGCGCATCCGGGTCTTGTTCCATGTCGCCAATCCATTTTGCGGTGGCCTTCCTGTCCAGTTTGCCAGATGCAAGCAACGGTAGTGCTTCCACACACAACCAAACAGAAGGGATCATGTATGTCGGTAGCCGAGTCGATAACCTTTCACGAACCTCTGCAACAATAGGGGCCTTCTTGGATGGCTCGAGGAGCTTCAGTGGCGCTGCATCTGGGTCTGATTGGCTTTCGAAATGAACCGATAGGGATATGACCGCTACTAATTTGCCTGCAGAGAAACCGGATTTTGAAAGAAAAGCCAGACAGTGCTTGACAATTGGGTCGGCAGCAAGGTGATTTTCGATCTCGCCCAATTCAAGTCTCTGTCCATGGAACTTCACCTGGGTGTCCTTTCTCCCTATATACGACAGTGAGCCAGAGTCAGAGTTATACCTTACCAAATCACCCGTCTTATACATTCTTCGGTCAGCGCCCTCGACATCATCCTTCTTCGCCCAGGCCGGATTGTAGATGAACGATTCATTTGTCTTTTGCGGATTGTTGAGGTAGCATCGAGCTAGTGTCGGTCCCTCGAGCACTAATTCACCCGGACAGCCAACTGGTACAAGTTGATCATGGTTGCTTGGATCCACAAGCCAACAACGTACTCCCACCCGGAGTCCAATATCCCGACAGTCGGAAGATGGTGTGACATTGGAATTAATGACGGCAGCAACGGAGCTTTCCGTAGGGCCATAGGCGTTGATAAGTTGCAGCGCGGAAGACCATGTCACTAGCTGGCCTTGTGACATAGCCTCTCCGGCAAGGATCAAGGTTTCAAGCCCCGGGACTTGTGAAGAGTCAACAAACTCAACGAAAGAGGGTGTCAAGATGGCATGGTTCACATTCATCTCATTGATGACCTTGACAATGTCACTCAAGCGTTCTTCTTCACTCGGAACACAGACGCAACCTCCTACTAACAGGGTGGTTAATATTTCTACAAGGCTTGCGTCAAATGTGTGCGCCGCAAACTGCAAGACACGCGAAGTTGAAAACATCTTGTGCGGTGTAGCATGGGCAAAAGCACCAGACACATAGGCTCTATGCTCCAGCATGGTACCCTGCGAGTGGACTGTCAATGCGCATTCAAAAGGGAAAATGGCAGAGAAGCATACCTTTGGTTCGCCAGTAGATCCTGAAGTGAATATCACGTAGGCCGCATTGTAGCCTTTTACTTCGGGCAACTGAGGTACTCCTTCGGCTGAAAGAGAGAATTCGTCTATGGCGTCCTGATCCAGTGGGACTAAGGTTTCTGCCACCCCAGTCAAAGCTCCCACACGACTTCTGGAGCAAAGCAAAACCTTGGCCTTTACGGCGCGCACCAATGACTGTAAGCGAGAGGTTGGATGTGTCGGGTCAAGGGGGACGAAAGCACCGCCAGCTTTCAGAACACCTAGCATTGCGACGATATTCCATTTCTATGAAATGCAGTCAGCTTCATACGTCGACTGATGACAGGCACTGCCCAAGGATTTCTAGGAAGATTGACTCACTGATTTATTAAAACAGAGAGCAACACAAGTTTCAGGACCGACTCCGTGTGCGTGAAGGTGGTAGGCAACTTGGGACGAGAGAAGGTCCAAATCTCGGTAAGTCAAACTTCCATCCCACGCGCAAACGGCTTCACTTTCCGGGCGTATCAGGACTTGCTCCTGAATGACTTCGTGTATGCAACGATCGTGTGCCTCTGGAAGAGCTGAATTGAACTTGCACACTCGGGACCAGTCTCTATCCGAGAAATGGTTCAAGTCTCTGGTGAGTGTATCTTCTAACGAAAGGACGCGCGCAAGAATCTGCTCAAAGTAGTCGGCAATGCTCTTCATATGCTCGGTGGACATGTCATTGTGCCACCACTCCAAGAAGATGCCAACATCCTCTTGCAGGACCTTGACGTGAATCCTAACGCGACACTAAGGAGGGGGTCAGCCAATCGGGATTGGAAGGGCTAGGCTACCTGCAGCCTGGGCCTGGAAGACACAGGAGAGAGAGGGGAAGAGGGGGGGGAGAAGAGGGGAGGGGAACGGCAAGGGGACGACGAACCTGGTCGGGGAGGGGAATCGCCAAGGCCGGTTGCACAAGAGGGGCTCGCGAGTCTTTGGCGGGACTGCGACAATTGCGGAGCATCAACAGGGTGTTGCAGAGGGTATAACTGTGGCCACTCGAGCTCGAACTTTTGCATCTTTTAGCCTCGTTCATCCCCTCCAAGTGGCGCAGAATGGTGTGGACGGAGTCGTCCTCGGTGATGGTAAGATTAAAAGTTAAGAGATTATGATTATGTATAGTATCTGACGAGGGGGCATCCACCCCGATTGGTTGGTAGCCAAAGCAGATGTCTTCCAGGCCTGTATAGCGATGAAGAAGCAAGGCCCATGAGGCCTTGAGTAAGGAATCTAATTGGCCTTGGTCCCACGCGGCCAGCAACTGGAGAGTCTGGGACGGATTCGTCCTGGCCCTCAACGAAGCAGGGCGTTTCGGCCCGTGAACACTCGTGCCAAACTTGGGCAAGCAGCAAGAAACCGGTTGAGCCATGGTGTGAGGGAATTGGATGTATCTGGAGGTATCACGCAGAGAATCCAGGATAGGCCACCGAGAAGAGAGAGGGAGTGGGAGTCGAGGGTATTTCCTACAAATTATCCAACCCCGTACACCACTCTACCTTTAAATTGGAACCGAATCAATCCATGCCCACCGAGCCACCTCCATCATGGGGGTCCCGACCCTCTCGGCCCAAAATAGATCGGTCGAGCTAGTCAGGGAATTCCCGTGGCATCATTTTCAATTGCTTACGGGCATTGGAATACGAAATGGACGGCAGCCAATGGCCAGTCTGAAATTAGACGGCCTGAATGAATGGCGTAAACATTGGCCACCACGCTAGCATGGTTTACTCTCAGATGCCCTTGCCTAGGGCGAAGCTGAAGAGACCGCAGGGAATTGATTCCATCGCTTGCAACCCTCTGCAGGGCGCTTGAACCCAAAAGTCGATGGCTTGAACCCGTTCGACGTGGTTTGCTCACCAGGTGGAGCTTGTTCAGGGGTGGGGGAGTAAGAAGAGCGGGGAGGTGACGATACAAAGCACTAGAAAATGATCCATAGAGGAAAAATAAATCACATATTTTGGGACACAATTCGGGGTAGTCAAAATGCAAATCAAGGAAGCCAGCCTCGACATGCTGGACCGTACAGTACACATGAAGGCATGACATGACGTTAGTGCACAAAGTCGGAGCGCATAACAGGGGGCGTTCCGGCCCTGGGGGCATTGTGCCCGCCGGCCATGATTCATCCCGGAAGTTCGAGGTCGGTCTCGAACAAGATTCGATCAGAACTTTGCCTGTCAAAGAGGCGCGCCGCATCGACATCGAGCCCCACTCGATACCGAAAAAGAAAAGTACAAGAATGACCACCTGCATGCTGACCGGTAGTGAGAGAGAGAGTTGCGGGAAAAAACTCGGCGGAGTAGGGGACTTGGCTACCCTGATCCCGAGATTCGGCCAGGTCACCAGGGGTACCCGTCTTCGTACTAAGTAATAGCACGTAGGAGTTAATACCGCATTTGGTACGGAGTAAGTGGTCAGGAAAGTCTCGGAAAACAGGTCGCAGGTAAGAGGAGTAAGAATTGGGCAAGCTCCAGGTGCTACTAACTGGGGACAGACTGGACACGGCGGGTCATGGACGGTAGAGTCGCTTCTACTTGCTACGATCAAGGTACAAAAGTCCGGTTCCTGATCGGGAAGCCATGGCTGGGATTTGATTGGGGCTTCGGCGGCTCCTTGCCCTAAACACGGTTCAAGCCGATAATATACCCTGTTATGATTATGAATCTCAAGTCCAACTGAATCCCGGGTCTAATGGGCGTATGTCCCCCCACACACCCGCACAAACAGGGGCTAATACTCCTGCATAATGAAAGGTGATTCCTCGGAGAATAAAAGAATAAACACAAATCAAATAATCCTCGAAGAGGGGCTCGACTGGCACATTGGTTCTTACTTCACCCGGGGGTGAATACGCATTTCTCTCCTACAGATGACCCAACCTAAAGAGAGGCCCCCAGTTAAACGTAATTTCCGGGACTATGTTCTCCGCATCGATAATACACTTCTCTGTATGGAGTATGTTCAGTTAGGGCGGGTGGACTATCATAACGGGTAGATTATATTAAAGTTATTAACAGCGGAGTTTACCTTTTCCCGTTTTGGGTAGCAGAGACGGTCAGACCGTCGGAGGCTCGGAGCAAATCTAGTGACTCGAGACAAAGAATAATAGAATGAGCATTCATACTACGTAGCATGATAGGTTATATGAAGGCGATGGGTGAGCGTTCCTATAAGGTGGCCTATTTGGAAGCGAGAATAAAATAGACAGATCACCCAACATGGAGAGAGAGGGATTTTCAAAAGGCAAGATGACGAATTTACCTACGCCCGCAACCGAATCAGATGGATACTGGTAAGAGATCAGTCTACAGAGTAGCTGAAAGCTAGTCGCTATCACAACCTTCCTTCGAGACTGATTATGTACTAGACGGTACTCCATAATACTATCATCAACGGCATTGCATCGATTCTGCATCTGACACGAGAATTTCCGCCCTTGCCTTTCTGCGTGGTGGCCACTTGACGTGTACATATACCTACAGTTACAGCATACAGACGATCCCTGGTAGAGGGCATCAACCTCGCTTATGGATCGGGAATTGAGTTTCATAAATCCGCCCTGCAGTGAATTTGCGATTGGGTTGCCCATACCTCGCATCAAGCCCACTCATTGGCTGCCTAGATGGGCTTTTTCGAGGTCGCTTACGGAATTCCGGGTTCTGGATGGTTCCCGCTCGCGCCGCTTGGTTATCGCGACGGGAGATCGAAACTCTCCTAAATTAGCAGACAGCACGGAGGCAGTCTATGCGAGCTAAAAATCAATAACCATGCAAGGCTTGCAGGGGACTTGCGAGTGACTTAGACCATGCCCTAAGGACTCAGCCATGGACCTTGTGGGTACGGAGTTGCCAGGGCTGGTATAGTGTAGTATTCCTGTGTACGAACTGTTAGGTGGATTACTAGCTGCATATCACATCGGTTATGACAATCACCGCTCGTAAAATTTTCTTTGCTTTTGGTCGGAGACCGATTCTGCGTCATTTGAGATTCTGGAGGTGCAAAACCCGGAGATCGGTAGGGAGAAATCAAGGAAAACGGGGTCAGGAACGGGCGGGTAAATCCGGAGTCGATCCTTACTTAGTCCGGGCAATATCAATTGTTGATCGCGCTCAGGGAGCAACCAAGTGCCAGAGCTTCCGGAGAATAAGTGCGGCAGGTTTCATCTGAACCGTGGAAATGCTGATGATCGAATGATCCTGCCGCGGCGGGTCGAAACGACCAGCCTACCAACCATTTGGCGTCCCAAGGAAAAGACGTATCCCCCCGTAGTAACACGTAGTACTCCGTACGGAGTACTTGCTCGGTGGCCGTCAGTTGGCGGGAGGCATCCGTATTGCCGAGGGCAGGACAATACCGGTACCTACGACGTACAGTACAGTACCCAGAAGGAAAAGCATTTGTGTTGTGCATCGATGTCTTAATTGACAGTTCACTACTGCAGGCTAGAGAAAAAAGTAAGCATAAAGATGACTTGGCCCCGGCGTAGGCGTCTAGGCTTTCCAGGCTCGGATCTGAGAATGCGTTGGGGCGAAATGTCATTCGCATGGATTATCCTCTAAACGTAAAAGGGATAGGGGACTACTAGTACTTGGTAGTAGTTGGACTTAGCGGGAGGGAAGAAACAGGCAGACACTGACAGTACTTACTAGTACTGCTGTACTAGTATTAGTCAGGCGCTGGAGGTGGAACGCTCCAAGGCGGGTCACGGCAGCCGGAAGTCTTCCGCAGCACTAGATCCACCGCTGCCGCTGCTAACCAACTGAGGTCTCCCCCAAAGCCGCGTGTAGCAACACGCTTGGTGGTGGCTGTCCAGCTAACTCCAGCCACTAAATCCTTCTTCAAGATGCAAGGAATCCCCGCTCGATTGATTGCCTACTAGTCAGCGCCTCGCTAACCTAATTGTGTCCTAGTACTCAAGAGCTCCTTCTCATTCCGGTCCTAGTTCCTGGTCATCTGCCTAGTGCCTTCTCTTCTCCAGCATCCACGGACACCGACAAAGCAGGTACCAGAAGTCCACCCCTCGAGATCCCGGTCATGAACAATGTCTCAATTGCGATTCCACTTGTGGCGACCCGGCCCCTCCGTCCCACCTTAGTTCTTCAGCCACTGCTACGCTGAGCGCTGCTACATACGTACAGGGGCGACGTTACACCTCTTGCTATTAGCTTGAGTGGGTGCGCCGTTTGCCTTCAGGCAGCGGTCGTATTCATCCCACTGAGTACTCCGTACTCGGTACAATAGGGCGCTTTGCCACCAGGATACCACTGCAGTACCATGGGGCTGTAAATCCTCAGTTGACTGCTATACGTACCTACTTATGTACCTCCTGTCAGATGACTAGTGGGTAAGCGCCAGTCCACCATGATCTGGCCTGGGGGTGGAAATGAGCGCTATGGAATCGATCGCTTTGATTCGATGAGGACTCCCGTCGGAATCGCCATCGAGTGGACTGGAGGATACTAGCCGAAATGTCAAGTTCAGCTATTGCCTTGCTGTTCTTGGTAGGTTTAGAACTGCCATGTTGTGATGACGCCATCCGATGTCGACACACTCGGCAGAGGTAACGCGAAGGGTCTACAGGGAGAACTCTATCTGGTGTCCATCGTTGTACACTCCGTGTCTGGGTATCAAACCTCACTGCGGAGGGCCCGGCTTCGAAGCCTTGTAGGGAGTAAGATTCAATACTCAGAAATTGGCGACCAGTGGCGGCATTTGGTGTCAGTCGGGATTTGAAGGATGCAACTATGTGCACAGCACAAGAGCGAGCCGCCAGGTCACTTGCTCACAGCTCAACTACTCCCTCAGTGGGCAAGTTTCGGGGCAGAGGTGTGCTTTAGTCCATTATTTTCGATCCCACCCGCTCGTGGCTTTTTATCCACGTCTGACTGATGGGACAAAGATTTGGAAACAATGGCCAGGGGGGTATACTATGATTCTAGTGAGCTTGGCCATCGGGCCCCGTTAGTCTTCGGGCAGATGGGATCGTTAGCCCTGGGGCGGTGGGGGCAAACTACGAGCTGTGCTCAAATCGCACGGTTTGCATGTATCTAGTGAACTTCAGGAGTTCAAGCCATCAGCCCGATGGCTTGGTGGGCTTGAACCAAACTCGTGTTGACCGGTCACAGCCCCATTGACAAAGGTCATCATTACGTTACATGCGAGGGGAAGGAGAATTAATAGCCTATAACGCTCATCCGGGGCAAGAGGGCAAGCTGCGAAGAAGACCAGGGGAAAAGCAAACATGCATCTTAGTACGAAATGGATGGGGGTGGGCCGAATCAGCTGGCTCAGAAGCTCGCTTTCCTGAACCACCCATGGATGCGCTCATGCAGAGCCCATGGTGGATCTTCAGCCGAGAGCCCTGGCAATCTGCAACGTAGCTAATCGCCATCCTCGGAAAGTTTTCTCAGGGAAGGTTCCAAAAAATTAAAAAATAGAAAAACACATAAATAATAATAGGGAAACTGAAAATAAATATTTTTCAGAGGACAGCAAGCCAGGCCGAGGGCAAAAATACAAATGGAAAATGAGAATACCATGGTTATTAATATCATGCGAGGTCGATTTTAATAGTTCTCCCCCTGATGATGATGTATACCCATTAGGTACGAACAATTGTCAGGGACTAAAAAAACCGCAGCCCTGGGAACTTGGTAGTCTGGACTTCACATGCTAACCCAGGAAAAAGAAAGGGTCCCAAGTCACTATCAGTAAGGCTCTGGACATAAAATCTAGCGATCCACAGTGATTGCTTGTTGCTCTAGAAGGATTTTATTGCATCCCATGAAGGATACCTACCTCTGCGGTTGTAAATGGAATGCCGAGTGTAGGCATGGCGGCACTTCCATCATGCCAGCAGGTGGACAATACTCTACATATTCCTCCTTCATATTGTCGAAGTGGTTTTGATTTCTCGCTGCTCTTTGAAGAGCTGATCCTGGGGATCCTACCACTGGGTATTGTACTTGCATTGGCACTCTTTCGACTCCGACATCTGTATGGAAGACCGCGCAAAGTTGTATCTTCCTGGCTGGTATGGGCGAAGACAGTACGTACCGCACCGATCCCTCCCTCCCGAATACCTACCTACCTAGGTAGGCAGGCACGAGTACTACTTACTACCCCACGAGTCTGTGACTGACCATTGCACTTCATCCACAGGCAGCATGGATCGCCTTAGCGATCGTGCACTTGATCCTGACGGTCCTATGGGCCCTTCCATCGGCGTCGCGAACGGACGCCTCCGTTCCTGCGAGCGCAGTGATGACAGTGGGAATCCTTCTTTTGGGTCTGTTCTCATACGCAGAACATAACCTCTCCGTCCGGCCATCCTTCCTCCTCAGCGTTTATCTCGGTACGACTCTGCTATTCGATATAGCGAAAACGCGAACTCTCTGGCTGCGACATCCGGAAGACGACAATCAAGCTATCGCAATCATCATTTCTGTAAATGTCGGCATCAAAGTCATCCTCCTTCTCCTCGAGGCTACGGAGAAGCGACGCATCCTCAAACAGGAATACAAAGACTATCCACCTGAAGCTCTCGCGGGAATCTACAATAAGTCGTTTTTCTGGTGGCTGAATTCATTGTTCTATCGAGGGTTTTCCCAGGTTCTTGGGGTCGATGATCTGTTTGTCCTCGACAAGCAATTAGAATCTAGGAGACTGCATCAGATTTTACAGGGCGTCTGGGACGGGGGTAGGATCTGCCTCGCACACTATGAAGACTTGAGTCTAAAAGGCTAACAACGGGTAGACAAGGAGAAAAGCGAGAGATCATTATTGTTCGCCTGCTTGAAGGCGTTCAAATGGCAGGTGTTGGCTGTGATTCCACCTCGAGTCATGTTGGCTGCCCTCAACATATGCCAACCTCTATTGCTGGAAAGATCGCTATCATTCTCCGAACAGGCTGTGAACAAGAACACCGACAACATCGGCTATGGATTAATTGGGGCTTATATCCTGGTTTACACTGGCTTAGGGGTAAGTCGAGAGTATATACCTTTTACCCTCAAGTCTCTGACACTGCATGATTCCAGGTAACCATGGGCCAATATCAACATCTTACATACCGTTCCATTACAATGGTTCGGGGCGCAGTTGTTTCCATGATCCACGAAAAGGCGTGCACTCTAAGTACCAAAGATGCAGACCCTGCGTCTTCTGTCACATTGATGAGTGCAGATATCGAGAGAATTGTGCAAGGATGGCAAACGATGCATGATATCTGGGGTAACGCCCTTGAAATTGGTCTGGCGATCTACCTTCTCGAGAGACAGTTGGGATTATCTTGCGTCGTTCCTGTTGTTGTCGCTGTTGGTAAGTACCCCCTTCCCTCTTGCGAAGCAACATAGAGTTGACACTCCGTTTAGTGGCACTAGTAGGTTCGCTTATCGGGATGTCTTTCGTGATGTCAAGACAAGCTATGTGGCTTCAGGCTATAGAAAAACGCATCTCCTCGACATCCTCGATGCTTGCTTCAATGAAAGGTATTAAGATGCTCGGTCTCCAATCGGCTCTTATGACGTGTGTCCATAATCTACGCCTTGATGAGATGAGCATATCCAGAAATTTCCGGAAGCTCTTGGTCTGGAATATGGCTCTAGGTAAATCCAGATCTCGAGCTATTGTTTGGAAAGTCCACCCTAACATGATCCCGCAGCTTGGCTTACCCGCATATTTGCGCCCGTCTGTGCATTTGGTGCTTTCGTCGGAATCTCTCACGATCGAGGAAATGATGCCGCGTTGAACACATCCGTCGTCTACACGTCACTATCTCTGTTCTCGCTTTTATCGGATCCTCTCTTGTCCCTTGTTATGGCTCTGATGACCTACGCTGGGTCAGTCGGATCTTTCAAGAGAATTCAGGATTTCCTCGAGCAAGAAGGTCATACTGATTTCAGAGATAAGCCTTCCGCGCCTCCACAATATGCCATCGATGAAAAGGCACAGTTGGCCGTGGTTGAGGACACGGAAACTAGCACGAATGAATCCACATCAGTCTCTTCCCGATCATTGAAAGAAACCTTTCCATCTTCGTTCCAAAATGTCGTTACTATTCGCAATGGTGCTTTTGGTTGGGATGCGACAGAAGAACCGTTATTGAAGAATCTGACGATCGCGATTCCACAAGGGGGCTTCACGATACTGATTGGGCCCTCTGGCTGTGGAAAGTCAACACTACTGAAAGCTTTTCTTGGAGAAGTCCCATGCTTGAATGGAGATATCAAACTCTCTATGGACAGTCTCAGCTTCTGCGAGCAGACGCCTTGGCACATGAACGGGACAATTCGGGACTGCATCGTCGCAATGTCTGGTTTCGACAGCCAATGGTATAACTCCGTCATATATGCTTGTGCTTTGAAGGAGGATTTTGAGCAGTTACCACGTGGCGACCAGACCGTGATCGGAAGCAAGGGTGTTGCTCTGAGTGGGGGTCAAAGTCAGCGCATTGTAGGTGCTCGAAATGCTGTCGTATGACGGTAGATATTCTGACATCTATAGGCACTGGCAAGGGCAGTCTATGCCCGGAAAGAGGTTATCATTCTTGACGATGTTTTTAGCAGCCTCGATGCAACGACTGAGGAACATATCTTCCATCACCTGATTGGGAGCCAGGGTCTCTTGCGTTCGATTGATTCAACGATCATATTCGCATCTTCTTCTGGCAAGCCACAACTCATTCTTGGCTCTACTCGGTGGCAATGCTAACCTACTGAACAGTGAAACGCGCTCCCTATGCTGATCATATTATTGTCCTTGACAACAAGGGTCACGTCATAGAGCAAGGAAGTTTTAAGGCTCTTGATTCAGCCGGCGGTTACGTCTCAAGCTTCGCTCTCGGTCTTCCCGAATGGGGTTACAAAGCAGACTTTTTCCCTGCATCTGGTGTCCAAGTAGAGACGATAGCAAAGCCAGACAAACCGGAGACTGAGATCGATGCTGACACCCGTGGGAAAGGTGGAGACCTATCGATCTACTTGTACTATGTGCAAGCTATTGGCTGGATTCCAACCATTGTTTTCATCGTTTCAATTGCTGGTTTTGCTTTCTGTATATCCTTTCCAAGTACGACCTCTCTAATCTTTCTGTCATCAAGGATAACAACTAATTTGACACAGGCATCTGGGTTAAATGGTGGGCCAGCTCAAATGAAGCGCAACCCGGCAAGCACACCGGATATTATCTGGGGATATATGCCATGCTTGGTGTGATTGGCATGCTTTGTCTTATGATCGGTTGCTGGTCAGTGACAGTCGAATAGCAGCCGTGATCAAAGATAGCTGATGCGTGTCTAGGCAAATGGTCATCACCATGGTGCCCAGATCGGGTGAGGTCTTTCATCGAAAGCTTCTGTCCACAGTCCTCAGGTATTTTCTATCTGTCATCTAGGAGATACATGCTGACCCATCAATAGTGCCCCGATGTTGTTCTTCTCCAAAACCGATAGTGGTGCCATTCTCAATAGATTCAGTCAAGATCTGCAGCTTATTGACATGGAACTCCCTATCGCCGCTATAAATACCTTTGCGAGTACGTGTCATGGCCACACTAGTAACATGCCCTGCATACTGACATTCCTTCTAGCCTTCACTCTCTGCATAGCTCAGATGATCCTCATGGCAGTTGCTTCAAAATACGCCGCTATCTCCTTTCCCCTTGTCATTCTCATCGTCTATCTTATACAGAAGATGTACCTTCGTACATCTCGGCAATTACGATTCTTAGATCTCGAGGAGAAGGCACCACTTTTCTCGCACTTCACCGATTGCCTCAGTGGTCTGGTAACCCTAAGAGCCTTTGGGTGGCAACGCGCCCTACAGGAGAAGAATGATACATTGCTCGACCGTTCTCAAAGACCGTTCTATCTTCTATATGCCATTCAACGCTGGCTTACACTCAGCTTAGATATGGTGGTCGCAGGCATTGCCATCTTGCTAATAGTGCTCGTCGTGGTGCTGAGAGGATCCATCAGCGCCGGATATGTGGGAGTGGCACTCCTGAATGTCATCCAATTCAGCCAAAGTATCAAGCTCCTGATCACTTTCTGGACAAACCTCGAAACGCACATTGGCTCTATCCAACGAGTCAGGTCGTTTACAGAGGATGTGCCCTCGGAGGATTTGCCTACGGAAAATGATGAGATACCACCGAATTGGCCATCGAAAGGAGGCATCGAATTCAAGTCTCTGTCTGCAGAGTATAGGTGAGACCAGCAGCCCAATCACTTCACCCTCCTGTAACTAACCCATGTTGCATATAGGCCCTCTGAGCCCGTCCTCAGTGGTGTGTCTCTGTCTATCCGGAGTGGTGAAAAGGTGGGGATCTGCGGGAGGACTGGAAGGTAGGTTACCTGATAGGCGGATAAAACTCCGGTCGTTAAACCGCTAACTCATACCGTTAGTGGTAAAACATCACTCATAATGAGCATGTTCCGTATGGTCGACATCAGCTCCGGTCAGATCCTGATTGATGGCCTCGACATAGCCAGACTGCCACGTCGAGAGATCCGTTCGCGGATCAACGGGGTCTCTCAGAGCCCTCTTCTCATGAAGGGCAGCGTAAGGGCAAACGCCGATCCAACAGGCTGTTTCTCCGACGACGCCATTGCAAATGCTCTCAAGAGCGTCGGCTTGTACGCCAAGGTGCAAGAAAAGGGCGGCCTAGAAGCCGACATAGACGATCTCTTCCTCTCTCACGGACAGCAACAACTCTTCTGCCTCGCACGAGCGATCCTCCGGCCAGGGAACATCCTGGTTCTCGACGAAGCTACCAGCAGGTACGCACAACCTATCTGTCCAAGCAAACTGTTCCAATACTGACTTAACCCCACTAGCGTCGACGCCAAAACCGACGAAATCATGCAGCGGATCATCCGCGAAAAGTTCAGCGGCCACACTATCCTCACCGTCGCCCACAAACTCGACACGATCCTGGACTACGACAAAGTCGTGGTGCTCGATGCGGGGCGCATAGTGGAGTGCGGAAACCCGTATAACCTGCTCACCTCTGACAAGTCGCATTTCAACAAGCTTTATGCGAGCTTGATGATGGATGAACCGGAGGAGTCGCCCTAAGCTAGTGGGAATGGGCTAGCTCGGTGGCGCCAGCGGAAGCAAGGGTACCAGTACATATTATAATTCGTTTCTTAATATTACGTAAATCTAGGGTCAATTATAGTAGTTAATCTTGGTTCATGCAAGTTGCAAAGCTCCTCCGTACATTGCAATATAATTGAGTTTCGTTCATGCGAACAGTGAGATTTTAGCGTTCAAGGCTGAATACTGTTGAGATGTAATTCCCTGGCCTGGCCCAGACGCCGAACGGAGACGAGACGGAGAGACGGAGGACGGCAAGGTCCGACACCAAGCGCCTGCAGCTGCAGCACCATCAAGGAAGAAAACAAGGCAATTTAGCGCCCCCCTCTCCCTCTGCCCCTTTGCCCCCTCCTCAACCATGAACCAAACCATGAATGATGAACCATCCCAATTCCCTTCCCGTGCCCACAACCCACCCACTCACCGGTATATTCACCCGGCATATAAGAATGAACAATGAAGTAGATCTTTTCCGCTGCGCTGCCGCTGCTGCTGCATAATAATAGTACTGTGTAATAATAGTACGGTGTGGATCGGGTGCAGAATCAAGGAAGGGAATTACCAGGGTTCGTTCGTTTCATTTCTAGGGGAAAAAAAAATAAAAAAGGAAAATAAACAAATAGAGATAAAAATAAATCAACGAATCAAATAAGATAGATAAATTAGATGATTGGCGGAAGTAAACAGCAGGGCCCTACTATGGTAAAAGTAGTAGTAGTAGTAGTCCGCCTGACGTCATTCCACCCAGTAGAAACCTGCACGGAGATATGAACCGATAGGTGCGGAGTTTCCGTTCAGTACAGTAAGCTCCGTAGTCTAGTTCATGAGTGAGTGGGTGATGGGAGTCGGAAGGAACGAGACAATCTAGACCGAGACGAGCATAGTAGACAACATACTATAGTAGGTGTGCAAGGCAACTAACTAGGCAAGATCCTGGTTTCTGTGCCAGTCTAGCCCAATCTTTCCAGGTTAGCCGAGATGAAGGGATTCATCTAGATCTGGACGAATCGATCGAATGGAAGTGGGAGGATCGAGATCGTGGGGGGTCGCTGTCGGTTGTTCGTAACTTCGTATGTCTATGGATGGGGGAGTACTAGTACTTACTGGGTGATCTTATGTATTTGGTTTTACGGGATAGATACGGGGTATTGAATGTACGATGTAATAAAGAGACAGAAATGGTGTGGTGAGCTAATATTTCAGTAACATGTGGTACAACTAAACTAGTACGCCGCTCCGTGAAGAGTATGTATGTATGGATGGATGTGAAGGATGGGTGGTTCTAGGCGAGCACCATCGTATCGTCATTATCCGGGTCTCCGGCGGGGTTATCGTCGAGGATTCCAAATTCCCAGTCGCCACGCTCGATCCGACTGACGCGATCGAGTTCAGCTTGGAATTCGCGACGTAGGTGGTCCAGGGTCACGATGACTCGGCGTTGAGGGATGAAGGTGGCGGGGATGGAGGATTTGCTGTCCCGACGACTGGACGGACGGAGGGCGGTTGGACTGGCGCTGAGGCTGAGGCGCCGGTGGGAGTAGGGGTTGGGGGTAGGAGAGGCCGCTGGTCCGGCGGCTTCGGCGTCGTCCATGAAGACGTTGCCGTCGTCGTCGGGTTGCAGGCTGCGACGTCGGTCGGTGGAGGGGTGTGGTTGGCCGTCTTTCTCGACGAGGATGTAGGATTCGCTCTTGTCGACGCAGGCGAGGAGGTTGATGAGGGAGAGAAGCTCATGGCGGATCTCCTTGCTCTCTGGGTCGTCCTCCTCGGTGGGCCGGGTGTCGTCGGTTTCTCGAGATTTGCTGAGCACCAGATGGGTCGAGTGATCTCGAGCGTGGCGTAGGCGTTGGACGTTACGGTAGGCCACTTCGGCGGCGCCGCGGTAATCGCCCCGGGCGATGCGGTAGGCTTGGAGGATACGCTGGTAGTCGGGAGTGCTGTCGGCCCATTTGCTCTCCGTGTCGAGGTATGAGCTGAACGAGGTCTGTCGCCGAGCGAGCGATGACAGGATGTCATCCACGTGGGAGGCGAGGTTTGGAACCAGTGTGGTCGGGAAATGAAGAATCTTCTGTAGCCCAGCGGTACCGGGGCCGGAGGCGGCCAGGATGCCTGTGATGAGAGCGCTCAGAGCGGATTTCTGCAAGACGCGATCCTTGTATCTGGCGAGCGCCGAATACGCCTGGTCGAATTGGCAGTTTTGCAGAGAAGCGTAGAACAAGCGTGAGAGGAGGTCGGCTCGTAAGCTGGCGGCTTCCGCATCCTGCTCGCTTCCATGTTCACTGGCAAGTGCCTGGAGTGCCAGACTGGCAAAGTCGGCAACGTGGGAGAATGAGCGCGCATGTTCGAATATCGTCAGGATGTGCTGGAAGTATTTAGGAAGACCGTTGTGGAAGCAGTCCACGGAGACGATGTCGAGGAGGGTCGACGACATTTCATGCAAGTTGCCAAGGGGCTTGCCGCACGCTGTGCAAGGTTAGACAGGATCACTGATGAGCTAGGCAGGCGGACTTACAAAGGAGATACGCAGCTTTGCGGAAATACAAAGCCGCAGTATCGAATTCGGACATGGCAACGTAGAGACGACCCTTCACATAGGTCGCCCAGGATGTGCTGGCTTGGAAACGGAGAAAGTCCCAGGCAAGGTCAATGTTGTTCTTCGCAATGAGGTCGCATTGGATGTAGACCAGAGCGTTGGGGTAAGCCACTTCGCCCTGGCGAGTCACCCAGGAGAGAATATCCCGAATCCCAAGAGAGATCGTGTAGCTCTGAGGCAACCCGATCGCTTGACGGGGTTTGATGTCACTGGCAAACAGATCCTCAAGGATAGTAGCCACTCTCTCGTCCTTCTTCCGAGTCGACGAGTCCTTGGTAGGTGTGGCAGACAGATCATCAGTGACCTTGGTCGATCTGTCAGAGCACTTCCGAGAATGCGAGCTGAGCCAAGACATCATCTCATATTCTCTCAGAAGAGTGATGATCGTGACAAACAGGTCTGCAGCGTCAAAAGTCGAGTCCTCTTCCTGCTGAACCTCGCCATCGACGAAGAGAATGAGGTATAAGAGGTCTGTCAGAGTTTTGCGCGTCAACGAAATCGTTTCCTGAACACCGTTCACAATGACCTTCACACCAAAGTGAGTGTTGACGAGGTCCGAGTCCTTGGCAGGGAAGCCCAGCGGAATGGTATCCACGAGGGTGTAGAAGACTTCGTTTTGCAAGCTGAAGATATTCAAGTGCTCGTTGATAGCAGCAACCAAGCCATCGTAGGTCTTGTTGGAGATCTGTTCCCCAAAATCACAACGCTCGCGGAAAGCATCCATCCGATCCTGCACGGACGAGGAGGGCTCGGTGAAGAGCTCGGCTTCGAGTGCACCCTGGCATGCCACTTCGAGCTCGGCATTGAAGCTTTTCCGGAAGCCAGAAGCAACGGTCAAGAGATGAGAGGCCTGCTCGAACAAACTGCCGATCTCCGAATCCAAGTTCCGATGCCTCCAGCGATCAACGATCTTGGGTCCTTCTGAGCGGAGCGCAGGGCCGGAGTTGTGTAGAATGAGTTCGGTCGAGCTGCATTCGCGGATCACTGCACAGCTGTCGGAAAGGATCATCCATGGGGTTTCATGGTAAGCGTCATACGCAAGGGAGACCGGCTCGAATCGTCTCTTGTTGACATCATCCGCGATTTGCCAAAACTGGCGCCACTTGGAGTCTGTATCTGTTCGGTACCGCGTGAAGTCCATCCCATCCTCTGCATACTTACGGAGAGACACAGTCGCAGCAATCGTAGAGCACAATCTTTCCGCAAGCGGAGCACTCTTCTTCGCTGCGCCAGGCGAAGACAGCGGTCTAAGTGCTTCTTGATAGATAGAAAGAGCAGTCTCAAGAACCTCGGTCGAGAACCGGTTGGGCTGCAGAAGGAACTTGAGCCATTTCTCTGTCGGGTCTACCACATCAGATAACGCCATAACCGGTGAAAGCTCCTGTGCGCGGGAATCCATGACTGTGGACACCCAATTGGAATCCCAATCCGTCGTCAGAGTCTCAAAGTTGAAGTGCAGCGTGTACAGCTGGTAGAGGCTGCTGTTTCTCCACAAAACCCATAGCTCCATGCGCTTGCCTTCCTCGGCAGGCTTGATCTGGAAATCCGCAATGCTCCAGAACATACTCCCCGTCGAGTCCGGGTCCAGCGGCTTCAGTGCAGCGCCCGGGTACAGGTCCTCGACAATCAGCGGCGACGTCAGGCCTCCCTTGACAGCCCAGAATTTGAAAAGTCCGTCCTCAAATGGCGAATAAGTGACAACGTAATACCGGTATCCGCCATCAAGCGCACGCTCCATATTGAAGACTTTAACGAAAGACGATTCGGCTGGATTCAACGAGTATGATGATTCTTCCGATTCCGGCACCTCACGATCCAATAAGTCCTTCGTAGCGGCCAACTTGTTGGTGGCAAGGTTCCAGATCTTCAGGGTATGGTTCAAGCAGACAGCGAAAACATAAGTCTGATCGGTCGTAGTGGCGATAGCATTAGCGGTGCTCAATTCGAGATTGCGTCCCTTGAATTTGATCGAAGGCTGCGCATGCCATTTGACCAAGCCGCGGAACGACGCGCCCCAGGTTCTCTCGTCGAACGTGAGGGGAGACCAATGTGAGCCTGAAGCACATCAAACAGTCAGCATCGCGACTTTATATCATCGGGCACCAAAATCGTAACAAGAAAGGTGAATTACCATCATCACCAGACTTCCTGGTCAAGCGCAGAAGCGCGCCATTATCGAGGGAAATGAACAGCTCCAACGGACTGCTCGCATGCAACCGGTGCGGGTAAGAGAAAGTCAGCGGTGCCGGGATACACGTCTTGCACCAGTCGGAGATGTTATCGTCAATCGAAGCTGTCCTCCGGAAGAATTCAGGGCGTAGGGTCAAGGTGTGTAGATGTTTAGAGGCGGTGATCACGAACACGCTCAACGCTTCGTGGTCTTCCAAGTCCGAGAAATCGACACCCGAAGGAACAATCTCTTCGCCAAATTCCAAGCGCAGCGTCACATTGTATTCGTGATGCTCAATGCCAGCCTTGGTCAGGTCCACGCACTGGACCTCCAAGACCTTGCTGTCATCGACCACCCTCCACAGGAACGTTCGGGGGTAGACATTGCGTTTGCGGAAATAGATTGATCCCTGAGTCGCTAGGTATCGTCTTGAGAACTCGTCTTCGTCCTTTGCGACCGGCTCATCGCGGCTGGCGCTGGTAGTGATCGCGAATCGGGCGCGGCTTTGCGTATTCGCTTGGGTTGGGATCGGGATGTTGACGACGGTGTTCGGCGAGTGCGGCCGGAGGTCGACCCGGGTATCTTTGTAGATTTTTGCCATGTCGTGATGAAGAATGACCACCTTTCACGATCTTGAGATAATGGTCAATTCAAGTCTCCATGGCCGGTGGTTGTGCCTGGAGGGAGGGTCGCAACACGGCGGAAGCTGAAGCTCTTGCGGCACTCCAGAAAAAACAGGTCTTGGCAATCCTATTCATCCACCGCCTTACTCCATCTCCGCAACTGGACAAGATTACTTTGGATGGTTCGAGGAAATCACCATTTTACTGAATCGGAAGTACACATTTCGGCCCTAGTTTTGACCGTCTCATCTACATCCAGTAAAGTCGAGCATCGTACACGATGTCAATACGCTAGCAGGAACTGAGACTATTATTATGTATGCAGCCCAGTCATGCAAAACAATTATCATCATAAATCGTGGTCTAGAAATATAACCCGCCCTTTAGTCGTTCTCCAGGTCCTTGGGGCTTGGGTCACCAATGCCGTCTTCATTGATAGCGAAGAGGCAGTCAGATTCGGGGAGACAAGGACTGTCATAGATCTTGCAGACTCTGGTCTCACCCCGGCCCTTCTTTAGACTCAACCGCGTTGTGCTGGCATGTGCAATAATGTTACCACCAATTGGTTTCTTAGGATCGGGGTTGAACATTGCACTAGGGCCACCATCCACCTGGGCAACAACTTGATTCGTAATGACCACCGCAATACCAAACTCATCAGCCAGACGCTGCAGGGTACGCATGAACTTCGCCAGATGTGTTTGCCTTGAAGACAGTTCACCACGACCGTTGAAGTCTGTCCGATACAGAGACGTGGCAGAATCGACGATAAGGAGCGAAAAACGAGTTTCGCACATCATCTGAGAGGCTTGGTTGAGTAGCTGGAGCTGATGGTCTGAGTTGTACGCGCGAGCATATGCCACATTGTCCAACACCTCTTCTCCCACGAGCCCATATCGCTGTGCCACTGCCAACAGACGCACTGGCCGGAACGTGCCCTCAGTGTCAATGTACAGGCATTTGCCCTCACCTCCGCCCATGTCAAAAGGCAATTGGCAAGTGACTGCGAGGGTATGACATATTTGACTCTTGCCTGTTCTGAACTCTCCGAATATTTCCGTAATAGAGCCCGTCTCGAATCCACCTCCGAGCAGAGTGTCCAACTGTTTGGAGCCTGTCGTAATCGAGATAAGTTCGCTTCGTCTTGCATGCATTTCGGTCGCCGTGGTAAAGCCCATCGGTACAAGCTTGGACGCTATAGAACTCATAGTCAGACAAATCCTTTGCGCAGAAATATCCAGCGTCGTAAGACCGCTCACCCTCAGTCAAGACTTTGGTGGCTTTTTGCTCCGAAATGCCCTTGATTTGTTCTAATAAACGCCTTGGCCTGTATCACACCCAATGAAGCGCCCGTAAGCAAGCTGCAGAGATAGGTCGATGCTATACCAAGCTGGCAGGAAGTACATGGAACATACGTATATGCGATCGACTCGACAGTGTTGTAGCCCGCATCAACAAACAGTTTAATATCCCTACCTGTCAAACCCGCAAGTCCCTGACGCAGATATCGTTAGTATATACCATTTAATCCGTTGTGCTCTCGAATATTCGCATCACACTCTTTGTCAATGGAAGATGCTCACCTCCAGGGCTGAGAGGGGGGTGGGTGCCCCAGGGCCTGGAAGCCCATCGTCGTATTCATTCTGGGTGTCGTTGTCGGCCGTCATCTGCCTCGCAAGTTCTTGACTTTCTGCAGATTAAGGATCAGTGATTTTAGCCTCGCTGCTGAGCAGTTCCAGATCAATGCCACTGAGATCAAGCCTGTGGGACGCGGAAACACGCGTTTTAGTCGGTTGCAGTTTCCTGGTCTAGTTCAAGTCTCTTCCCTGGAGAAACCTCGAGGTATGATTTTGCTTCCGAGGGTAGGAATGGTTTTAAGTGTTCGACAGCCAGCAGTCCTTGATGCTAGTGTGGCAAATTACCGCGGTCGCAATTCCATTAGACCGTCATGTTGCGATTGTGGACGCGTTCCAGGCAGTCGCGACATCACGTGCCCGCCTATCAGCTTGTTGCCTTGGGGGCCCAGCTTACTATTCCTTGATAAGGTTGGCTTGCAACTATTTACTCTAAGTAGGCTCTAATTATGTTGTTGCATCGGCCCGTTACTAGAGTGCCAATCGTGATTCGCTCTGTATCACAAAAAGAAGTACACTCTGTCTGCGTTGGATGTATTCTGCACAACCAGATAAGCAGTAGCCTCGCACAATAGTCTGTCGCCATAGTCGGAGTCAGTGGCTAAGTAATATCCAACAATCAAGCATTGAGACCCTGGAATGTCGCTGTTTTCCTGCATGTATCGAAATTGGAAAGAAACAAAAAAGGTGTCATGTCACAATAAAAGATAACGAAGCAGTCTCTAATCTCAATCGGTCACGGCCCGGCATAAGAAGAAGGGTCTTGCGGTCTTGTCAATGATGCCGTCCTACGGGCTTCAACAGCCTCCTGGTTGATTGCCCTCAGTTGGTATATCTCGTCCGGGTTTGTTCGGATATTCTCATCGATAAGTTTGCTGATCCTCCGTCTAAAGCTTTCCGATGACGTGCGCCGGTGTCCTGGGCAATACTTAGCTTTTCGCGACAAGTCCAGGCACTTTTGTGGCTTACCCTCCTGTGTTGATCTTCTCTTGGAACTCTCGAATGGTTTCTTGACCCATGAGCTTCGTGCACCAAACCAGCCTCTTGATCGATGCTTTTCCGAGTTGGGGAAGCTCTCGCCTCCAATGTTCCCTCGGGCATCCAGCTGGGGAGAGCGGATTGTCCTTAAACCATATATGTCCTCGAGCCGTCCATGTTCGACATCTAATACCTTCGAAGGACTGCGTGGGTCAAGGAGATTTGAAGTGGTTACCGGCTGGTATGTACGCTCTGGTCCCTGGATATTCTCTCCTAGGGCCATCGTTGACATCTGCTTTGATGCTGAGGCGATACTTTCTGGTCTGCTTTCCGAATGAGCAGTGGACTGTCTTGCAGAGCGACAGTCTGGAGTCCATATGCCTTCCACTTGAATCCCCTTCTCAAGAGCTCTAGCGCCGAACGGTATCTCGCTTTGGTCGGCCAGCATAGGTTGCATCTCGGCCCTTTGCCGTGCTTCAGCGGTGGCATACTTCTTCGTCTTCCGTCTATTGTAGGCCAGAACACCAAATGAATAGAGCAGGACCAATGCCTTGACATATTAGCGGCATCCATGACACTCCGGTTGGTTTCTTACAAGAAGTCCTGCAAGCACCTAGTAGATTTATCAGCAATGTTTTGTGCCTTCGAATCTCTTGATGGGACCTACAAAGCTCAGCTTCTGCCAGAGTGCCCAGCCAACCCAGAGCTGCATGGTGTGTATTCAAAGACGTCCCTCGCCCGCTTTATTTGCCAAGTACCGGAGTAGGTAGGTGTAGGAACACGCCTCGTGGGATGTGGGCAAGCAACTTGTCGCAAGTGACTGTAATGAAGGAGCAGCTGTTCCTGTGCTTCTGAGGAGTAGAGTGTCAAGGCCAGCTAGGCTGCTCCGGATCTACACCCAGAGGGAGCTTCAGAACATTGCGTAATGTACTCAGTGAAGGCAATCAGAGTACAGAGACTATAAAATCAAGGTTCGGGGTCTTTCTTGCCAGCAGATTGACCGAGGGAAAGTGCAAAGAAGCTATCGAGGAAGGAAAGCAATTTGGCAGGAGCGACAGAGATATATGTCGCGTCCACTTCATGTCAATGAATATAGTAGGTTCTCGTACCGGTGAACACGAGATATGTCACATCGTGATCAATATATAATATGCAGTCTTCCATAGTGTCTTCATTTGGATGGCTTCAACATCTACAACCGGAGCGGTCGGTCTGATATATAAAACAGTTCACCGACCCGACCACTCCCTCAACAAGCGATGGAAAGAAAAAGACGTCCAATGCAACACCAAAGACACCCTATAAACGATCACTTAGTCTAAAAAAGCGAAAAGAACGACGTCCTTAAGAAGGGCAAAAAAAAGAAAAACAAAAAGAAGAGAATAGTAGTTGTCCAGCCAAACTGCCAACTTCCCTGTAACGGGACGGTGTAATCTGGCGACGCCATCCCGGGGTGGAAATGTCTCTGCAGAATTGCTTCCCTCAAGGGTCACTTCCATTGCTTAGCGCCTTGTAGCATCGTGGATTACTCGCACGAGTACAACGACGACCCCAGGATTCGTACCAGGCACCGGTCCCGCTGGCAATTACCTAAGCAAGGTTATCGACTTAACGGCTGACCTCCCACTGGACTATCCGTGACAGATTAAGAAAATTTACTTCTGTTGTAGGTTATAACCCATCTACGCTTAACATCCACTCAGTCTTTTAAACTTACCCACAATGTATAGCATGCAGTTTCTAGTTAATTACATGCCCTCTGTGTCAAGCTTATCCTCTGGTGGTAGCCTAGACTCCCATAGACTCAATTCTGATGTCTGGTCACATCCCACATTGTTTGCTACGATCGGCTGTATGAACCAAGCAACATTGCACCTAAGGATGCCTTCTTTCATTTGCCCGCTCTAATACTAACACGGAATCAAGGCAGAAGAGGCAGGTGAGGTTTGCCTGTACAAATAAGCCAGAAGACATTCCATTATCCCAATGATCCGGCATGCGAGTCAAGAAGCACCCCCAAGCCACTGCTCCCCCCATAATTTCCGTCGGAACGGCCGAGAGGAGAAACTCCGCTACTTCCTAGACCCCCTGCATTTCTTCCTCCCGATGAGACCACCCCAACGTTTGCATCGGCCAGAGCAGCAGTCAGCGTGGAAAGAACAGGTGCTTCTATTTGGGGAGCATGGGCCGCCACGGCTGTCTTTGCAGGTTCCATTGGCGCAGATATGAAAGTGAGAGCAATCCATATTGGTTCCACAACCAGTGACACAGTTGCCCCTTTCGCAAATCTGGCCAAGGTGGCAATGGAAATTGCTGTTGCATTGGGCAGCTGCTAGATCTACTTGAGCGGAATCGCCAACTTCTTCGCGGTTGGTATCGCTGTTGTCATCATGACCTTCGCGACGGAAAACGGAAATCAGATGGTCGGAGTTGTCTTCACAGTAGGGCACGGTGATTTCGCGTCTCAGACCCGTAGGAAGGACAGTGGCAGAGGACCCTCCGGCGATTATGAGTATGGAGAGGACCGAGACAACCAGAGTTGAGAGTTTAGGCATGGTGTCGCTGATATGAGTATAGACTAGGAAAGCCGCGTCAGTCTCAGGTTCTTAACACAGACTCAATAGATTTGCCACCTTGTGACAACAGACACGCTGCATCTATACGACAAACAAGGGAAGACTGACCAATAATCTTTTAGGTTATACACTGCGGATATCGTGGAGGCTATCAAAGAAGTGAGTGATGATGATCACGTTGGGCTGTCCCCAGATGACAGCATGAAGCTAGATAGTAAGTACAGGCTGGAAAGAGTATGTAGGGCAGTCACTGCTCTTAGTTACTCTCATTTGGCAAGAGCTCAGGTGGTAGGTGCCAGGACCTGTGTTTGTCTAATTCTAGACCATCGGGGTCGAGGATGACAGCCACGAAAATCCTTATGCAAAGATGAATAGACTGTGAAAAAAAAAGCTAGAGTAGATTATGTGCTTAATATGTGTGACAACTGTCAGTATCAGCAAATAGTTTCGTGGGCTCTTATATGATCTGCCTTTTTGTCGTGGATATTTCGAAGTAGAGCTGCAGCTGTTCAATCGAAAGAACTCAATCATCCCCGAGTGGACATTATGGTTATACCAGGGAGTAGATCGTTCACCACTTGGAGAATCTAGAATATCGAATATGATGAGGCTGGATAAACCCTATCATAATTCATGGCGGATAGGCATGTCGTATCAAACGGATTGGCACGAACTGGGGTGAGTTCCTGCAAGTCACATAAATCTAGCCTTGGGGTGCGGTCTCCCTTTTGGCACAATCTACAGCAAATCATGCCCATTGTCTAGCTCTTCACCAAAGAATCGAACGCATTCTGATGGCAAGCCTTTCAGAGGTCATTGAGAGGGCAACAACAAGGTAAAAAGTGGAAAGTAGACACTGCGAATGGGTTATTTCACAATTAATAAGAATTGAGAGATAAGTAGGTGCAAGGTGACACCGAGAGGCAGGATAGTGATGTCTATATAGTGTAGGAAGTAGTACATGTGATGAAATGGGTAGACGATGGATAATAGCCTTATTCAGGCACCAACGGATTAGTTAACTAGTTAGTTAGTTCAAGCCAAGCTTAGTCAGACAATGAATAACTTTCTCATAACAAGGGAGGGATGGAGCCCAATGACGCTATTTCGGGGACTACGGCGCATGGGATAAAGGTGATGATGATATGCCCAAGTACCCCGACCTTGTTTTCGACTAGTGAGGAACAGAATGCCTGGTCAGTCTAGAGTTCGGTTGTTGCACCCAACGCAGTGGCAAATGGGCCGCGGCCAGCCAATGTTTCTCTCGCAAAAGTCGGATCGACCCCGTCCAACAAGTGATTGTGATTCCCACCCCAGCGGATGAACCGCCCTTTCATAAATTGAACCGATGCCCGAAACCGCCGATCATGTGAGGTTTGAGCGTTGTACATCCTGGCAAGCACCTCGCCCAGTTAAGATCTTACCATTGTCGCTTGGCCACTTCATCCTATTTATTCTCCTGCCAGGGACTTTTGTTCTCTTGCGCTTGCGCGACTGGATTTGCTCGCCTGCCTTTCTATCCCAACATGGCGCCGTTCCGCAACTTCTTGTCCAGAAAGTCCACGGCCCCCAATGGCGGGGAAGTCAGTGCCGCCAACGACAATACTCTTAGCAATGTCTCACTCGAGAGTCACGGTTCATCTCCTGTGAGCTTTAGGAAAAGTTCCGAAAACGAGCCACCGGAATATAAACTCAGTGGTATGCATTTGGCTCTCCAATGGATTCTTACCCCGCTAACTCTCCTCTTGCCGCCAGTCGTCGACGCCAATGGAATCTACCATCCCGTATGTGAATCACTACCATTTACCACGGGCTTTTTTCGCATACATATCAAATAACTCACATGTCAATAGCCATCCCCTCCGGAGAAACAAGGCTTCTGGCGCAAGTACCCCGGCTCCCCCAGGTCTTCGCATCATCGCGACCTCGTAGATGAGAATGAACCCTTCTCGATATCTCGCGAATCATTTGATTCGTATCGCCGGTCATTTGTGGGTACCCCCAGGCCTTTTCAACACTCACATCGCATAAAGTGACTTACATTGGCCCGCTAGGATATCTCCGCCCGGTCCCCCATAAGCTACACCGATGCAATGCCATCTCGGACATCGCTGGACTCTCGAGTTTCTCGCATGACATCACCACCATCTTCACTGTATCCAGGCTTGCGCAAACAACCAGAGACCATGGAGGAAGAGCAATTCGAGGAGGTTGGACTCGACGACGAGGACGTCAAACCGAAGCGGAAGAGCATCTTCGCTCGATTCGGCGACTTTACAAGCGATTCCCAGAACCCCGGAACTTCGAAATCGTCGTCCCTTGGCTTTCACATCCCGGGCCGTAAGAAGGGACCAAGCACTGTGGGTTCAGAACTAGGCACCTTCCAAGCACCGCCGGCCAGTGCGGAATCGGAGGTGCATGATGCGTGATACGAGTACGGGTGTGTAACTATATACTGGGTAATTCAATAATCGTAGGCGCCTGGGGTCACCATTGAGGGTTTTCATCCGATCACCCTCGACAGCCGCTGCGTGCGTGTCTGTGGTATGGTTTTGGCTTAATTGCATTGCGCTGTCAAAGATAGTTTGCGATGCCTTGGATTCTCTTTGATACATCGATAGAGATTCTCACATGCGAAATCTTTATATTTTGGATCGCCTGTAGGCATTTAATAAACAATGCGCCTTACATTTCATCTCACTCACCGTATCAACGACAAGCCGGCGGGCGGCGGGCAGCAGACTTATCCCTCCTCCCCTTATCGGCATGCAAACGCTGCAAACCGCACCCCGACCGCCCGCCCGAAAAAAGAAAAAAGTTAAGAAAAAAAGTCCATTCTCCGGCAGTGGCTGTTCAGAAAGATCAAGCTAACCCGCGGGCGGCGTATTTATTTTTTATCATTTTTTTCTCCCGCCAGAGAAGGTTTCACGGTATTGATTCTTTTGGATCTTCTATTCCAGGAATAACACATTCACTATGGTCGGGGTAAAGCGTCCTGTGGACGCCGGTGACGAGCGCAAGGGAAAGCGGACGAAGACGAAGACGCCAGTGTCCGTGCCCTCGAAGAAGACCAAGTCGGCCCCCGTGAAGGCGTCCAAGCCGATGTCGAAGAAGGGCGACAAGTCCGCGAAGAAGGATAAGAAGTCTTCGAAGAAGAAGGTCCAGGAGGAGTCCGAGGATGATGAGGATGAGGATAACTTTGATTTGGATGATATTGAGGATTCGGAGATCGATGCCTTGGATGACGAGGAGGATGATGATGATGATGTCGCTATGAATGATGTTGAGGAGGAGGAAGAGGAGGAGGATGAGGAGGACACCGGAAAGCAGACCAAGTCTGCAGATGCGCAGAGTATGATTGATCCTATCCGGTGGATGCTCTGGAAGGTCTGGACTAATGTGCTTTTTGATATTTAGATAAGTCTACGTCGCGCGAATCACATGCGAAGCAAAAGGCCCTCCTGCAAGAGCGCAGGGCCGCCAAACCCAACGCCGACATGATCGGTCGCTCGAAGAAGCTGTGGGAGCAGCTGCGCCGCAAGTCACACGTTCCTCTCGAGGAGCGGAAGAAGCTCATCAAGGAGCTGTTCGAAATCATCACTGGACGTGTCAAGGACTTTGTTTTCAAGCACGACTCGGTCCGCGTTATCCAAACCGCCCTGAAATACGCCAACATGGAGCAACGGAAGATGATCGCAACGGAACTGAAGGGCAGCTACAATGAACTTGCGCAGAGCCGGTATGCCAAGTTCTTGGTCGGAAAGTTGATCGTCCACGGAGATGCCGAGGTTCGCGATCTGATCGTTCCCGAGTTCTACGGACATGTTAAGAGACTTATCCGTCACCCCGAAGGATCTTGGATTCTTGATGATATCTACCGGACGGTGGCGACCAAGGAACAAAGAGCGAACCTTCTCCGCGAGTGGTATGGTCCAGAATTCGTCATCTTCCGCGACGACAAAAATGGACCTCCCTCCGCAGATCTCTCCAAGATTCTCGAGGAGCACCCCGAGAAGAGGGGCCCCATCATGCATTTCCTCCACGAACTTATCAACCAGCTGATTCAGAAGAAGACATCTGGTTTCACTATCTTGCACGACGCCATGCTGCAGTACTACCTTAACACGAAACCGGGCAGCTCCGAGGCCAACGAGTTCATCGAGTTGCTCAAGGGCGATGAAGAGGGAGACTTGGTTAAGAACTTGGCTTTCACCAAGTCCGGCGCCCGGGTGATTGCGTTGAGTTTGGCCTACTCCAACGCCAAGGACCGCAAGCTCCTCACCCGTTTCTACAGAGACACCATCAAGATGATGGCTGGTGATCTTCACGGACACATGGTTCTGTTGGCGGCATACGAAGTTATTGACGATACCAAGCTCACCTCCAAGTTGGTCTTCCCCGAGCTCTTCAACCAAGGCATGGACGCCGAGGCACGGAATGAAGAGCTGCTCTACCAGGTTACCGACCTGACCGCACGTATCCCCATCCTGTACCCCTTCGCCGGAGACCGGGCTAAGTGGCTTCTGCCCGAAGGTGATCATGAGCTGTTGAAGGAGATCCGCGAGATTCGAAAGGAGACTTCGAAGAAAGACCCCGAGCTTCGGCGACAGGAGCTGATCAAGGCTGCCTCGCCAACTCTGCTCGAGTTCATTGCGGCCCGTGCAGAGTCTCTCCTCGAGACGAGCTTCGGGTGTCAATTCATCTCCGAGGTGCTGTTCGACGCCGACGGAGACAAGAGCGCCGCCCTGGCCGCTGTGGCCGTGGCCGCCAAATCCAAGGCCGACACCAAAGATGCCCCCTTTGTGGGCCGGTTGCTCAAGTCTCTGGTCCAGGGCGGACGGTTCAACCCTGCAGAGAAGAAGGTCGAGAAGGTGCAGCCACCGCTCGACTTCCACGGTCTTCTGTACGAGCAGATCCAGGACGAGACCATGTCCTGGGCCACGGGATCCAACGTGTTCGTTGTGGTGGCCCTTGCGGAGTCGGACGACTTCGCGAAGAAGGCCGAGCTGCTGAAGACGCTGAAAAAGGGCAAGAAGGCTCTGGAGAAGGCATCATCGGAGGGCAGCAAGGATGGCAAGAAGGGCAGCCCGGTCAGCAGCGGCGCGAAATTGCTACTGGAGAAGATCCGGTAGATGGCAGATAGATTCGATTCCTACAACGGACAGGACATTGTAATATTGGCTGGGGGTTTCTGCAAAAGCATTTGATTGCTCGACGAGGTGTTTATTGGATTCATATTCATTTTCATATTCATTTTCATTTGATTCATGTGATATCTCCATCTGTACAGGGTCTGATAGACATGGGACCAACGAGTCCGAAAAGCATTTGAGAGTATTCTAACTACCTAAGTATCTAATTCGGTGCTGTCGAAACTCGAAACACCCGTAGTGGGGGTAGTCTATTTCTATTATTATTATATGGTCATCATATAGATAGATGCCAGTAGAGAGCGATAGTGTCAACTGTAGCCCCCCCCCCCCCCATTGCTGCAAAAACCGTTTCCGTCCCCCTGACTGCGCCAGAATCCTACCGCCCCCAACCCGTCCTGAAACCGCATATCGATATCTTAAAATTATCTTTTGCCTCGCTATAAAAGCTACCTGCAGAGAACATCCCCAAGTTTACTCCCGAGGCAAATCGGCAACCAACCGACCGGGGAAAGTGACTTGTTTCACGTTTCATCTTGACTTTCAGGGGGCAAGAAGAAGAAGAGGAAGCTCGGGACATGGTTTCTGCTACTTCGGTGCAAGGACTTAAATTAGCCCTGGTTGGAGGGGGCAGGGGACGGTTCCATGGTGCAGTTATATTAGGTTGGTCCGATCGGTTACGTGAAATGACGATCTCCGGGCCACCACAGCTTGGTGAAAATTATGGTTCAGGAACCGGACTGGACTGGAGTTGACTTTTGATGAGTCTTCATATGTGTATGTAGGTATGTATGTATGTAGGTAGGTATAGAGATGCTGTAGGTCGTTAAATTGGTTAATTAATGATGTAGGGCATGGGCATGGGCATAAGCTGTCGGTAGCCGGGAGAACAATGATACTTGATTCGAAGTGACCCCTGGACGTGTTCACTTCACTGGGTCTAGCTGTTTCACCCATTCCGATCAATCTAATGGATTTGGACCAATAACCCGCCCCTCTTATTTTTTCTGAGGTTCTTATCGTTCTGCAATCCTCAGCTGCTGCAGCCAGCAACGGTTGGGGATCTCCAGGAGTCGAGTCGAGTCCCAGTGACGGCACTGATCCCTGCCTGATCGGGGCTGGTAGAGGAGGTCACTATCTACTTAGACGAATGGTGCTAAGGAAGAAGAAGAAAGGAAGAAAAGAAAGAGAGAGAGGGAAAATAAAAAGGGACTAAAATGGCAGGCCGCAAATCCAGATTTGGCCCCCCCGACAGTCAGCTCAGCTGCATCTGATGAGGATTATTCTTCCTCTGCTCGCCGGTTGCCTCTCTCTCTCTCGCTCGCTCGCTCCAATCCGGGTTTTCCCTTTTTTGCTTCTTCCTTTATTCGATGCTTTTAATAGTTAATGCTTAATCCTAATCTCTTAATTTCTAATCCCCTGGCCTTTGTCGCACGCCCGCCACTCCTTCTGATTCGTCCAGCGTGCAGTGCTCTGTCTCAGATTGGCTTTGCGACTGCATTGCCAATTCGCCATAGCAGATCCCCTCTGGCTGCAACCACATTGACCGTCATCCCTTCGATCCTGGCTGAACCTGCAGGCCCAGACCTCTCAAGCGGAACTGGTCAACTCTTCCCCTGGTTGCAGATGGCCTGGGTCTGAGCGGCGGTGCCTGTCGTGTACTGGAGATCATTGACCACGGGCCTCAACAGCTAGATCGAGAGCCCGTATAACCATGCTGGCCACCGCGTCCGCCGCCGAGGATGTTGGACATTCTCATCGTCCCCCTCCTCCTCCGCTCCCTCCGTCGCCGACCTTGTCGAATCCCGATATGATCCTGCCCTTCGACCCTAACGAGCGCGATTCCTCCACCCCGTCCCCGCCTTTCAACCTCCCTCCCTTGTCCAGCCTCCAGTCCTTTTACGAGAACCGGACGGCCTCCGATGATGTTGGGGACCAGGCTCGAGGGGTGGCCCTCTCATATGGTACCCGACCCCCGAAGAAAGGCTTCTCGCGTCGCACGTGGCTGAACGAGAGTCAGGATGCCAGTCGTCGGCTGTCGGATATCGGAGAGGAGGATAGCGTTTCGTCGTCGCCGGCACACTCGAGGACCTTACTGTTTATGTCTCAGGCGAGTCGTATGACGGGCTCGCCTGTGTCGCAACGCGAGACGGCTGACGCGGAGGCTAGGGAAATGGCGGCGTGGAGCAGCTCGTCTAGCTCGACAATTAGTGGTGCTAGCGATTCCTCGCAAGACGCCACCAAGGACCGTCAGGAGAGTCGCGCTGCGGCGCAAAACCCTCACCAGTTCACCGAAGGGGTGTGGTCTGCGATTGATAATCTTGAGAGAAATGGTTCGACGTCGAGTCTAATGGCGACCACGGAGGAAGGCGGATCCGGTGTGGAGCTGTCGTCGGCTGTTTTGAGCACCGAGGCTGAAAGGATCCTAGAAAATGCGAAGAAGCGCCTGACGGTATGTGGACGCGATGGATCGATGTCTGAACACAATAAGTGACTGACTTCTGGTGTAGCTCATGGAGGGCAATCTGTCCCGGGCCCGGACTTCAATGCGCTCATCGCCCTCGCTTTCGGCATCACCAACGCCATCCGTGAGTCACCAATCGCTGGGACTGGGTCAGCCAGTCGGTGGCCTGTACCAATCCATCTCGCGTGCCGACCGCAGAGGCTCATACAATCGTCCACGTGCAACCTATACATCCTCGCAGGATGCGATCAATAACGGACACTCCCGAGTGTACAGCGAAACCCAGCTCCCGTCCGCGGCGCAATCCAGTCTGCCCGCCGTTGAGCCCAACCTATCCCGGTCGGTCAGCGCTTTGGGCTCGACTACTGCGCCGAACCTGAACCATGATGAGCGGAGCTTCCATTATGACCCAACCCGCGCATATCTTACCCACCGCGCGTCCGTATCATCAATGCAAAGGCCCCAAGCCCGCGCCTCGCCTCCAGCAGCAAATCCGCGAGCCGCTTCCGTTTCACCCAAAGGCTTAGGCATTTCCCGGGAAGAAGATGAGGATGAATACTCAGGTATGGATGGACATGGTGCGGCCTATCCCACGTATGACCCTCCGTCCCGATCCCAGTCGCAGCTGCAAGTGCGGGATCTCCAGGATCAGATGAAGGGTCTACACATCAAGATATCCAGCCTGAAGGTCAAAGCCCAGGAGGACAATCTGCGTCGACGTAGCCTGCAAAGTCTACGGACTCCGAGTCCGCTCACAGCAGCCGATCAATGGTACCCTAGCGCAGCGGACGTAAAGGAGCGTCGGAACAACACCAATCCCAGTGGGAATGGACGGGCTGCTGGGTATTCCCAGGAAAACCGGTACAGCGGCGACTTTGGCGGTGCACGGTATGAGACTGAGGCAGGGGCTGGCCGTTACACAACGCGAGAGTCGGCTTATAAACCGGCGTCGAATGCCGACCCGGCTCATCGGGCCTACGACTCTAGAGATCAAGATGACGTGCAATCGGTAGCCGGAACTCTGTATGAAGATGCGGAAGAGGGCGATTATGACTATGACGGCGAGCCCCTGGACGACGAGTTTGATGACCCGTTGGAGTCTTTCCCAGCGGTACCTCAAAGCCTTGAAGATACACCCCATGAGGAACGGGAGGATGCTTTTGACTACGAGCATTTTATTCTGCATAGTGCTCTGGGCAACTACACGCAGGCACGACTGCGACGGGAGAGCAATGTTTCGACCTCGTCGGTGGAAACTACGCGGCCGACGGACTACCGCGCCCGGCACTCACGGGCCAACAGTACTACCTCCCTGTCCACCGTGGCGACATTTGCAACGGCTACGGAAGGGGATCGCGACGATCTTGAGAGTGTCCTCTACTGGGACCGGAAGTTCAACGATGGTAAGGGCTCTGAAGGAATTCCTATGAGGTGCCGATGACTAACATGTGACAGAGCTGCGCAACAACCATCCTTCTGATGTGGACACAGAAGAGTCGAATGGCCCCGATGTGGACTCTCAAGGAACGCCCCGCGCCATTCGCAGGCAGCCCAGTCGCCGGAATCAAGGCAGTCTCTTTCCTGATGCCACATTGGCCCCGCGACGGTCCGACTCTGCAACCACCGGGTCTACCACGCCCACTTCCCTGGTGTCCTCTCTCGTGTCCACCGTTCGCGCAGCAGCGAGCCCTCATCCGAGTGCGACAGCGAAGGGAAACATGGGCTTAAACGATGATGATACACGACTCTTGGAGCGGCTGTTCCAGAGCCTAGGGGATGTTTGTTTGGATCTGCAGAACATCACCACCTCCGAGAACCCAGATCCAAAGGAGGTGCGATTGCTGAGGCGGCGCTTGGATGCGGCTCGACGCGTGCTTGATGGGGAACTGGATACGTAGATGTACATGACTGCGCTCGAGGAGTTCGCCGAGCTGTTTGTGCTTGGGAGTTTGATGAGGCAGTTTGGACGGAAGCCTTGCTATGATACCCCCAACTTTCGATTTAGCCATTGCATCTCTTGTGAAATGTGTATATAGTTATTGAATTGTCATTGACACAACGATGAATCAAGCGAGCAGTAAAGTAAGAGATGTGAAGACATGAAAAGTGGCTGGTGGAGGCCTCGATAAGAGATCCCTGATAAGGACCCCGCCCCCGCGCACGTGTTGCGACGCGCCGCGCGAAGCCAGTCGCATCGCCAGCATTCCCCTGCCAATCCTCCGTGTTAATTCAGTTCAATTTAATCCAGTCTAGTGAATAGCCTGGTCGGACCGGTGCGTCTTCCCTGCATGTCTCCATATCCAGACTAACCCCTAGCCCAGGTGCATCTGGCAAGAGACCATCCACCATTTCCCTGATTCCGTTTTCTCAGCGACCCAGATAGCAAGTCGAGAGCCATACCATACCGTGTTGTGAATAGCCAGCTGCTACTGGGAATCACACGGCCCGCATTGCAAGGAACCCAAGTCGAAGAAGTCGCCAACCCCGTTTCGGCAACCTCCCGCCAAGCGAGGACGTTAAATTTCCACGCCCGAATCTTCGCGAAGAAGAAGAAGAAGAAGAAGAAGAAGAACGAGACCAACGAGCGCAAGACACCGACGATGCCTCCTCCGTCGAGACGTCTCCTCATCTTCCAGGAGGCGCGCAATCCGCAAAACTCCGCTGAGCTCGTGTACGTGCCCGTCAACAAACTGGGCCTGCCGATTTGCGGCAGTGGACCGGAATTGCCGTCCATTCTGGAGCTGCCGTTGCGGATTTTGAGGGCGTTTACGGATATCTTTAATCAGCCGAAGTATAAGGGGTGGTAGGTGTTCTTGTTGAGTGTTTCTGTTTCACTACTCGTGGATACTGACAGTGATCTGTATGGAATAGGGCGCTGGTAGGTGCTGGACCATATCATGATACTTCCGAAGAAGGGAAGTATTATGCGGTGGTGCTCGAGCAGGTGCAGGAAGTCGGGGTGGTTTAGCCAGCGATGATGCCGACGATGATGTATGGATGGTATGCTTTTTTTCATGTTGTATGATCATGATGATGTGATGCCTTTCGCCCCCCTTCCCTTTTCTTCCTTTTCTTGTTGACGTTGAACCTACTCTATACCCTGCTTCTGGATGTGGGTGGCCTTTGTCTTACACCGTTCTTTTTCTCTTTCCATGTAATTCAGGAGGTCGTACTAGAGGTCTCATCTACTTGATTTTTTGCCGGTGTCTACCTTCACTGGTTCCTGACTGTGATTTCCCGGACACGTCCGTTAATCCAACTGCATGCCGCGAGACAGCTGGTGTCGGTACATCAGGCGGCATTCACTGACTATTCACCTTGATGTCATTCACTCAGACTTTTCTTGACGTTATAAGAGTGCCCCTCCCGCCTCTCACTTCCCGTCAGCTATCCTCTTCATCTCCAGTTTTCATCCTCGATCTTCATCCTCAACTTTCTTCGATATAGTTATTGAATCTCTTCCTTCGTCTCATACCCGAGTTGACTGTTAATATGGTCAGCTTTCTTTATAGCTTTGGCAACGATGCACATGCTGATGACTGATTAGGCGCCTAAAACTCTTCTCTTTTACGCCAAACGGAATGGCAGCTATTGGCTCTCCAACTTCCCCGGTCTGCCCGTAGCGGACGCTTCTCCGCTGGTGGATTTAACTGACAAAGAACTCACTTTTGAGTCGGAGTTGCTTCTGGCGATTTCTAGCACCATGGAAGGAAACCCGCTTCTTAAGCGTCAGTAAGTTTGTGTCCTCGTCTCTTATTTGAGCCTAAATTGATGCCGATGGTCTATAGCAATTATTTTGCCAGTTATAAGATGTGTGGAACAGTCTACGTGCTTCTGGAGAAGCGTGACACTCTGTTCCCCCTGACCCCTCTGTCCTCATGTGGCTCTACTTTGGGAGTTAGATCGGTGGACTCCAATGAGGGTCTGCGACGGGCTCGTCCGACCTCGGAATCCATCGTGGGCAGTGAGGAAGGCCAAGATGCCGACTGGATGTCTTCTGGCCGGTCGTCTCCCGCTGGGGTCACCCGCAACGAAGGCCACGCTTCTTCGGTGGATGGGAACATGCAAGTTGGCTGGCAGAATCTAGGGAGAATTGTCCACAGGAACGGTCGTTTTCCTAGGGTCAAGTCGGGCTGGTCTGCTCCTCGCCACACTAAGCTCCCCTCAGTGGTCAGATGGGACAAGCTTACCGATGATGACGGGATCATCAAGCCCAGCAACAGCGAGGGTCATGCTTCTGTGGCCCTCTCTGAAGACAAACGGATTTCTCATCTTCAAGCTGCTAAATACGACCACCACGCTTTGGTGATCGACTCTAGCAAGGACAAGGCCACGTCCAGCAACGAACAAGCTGCCGAAAAGGGCCGACACATGGCTACACATCCTCTCATTGTTGGCCAAGATATCCAGACCAACAAGAGCGATACCGAGGACAATGCGAGCATCAAATCCACGCTGGCACGCAACGGTTCCGCTTCCTCTGGGTCCACCTTTGCCGCGAAGCTTGCTGATGCCACCGATGCTCTGAAAGAGAAAATGCCCTCGCTCACCCGGACCCCTTATCCTCCCCTCTCAGGCTTTGACACCTCCCTTCTTCAACGCCTCCCTTCACCGTACGGCAACCTATACCTTTCCCCTCCGACTAGCTCCTACCCTCACAATCCATCTTATCCTTCCACTTCCCGGTATGGCGCCGTATCCGCCCCCTTGGATGATGGCCTGTCTTGCTGCCCCCCGCACGCGCTCGCTTACAATGCATATCCCCGGGGAGATTACATGTCCCCTGCATACAGACAACCGGTTGACCATATCGCTAAACACTGTCCATCGTCTTCGGGGCCTGCTCCCACGTCTCCCGCGGCTTCTATTCCTCCTGTGGCTTCTGTTCCCGCTGAGGCTCCGGCTCCGGCTCCGGATTCCACCACGGCTCCGACACCCACGGTGGATTCCAAGCCTGCTTATGACGGCCCCGACTGGTAAACTGATCATATCTATTGGCCTGGTTTCTGATCCATCTAACAAGGACCAGCATTCCCGAATTGATGATCATGGTTTAATCGGGATACTCGTTGAATTGTTCGCTTTTTCGACATGATTGATTGATCGAGATTGCTTTATTTCCTTCGATATCTTGATTTTGATCTGATTGCTTTTCTCTTCTCTGTGTTACGTATTGCGTTCTTGCTTTCGTGATCAATTAATTAAAAATGAACTGAAGTTCCCCAATAGTCACAGCTATCCAATGATCTATTCCTTTCTAGTCTTCTCTGCCCTTCTCTCTTCTTTTCTGTTCCATTTTTCCCTTCACTCTTATAAGAAACCCAACTCCACCTACCATATGAACTACCAACCCGTGAGAAACTATTGAAATGGGAGGCCAAGATAGAATGAAAGAAAGAAACAGAGAGAGAGAGAGAGAGAGAGAGAGAACCCACATAATCTCCACCCTGATTTAGTTAACGATCTAGCTGGCTTGAATCCTCCGTAACCTTGTAAGACACAATGATAATGATATTTGTTGTAGAAGGATTAGTAGGTTCAAGTACAATGAACTCTCTTACTAGCTTGTCGTAGTACGATGTAGTACATATGTACCCTATGCATAAATCGGATGTGTGGTAGGTCTTTATACGGTGTTCATCTCAATTTTCTATAATCTATCCACTGATATATCATGGTTGGAAGGGCCTACTTGTTAGGGTGAACCATTTTACTCGAATCTTGGATTATGTAGTAGATAAAGTTATATAAGGTAAGGTAAGTAGTTATGAGGAATTAATATATCTGGTAGATAGATAGATTGCTCGATAGATAGCAGGGGTTTTATTTGATTTAGTATGTATTCATGTGACTCTTGTATTATGTAGATCGATGATAGGTATGGATGGAAATGGTCATTCTTACCTACCTACTCCCTACTTACCTTACCTGATTAATCATAATAGGGGAATGCAAGTAAAGTACATTCATTTCTTAGTCACAGTCCAGCCCTAATCCCACTTTGCACTTTGCAGTTTCAGTTCCATGTATCCGGTTCCGACTCCGACACCGTCCATCGATCCTTAAGAATAAAGAAGAGAATGAAAGAATGAAAGAGAGACAGAAGAGTAAAGAGAGAAGGGGAAAGAAATAACAAATGATGAGTATGAATTGAGCCACATTACTACAGGGTGAGTGATTTTAAGATAAAACGCTGCGTCATATTCCATCCATCCATCCATCCATCCATCCTTTCTCCTTGATTCCACTCCACTACTTCAGTTCCCGGTCACAGCAGCCAGGGCTCAGACAGTTCGACAGATCGATAGTGCAGAGGAAGAACCCGCTTAAGTCAAGGTTATTGGTTTGTTGTTGGTTTCATCATCAATGTCGTTTGCTTTTCGTCAACAAGGATCCCACAGCAAGGAAGCATCACGTGTAGACGTTGGTAGGGGGGAGGAGCTTGGCTCCGTAGCGGAGGTCGAGCGAGCGGGAGTCGGACGGGTCGAAGACGGTGGCTTGACGCTGTTCGAGGAAGAGAGCTGTTCGGGCAAATGTTAGTGGATGGCCGGACACCTTTTCCGAGGTGGGAACATACGAGTCACCTTGATCATGTCGAACCAGCGAGTGGCGTTCTCGTCGCTGCCGTCGACAGCCTTCAGAATGCCGGTATCGGGTCGGGGAGTGGCCTTGGGCGGGAGACTGCGCATCTTCAGCAGCATATGCAGGATGTCGGAGAAGCGATCGCCCTGGTTGGAGTAATAAGGCGGACGCTTGTCCAAGGGCCACTGCAACGTGCGTTAGTACATGAACCGATGTAGAAGCATGGCGGTGAACTTACTCGCTGCGCAAAGTTCTCGTCATCCCAGGATCGGAACAGCCAGCACGTTCTCTCCACGCAATTCAACAAGATAAGCGCCACCAAGAAAGTCTCGAACCAGCCGCTCTGCTGGCGCTGGAGCAGCCGCCGCTCGAGATCGTTCATCACCGACTTGCTCAACTGGGACGCGCGTTTCTCGGTTGCCGCACGCAGCTGGCTGCATAAGAGTTCGTAGGACTCACTGTTGGTGACACTATCGATTGGCGTGCGTCCGTCGTCTGAAGGCTGTGCGAGAGAGTGCATCGAGGTGGGAGGAAGAGTCGGGTTGCAGTACGTCTTCCACTGCAATTCCCCGTCGGCCAGAATGTGAGTGGCAATCCAGAGTTCCAGCACCCGCTCAAGCAACAGATCCTGACAAAGTCAACACCGCCGTTTTCCGTAGTATAGCAATGAAGGCATACCTTTTTCTGCTGGCTCAGCTCGGCTGCAAGCATCAGAGTAGGTCTCATAAAGTCGGAGGTCTCCCGCTCGTAGAAAAATGGCGCGGTCTTCTTGATGTACATCTCGATCTTGCCAGGAAGATCATCTGCGTCGCTGTCGAGCAGATACAACTCATGGAGGGGTCCCTGGAACTGCGAATCATCTCCGAGGGCCTGGAGCTGAGGGTCTAGCGTCGATGCAGACGCCTTGTGACCTTGCAACCCACTAAAGGTAACGTAGACCATGCTCTCCTCGAAGTGAGTCACCTCAATACGTCCAGCGTAGTGTTCGAATTTGATTTGGTTGCGAATACCGCTCACGTCGTGATAAGCAAGCGTAGCGTGCAAGTCTGCAGGTCAGTCGTGTCAATGATCAATGGTGGTTAGATACATACTTGCACTGTACAGCTCGAATTCTTCTGCAATGCGGGTGCGAATGCACGGGTGCTTCCACAAGCGGGCGCTTTCAACGCTGGCGCAGGTGGTGCAAGGGCTGTCACCGGAGCACTAACCAAGCTTGTTAGTGGCATTCGAAGAGGAGAGAGTTTCTTTACATACAGGCTTCTTGAGCATGCGGCAACGGATACACGCGCCCCGTTTGCGAACTTCCTGAACCTCTCTGCGTCTGGCGGCGGAGAAGCGACCGCGCACCTTGGGTTTGGACGGCTTGGTGGAATTGCCAAACTCGTTCACGAAGCCCTTGGCCTGAGAATTGGGGTTCATCGCGATCGGACGAGGGAAGGAAGCGGCGCGTTGTGTGGCTGCAGTCAGTGTTGGGTCGTGTTCTTGGAGGCTGTCGAAAAGGAGCTGCTCCTGAGTGGACAGCTGTTGGTTCCAGGAAGGACTCATTTTGGGCAGGCCATCGGCAAGGCCAGCGCCAGCATCGTGATCCATTGGAAGTCCATGGGGAACCATTTCGCTCGCGGAGGCAGCAATCATGGACAGTTGCGACTGGCGCGCGTTGGAGGTGGGATCGGGGGTCAACGAGGCCTCGGGCAATGGAGAAGCGGCTTGGGGCTGATCTTGCGAAGAGCTGGGCAAGGAAGGCAGAGAAGAGGCGTTGGACCCTTGAGGAGTTCCTACCAAGTGATATATACGTCAGCGCGCCGTAAGTGGACAAAGGAAGAATATGAATGAAGCTGCTGGGCAGTGATGAGACGATCAGGTAAATCCAACAAGCTTACCTGGAGGGTTCGCATCTTCCTCTATCTGCTCAGGCTGTGTAGGATGTCCCTGAAAGCCCTCGGCTTCGAGCGCCGGATCCACGACCACCGTCTTGCCCCCCACAGTCACGGACTGGGTGTATGCGGGACCCCGTTTGGTCTGGTCGGAAGCACCAACTTGCCTCGAAGCCTCGGCCAACACATTGAGACCATCAAAATTCTGACGAGTCGCGAACGGCAGATCGACCGACTTGCCCTTGTTTTGTCCCGTGACGTCCTTGTTCTGATCCCCGTCGGCCAGGTCGGGCAGTTCGTGGAGTCGCAACAAGACGCGTTGTCGATCGCGCAGCGGAATGGCTTGACACTTCTTGACGAGATGGTTGGTCAGACTGTCGATGCGACCCTTGGGGAATTTCTCGCCGCAGGCCTTGCACGTGTGCTGGTATCGATTACTGGCGTCCTCGAGTTTCTGGCCGCGTATAAAGAACTCGAGGATGAGCTGGTTCGGTTTGCGACCCATTGCGGTGAGTGTGTGTGTGTGGCAGAACAAGCACTCGGCAAGGAGGGATCGGGATTCACGAGGGGGGAGAATTTGACAGAAACCGCACCCTGGAAGGGAGATTAGGAGGTCGTCCTCGAGCTGTCAAGACGAGGGGAGAGGGACAGCCCGCGAACTGGAGCGAGACAGTGACGCACACAGGGGGAGCGACGAGGGGTGAGAACGGATGGCAAAATAGCAGCTTGGCCACAACACCGACCGGCAGAACCCACCACCCGTTCGGAAGCCACTCACCAAGGGGCCAACGGGATGATCTGAGAGGGCTCAGTGCAGGCGAGGGGATTGGGAGCACGGCGAGGATCACAATGATGGGGCAGCGATGAGGCAGGAGGCAGGCAGGAGTGGGATGAAGGGGAATCCTGGAGCAAGCAGCGGCAAAACTACGACTTTTCTACGGGCGGTCTGTCACTGGCCGCCTCCGTTGTCACGGGTTCGGTTGGGATGCGCCTCACCGCATGAAAGGCGGTGATGAGATCGGTGACTGCTGGCGATTCATTCATTTCTATCTTCCGCAGTGGTGAAGAGACCAGGCCGATCCCTCGGGGTATTCACAGGGTAGCCTCTTTGCAGCGCTAGGCCCTCCATCCTTGGGGCATCCTCTGGATTGCTTCGTATCTGGGAGAGGAATTCGCTAAGTTTCTGTGCTACCCTTGGGCTAACAGACTAGATCCCCCCCGGAATTCCACTTTCCCCCCCCCTCTCCCCATTCCGTTTCTCTTCCGTCCTTCCATGCTTCCAAGTCACTGATACATGAATCGCGCGCCTAGTTGTGACCGCCTTTTCAAATCGGCCCCTCTCCGATAAGCAGCAGTCCGATACACCTGTAATGCGTGCCACAGTAGTTGCATTCCCCGTCACCTGTCTGACACACCCACTTCCCCCAAAACCCTCTGGTTGCGGGAATTTCAGGCCTCCTCGCGGCTACCGCCATACCTACAGCCGTCTGACGCATGGAGAGAAGTCGGTCTAGCAACCCACAAAAGCAAAATGCAAAGCCACCAGACCCTCCCGGCAGTCCGAATATTATCTGTCACCCGTCAGCCGTTTCTGCTCGACGTGTCCCCCGCGACACGAAAACTTCGGGCACATCAGCAGATGCGATGCTCGGGAGGCCGCCAGGGAACTCCCAGGATCGCGAAGATTCGCCGCTCATCGCGCGCCTCGAGTAGCCGGCCCTCCGTCAGCTTAGCCCGCTGTGGTCCGCGTAGCACGTCCGTATAGAGACCTCGTTGATTGAGCCGCATGCCTTTTTTGCTTGCGAGCAGCCTCATACTACGATTGAAGATGTCATTTCCGGTGAAGTAAATCAATGCCGCTCCGATCTCCGAGTCCGGCACGAACAGCAGATCGATACGTCGCCAGAGGCGACCGCCTGGGAGCATGGACGCCCCGTGCCATTTGGACCCATCCCGAGACGTGCTGGCTAAGCTGGCCTGCAGAAACTTTTGCTTAAAGAGCCTTGGGACTACAAGAGCCAGCACTATGGTTCTGATCTGGTCGATCTGCGCATCGGGCTTGGTAATAATTAGGTCGATATCACCGCAGTCGGCTGCCCCACGCCGATAGGAGCCCCCGATGATGACCTGCATCTTAGAATCAAACCTTTGGATTGCCTTCCGTACGATATCCCCATGGGCTTCGACCTCCCGTCTTGGGATTCGCTGGGAGAAATCGTCGTAATGGTCCACGCCGATCCGCTGTTGTTGGGTCAGGGGCGCTTTGGTCCTCAGGTCCTCCAACGACCTGTACCCTTGGGCCAGCCATTTCGACGCCTGGATTGCTCCGACCCCATAGACACCCAAGAATAGTTGGAGCGTCCGGTCTTCGGGTGTGGTGGTTGCGTTTTCCAGGCGGCGGAGACGGTTTGTACACACGATCTCCTCGATCTTGTCTGCCAGCCGCTCTCCAATCCCTGGAATAGCCAGGGCCTGAGATTTGGTGACAATCTTTCTTGGCTGATTCCGAAGGGCACTGATGGCCTTGCGATATGCAAGCACACGCCAATAGTCGTCGGTTCTCGCGTAGTAGTCCAGCATTTGCTGGAGAACGACGATGGTCCTGCTGTTGGGGTTCTCCGAGTTCGATTTCGAATCGTGCTTCTGCATACACGCGAACTTCTGTTGCCAGGCATTCTCCCCTTCATCGCCCTTTTCGATCGCCTTCCTTTTCTTCTTGACTGGCCGGGAGCCTGATGAATCGGAGGTCTCGCTATCGGATGCCTCGGCTGTATTTTCCTCCTTATCGGAATCCATTTCCAGTGGCTATCACTATTATCAATATATTTCCGGAATTTTTGTGACTAACTTACCAATTGCTTCAGGGCCTTGGCCTCCTCAATCAAGTCATCCAAAGCATCGCGTGCCCGCTTCGGTGCAGGAACGACCTGGGGGCTCTGAGCGACCTGGGCGACACCGGCATCTTCGGTGAGTCCATTGAATAGCGGCTCAGGCACATCACTGTCCTCATCTTCCGAGCTTTGGGTTTCGACTTCATGATGATTCCCCTTTCGGGTTGCCTTTATCGGCAGCGACCTGATCGACGACGGCTCGTTCACCGGTGGCGCTTCTTTCGGGTCTGAAGGAACAGGAAAACCCCTCACACGAAATCGCGATCGAGTTGGGCTCAGGAGTTGACGGAAATATATACAATCGGGGCTGTATGTCTCGTTGACAAGAGCGATCTTGTCCTGTAGAAGTAAGTATGGCACTTTCTCTCATCTTTCAAACTCACCCAAAGGCTCTCTGGACCCAGATGTTTCAGAACATCTTGGTACGTCAAGTTCTTGTCGACAATAACATGGGTAACAGTGTCATCCAACTCCCTTGCCCATGAAGCGCCATAGTCCTGCGCTCGATGAATGCGAATTCGTCGGATCGGCGATATATCGTTGTTAGGGAAGAAGACTACACCAATCAGTCACAACACTTTCAAACACACAGTAAGAGGAAAGGGCCAAGATACTAACAAAAAACAAGACCCTTGAATAATTGCCGTTCTACCGCTACCGGGGTCGACAAATGGAAAGACTTGCGCTTCTTTTTAGAAGCAGCTTCCATCTTTGCTTTCGGAGGCATCGCGTCGGTGAAAGTCGCCTTCGTCACAACCCCCTGTTGTTTCTTGTCATATATAGCTAGATCAGTTCCTTCATCGACATCAATGCCAGACACCGTCGCAGAAGCAGGACTCGGCTCTGTAGAAGCCCTCGACGGCGCCGTAGGACCTCTTATAGGCGAACTCGTAACCGGATGAGACTTCACACACGGCTTATTCTCCAATAGATTCACCAGACGATGGAATTCCTCATCCTCGCCATCACTCACACAATCCAGCCTGTCCAACTCCCTAAAAAAGGCGACTTTTTCCGCGATCGACGGCGCCATGGTAAAGTGACAAACAACCCGGGACTGAGATTCCAGCAAGCCATTAGACCTTTTGCGTCACTGCTGCCTAGCAGGTGACGATCGATACACCCACGAAAACAAACCTGCTCATTGATACGACATTCCCCCGTATCCAAGGGAATCCGTCCAACCAACAAGGTGACACGCCAGGCAGCGACGCGTAAAAAAGTGTGTCACGAAAATGCCGCCAAGTCACGGGATCGGGGAATTTCAATTAAACTCGGGTGGATCTGCGCCAGAATACAGAATAGTTGGAGACCGACAATTCTACCTGACAACCTCCGAGTCCTCCCACAAGCAAATATGTGGAAACCCACGACGCTTCTGGGTCAACTTTCCGAACAGACCCTCTTGCAGGGTGGTCGTTGCCTGAGTTGCCAATTGCGCAATGCAACCGCTCTCCGTCGACCAGCTGCACTGCGTTACTATGCTAGCAACAGCAACAACAGTAACAGCAAGGAACCCAAGTCCACGACTAGTACATCCCCCCTCCCCACCAAAACCAACCGGGTCGCCCAATTCCAGCAAAACTACTCCGCAACTGCATCAAAGGTCCCCTCCCCGACTAGCCAACCCGGCGATGACGACTTTATACCTCCGACTCTGGACCGGCCCATCGGGTCAGCGATCCCGCCGCAAGAAGGCCAGAACACGGGCGTCGATGACCGGTCTTTCCGGCAACGACGAGACGACTTCGTGAATTATGAAAGACATTTGGAAAGGAGAAAGGAATTGTACGATCCCCCCACGCCCATTACCCACCACCCACTATCCTCATAACCATGCATAAAACTAACCACTGATGCAACAGAACCCGACAAGTCGCAAAGCCCTACTTCCGCGAATGGTCGAACATGCGGTACCACGAAGGCAAAACCTTCCTCTCGAACCCGCGACTCTTCAAACGCGACAAAGCACTCTACTTCCCCAACATGCACGGCATCACCCTTGCCTCGCCCAAGAAACCCCAAGATACGACGCCGCTCTTCCGCGGAAAAGTCACCATCGTGAATCTGTTTTCTAGCGTCTGGGCCGAGTCGCAAGTCGTGACGTTTACGGGCAAGGAGCAGAATCCCGGGCTGTATGAGGCGATGCGGGACGGGGAAGGGTTGGTGCAGAAGGTGGATGTGAATTTGGAGGAGAATGCGTTGAAAGCGGGATTGATTCGCATGTTTATGTGGCGGATGAGGGGGAAGTTGCCGGTTGAGCAGCATGAGAGGTACTTTTTGGTGAGGAGGGGGTTGGATGATGGGTTGAAGGAGAGTATTGGGATGTTGAATGGGAAGGTTGGGTATGTTTATTTGGTGGATGAGTATTGTCGGATTCGGTGGGCGGGGAGTGGCCCGGCTGAGAAGGGGGAGTTGGAGGCGTTGAATAATGGGGTGCGCAAGTTGGTGCAGGAGATGAAGGTTAGTCGGGAGTCGGAGTTGCCGGTGCAGGAGTGGGAGGTGGGCTTGAAGGAGGAGGCGGCGAAGAAGCCTAGGGTGGTGGTGCCTTGACCTACTGAGGTGGTCGAACTGGTGTATGTACATACGAGGGATTGAGTGTGGGTGTACGTGAGTGTATGATATGCTCCAGACACCGACACCAGGATAGAAATCCCCACTACTAGTCTCTGTATAGTAAAACGAATAATCAGACAAATCTCCAACGCCAACCATACCCACAAACAACAACATCAACATAATAGCAAAGCAGCAAATAACTACCTAACCCAAAGCACCACCAAAAAACAAAACCCGACAAAAGCCCCCAAAATCAACGCATCCCGTCTCCTCTTCGACCCAATCTTCCCAATCAACGCATTCATCCCGGGCACCGAATTCGCCGCACCCACAATCCGCCGATTAATACTCGCCAGCGTCTCCCTCTGCAATCCAAAATTCTCATTAATCGCATACGCCTGACTCAACACCCCATCAATCATATTATGGCTTTCATCGATCCGACCCCGCTCTTCGAGCATGTAATCTGCTTCGGCCTGGGCGGGGTTCGAGGCGCGGTAGGCGTCGATGTCGGACCGCACGTTGGAGAGGAGATTAGCTCGGTCGCGGGATTCGGAGATGGCGGATTTCAACCGTTGGAGTTCGCGGCGGTGGTCGTGTAGGATTTCGCGGTGGCGGGTGAGGTTGTTTTGTTTGAGGGCGGAGGAGGTCAGGGTTGCTTCGGAGTCGAGGAGGCGGGCGAGTTGGGTGATTAGGGTGTCGCGCTGGTGATATAGGTCAGTCAGGTATGGGGGGTGGGGAGTTGGGTATGGTGGTGGGTATGGTGTGGGCGTACTCGTTCTAGTAGGTCTTGGAGTTGGGATTCGATGCGCTGTTCCTCTTCCGAGGGGGAAGGGGGGAGCTTCGTTAAGGAGGCATATTGGGAGTAGGTGTGGAAGAGGTTCTCGGTCTGGTTGGGTGTTAGTCCATGTTATACTCTGTATATCGGATGAGGAGTGATACCTGAGTCTCGAGAGAGCGGGCTTGCTGCCGGAGCTGAGCCCAGCCGGTACCGGTTGAGGTTGCCATGAGAAATAATTAAGTTGAGTTATAAGAGTATATTGTATGAATCACCAGGATATCCACACCAGATTCCGATCAAGGTTGTTGAAGTCCAGCAACGAACCGCGGACTACGGAGTAGACATCACAGCATCACAGCATCGGGTGAAGGCACCCACATTAGCGCGGCCAGGGCCCGGGCGGAGAAGGGCGGCGTCATCTCTGGTGTCTGGGGCGGACCAGAGCAAAAGGCACGGCCACAGCCGCCACAATCACGTGCCCGCTTAAGCCGCCCGGCGCACACCCAGAAAAAATCAAACCCTAGTCCCACAACGAACATCCCAAATTGACCCGGTCCATCTTCAATCCTCACGTCGACAACCGTACGATACGACACGAAGCCGCCCACCATGGTATGTGAAGCGCCATGCTGTCTGTGTTGATTTGATGATTCTGGCAAAATGCTGACCGCGAGTTTTCTGAATAGTCGTCCAAGGTCAAGGCTGGTCAGCTCTGGGGAAAGAGCAAGGATGACCTCACCAAGCAGCTGGAGGAATTGAAGACCGAGCTGAGCCAGCTCCGTGTCCAGAAGATCACTGGCGGTGCCTCGTCGAAGACTCTCAGAATGTGCGTGAACAATGATTCCTGCGAGCCCCTCTTTGAATTTGAAGATTTGCACCTGTCGGATGTGGGTACGCGGAGGACTATAGCAACAACGGAATGAGAGGGAATATCGACGACAGAATGAAGAGATTCGACAACCCAGCGACAGAACCAACGCAGAGAACACGACCGATAACCGAACCATCCGACAGGCGCAATGCAACACTCAAAAGAGCAATGAAGCAAGAAATGGAATAGGATACTGATCTCTGCAACAGCCACGACGTTCGCAAGTCGATCGCTCGCGTTCTGACCGTCATCAACGCCAACCAGCGCGCTCAGCTCCGCTTGTTCTACAAGAACAAGAAGTACACTCCTCTTGACCTCCGCCCCAAGCTCACCCGTGCTCTCCGTCGTCGTCTCACCAAGCACGAGGCCACCCTGAAGACCGAGCGCCAGCGCAAGAAGGAGATCCACTTCCCCCAGCGCAAGTACGCTGTTAAGGTATAGCATGCCACCATCACCCACATACCCATACACCAATATCCAAAAGAAATCGAAGAATTCAACAACCCCGACCATCTCGCTAACTGCGGAATGTGTGTATAGGCTTAAACGCGTCTTATCATCTCCGGAATAAATCAGGATGGGAGTTACGGGAAGGGGGACAAAAACGTCATTTAACGATGACGGGTTGACCTAACTAGCCTTTATTTGCGTGGTGGGGTCGGTTTCCATCAAACGTTTCTTTTTTTTGTTGTCATGAAAAAAAGAAGAAGTTGATTTTGTATCTTAGAAAAACGGAAAATAAGATGCAGATCGATGTTCAATGAAGGCCTTGACATGACATGCACGAACACGTGATTTTTGATTGCTGTGTGGAGTGGGTTGGATTAGATTCGGATTTTGGTTCAGTCGTATGGATCCTTTTGGCTTATGAGTCTTGCTTTGGGAATGGATGGATGGTGTCGATTCCTGATGCGATGGTTCCTGGATGGGTTTCAGGTTGCTGCTGGGTTGGTTGCTTAAGTCTATTGATCTGGTGGATGGATCGCCGACATGCCAACTTACAGGACACAAGTATAGTACGCAGTAGAAGGTGGTATCGTAATCCGTTGATTGTAATCTCCGCTATCCAAGACCAACCTAAACGATCTAACTCATAGTCACCACTGGTATCAACTCCCATCAACGACCACCAGGGCCGAAGCAACCCCTCATTTATTCTCATTCCCGCCCGATTCCACCGTCCACATGCCCCCACAGATGCACGACCGCAAATGGCCCAGCTTGAAGATCATGCGAAAGGCCAGCACCGAGCGCGGCGGGTAGGACCCCTCGGTCACGCCGCAGCAGCGGACACAGCGCCGTCGCAGGATCCCCTGTTTCATTTTGGCGACCGGGTCCGGTGAGATCGTCATCCGGATGGGAGTTTTCTTGATGATGTCCACTTCTCGGGTCCGTCGGTACCATTCGGAGCGGCGGTCGGAGCCGAAGCCAAGCCAGCCGTAGTCGCCTAGGTAGATGGCCATGCGGTCCACGTCTGATCGGATGCCGGGGACTGTCTGGCGCAGGATGGTCGAGACGGCGGTGACGAGGACAGGGGGGATGCGGGCGTTGACGAGGAGCTCTTTCTCGGGGCCGGGGCGTTCGGCGTCCCCGAATCCGGCGCCATGGTAGGCGTGTCGAACGGCGGAATCGACCCCAGCTAGGAACTTTTCGTACACGTCGATCCGCGCTGGGCATGTATCTAGCGCTTGGCAGATCTCTGCATACTGGAGACGAGAGTCGCCTGCTAGCGGTGCGTTGTATCCGGCGTGGATGCCTCGCAGGCCTCGGCAGATGAAGCGCAAGAAAGCACGGGACATGCTTGACAAAAGGACGATGAGAGCCACCGAGTTTGTGGTTTTTACTAGCGAGTCAGGTTAGCACGGTCGGACTTCCAGCATAGGGTGTTGACACACATTTCTGGCTAAACGCTTCTTGGTCGGCAGACAGATTTTCGAATTCATCGGCCAGGTCGAAAAGCTCATTCAGGATATAGAGGGAGAAATCCAGTGCCCACTTGGTGTTTCCGAGCACCATGCGGAGGACATCTTAAGCCACGAGTTAGCGAGAATCTGTGGTCAGAGGTTTCGACTTACCAGGATCATGTGGCTCGGCCTGAATCCCTTTGTTGTACTGAAAGAAAAATGGGTATAGTATTGAAGCGTGGCGCAGCTGGAGAATCGACCAGGAGACAGCAGAAGCAAAGCTTCGTGGTCTGTACCTATCGGCAAATCCCAACGCAGCTTGTATACTGAGACACTTGGGAATATAGGGGTGGTTCATCAACTTTTCCTGCTCAACTGTGAAGTTGCAGTTGATTGGCAGCGCGCGGTAAACTTCGTTGATGAACGTTATTTGGGCATCTGATAGCGAACATTAGAATCAGCTTTAGGGGATATGAGAAGATGTGACTGACCCGGCGTAAGTTGCTGTATTAGAATTAATAGTATATCATCGGTGTTGACTTCGCTTCCACACCCGCGACAAAAAGCCAATGTGAGTGATGCAATGGCTGCAGAAAATTTGTCTAACGGTATCAGCATGCCACTTGACGGCTAGAGATAGGGAACCTACTTTCATCGTAGAGACCATTCTCAGCTCCATAGGAGTGTTCCATGACCCGGAGATGTGTCTGCCCATCACTGTCTAGCATGACCGCAGCGCATGCACTCGGTGAGAAACTGATGTGTTGACCTAGACGATATTAGCCATGCTTCCACTCATAATCTTGAGGACAACCAACCGGAGGTATCAGGGGCATAGTGGAACCCTGCTTGAGCCAGGCTGGTCACCGTGTTCGCATCATCAACCCCATTGAACACTGCCATGGCTTTCGGGTCATAAAACGACACGGAACTATCATCATACGTGACAGCAAGCACGTTGCCGTATTCCATCTGGTCCACCGAGATGACGTATCGATCGGAATAGATGTCTTCCAGTCGACGCAGTACAGGTCTAGGCTGTTCTGACAGTCAGCACGGTTTGTCAAAAAGACGCGTAGTTTTACCTTTGTCTGGATGCTGTTCCTTTTCGATGTGATTTCATCGAACTTCGGGTGCAGAGTAAAGGCAGCGGTGTCCAATTGCCATCGGACAATAATACTCGCGGGTCCTTGTTGGGCCGGGTGATCTGGAGTAGCCTGAGGTGTGGATGAGAAAATGGCAACAATCCACGGGTTTGCTGTGGATCCGACAGCGTTGTCGGAGGCTGGAAGAATAATTTCCAGGCGGCTAAGACTATACAAAGGGTTCGACACTGCTTGCAGGTCGTCCGATATCGTGCCCGGGACAGTACAAGACGTCTCGACCTTGGAATGTGTGAATCGGAAGCTGGGAACCGGGAACTGGTTCTGCATCTGCTTTGGCTGCTGCGCCGGGTCCCATTGAGGGGGATTCCAGTTGATTTGCACCCGGTAGAAGCGAATCTTCTGACACACCGAATAAGTCGCAACGAGGATGCCGTTCTGAGTCGCAACGAGAGCCGCATGCGACAGCAACCGATCTGAGTAGCTTGTGTTTTTCAAATCGGTGGATATGTCGTCCCATCTGCCATCCGGGTTCTGATACAGAAGCCTCATGGACCCGGAACGGGTGATGCAGAGTAAGGCTGCTTTGTTTGCCGGGTGAAAAGGGCCTATTGGCCGGCGGCGAAAGGGCGAGTAGGCCCAGCGACCCTGTACTTTGGCGGCTTGGTAGAAAGCATGCACCTGACGCGTTCAGCATCGGACCAAGGGTATTCAGCAAGGCTTACTTACTGAGCGTTGGGTGTTGAGCCACATCATGCCAACAATTTGAGCCCCATCGTCGGAGGCAAACGCGTGCTGTCGCAGCCCGTTACCACTGTTGAGGGCGAACGGAATGTGGTAGATGGAGATGCGACCGGACAGATCAACCACGGCCAGGTCAGAGCCCGCTTCGTTCCAACTCAGATGGGCGAGACCATGTCCACCCTGCGATTCTGTGGCAGACATCAATGGGGTCTCATCACTGAGTACCCACTTGCCATCGGAAGGGCGACATTGCAGATGGCGCACATTCACTCTCATGGAGTCTTGCGATATGTAAGCAATACACCCCAGCTTGGACCATGCGATCTTCCTGAGATCCAATTAGTATGCCGAGCTAGTATAGCTTGCCAAACACGATCGGTAACAATCACTCACTGGCAGCACCCCAGCAGGCGCATTTCATCCAGACGCTGCGCAAGGCCTTTGGTGGTGGTGGCAGCAGCTGGTGGCAGGCCCAGCTCCAACGAGGTGGGCTCACCGAACAGATCGTCAACATTGATACTATCGTCCATCATTAAGGGCATGTTGGGGCGGAAGGGATTTGATTATATGGAAGTAGATAGTGTCGGGGGCAAGCGGTCGCAAGACTCAGATATCATCATAGTTCGGTACAATGCACCCCGGAAGGCAATTGCAGGGGAAGGGAGGGGGCTAGCTGTAGAGAGGCACCCAAAGATATCCAAAAGCCTCAGTTCCTGGCAGACAGAACCCTCATAGCTTTCAAACCCCAGAACCAAACGCTACCCTTGGCCGGGAGGATGATCATGGACTAAGTTGATTCCCAAGATGATAGTTTCATTATTCGGGACTAGTGGTCAGGTGGAGCTCTCCGCGCTCTTAGTCAGCGTCATGTGAGGTCATGTGCTGCCGTCCCCGGGACAACCAATCACACCGCCCCACCCGATACCAAGGACATCAGCCGTCATCGGAGGGCACTACTAGTCTCCGTGGAATGAGCTATATCTGGGATCAGGCTCTACATTAATGCAGTAATGCCTCATATAGGACGACATATCCCGATTGTATTTACAAGAAGGTGATGGAGGGGAGTGTTGGAGTTGTTAGGATTTGTATGGTCCTTCATATTCACGGACACAAGGAAAAATTGATGCTTGCACGCATATGGAATCTAACTTATCTCCAGCCGTCCAGATTGAGGTTGGTGCTCAAGCAAGTGCTTATGTGTACGGAGTAACTACTCCGTATCCTTCACCTGATGTCGAGATGAGGAACTAAAACGTCTAGAGCGGGGCTCAACCCGCCTCATTTGCCCGCGGATTGCATCCAATCTGCTTGCACGGATTGCAGCTTGGAACACCAAACGGCTCATCGCACGCTCCTCCGAGCCAGGTACTGTTTCCCGGCAATGCACTGGACACCAGCAACCCTATTCGTGTCTGGTGGGAGCACAACGCGGCAGATGATACTGGAAGACATCGAGTACTCAACTCGTCCGTAGAACTGTCTCGCATACGACGATCCCTCTTCCAACAAGAACATCAACATATGATGTTGGAAGTCCTCGACAGTAAGCAGCTGTACGGCGAACAAGTGCGGGGAACGAGAACCGTGGAAGAACCGGCTCCTGGAGGACCGGGTCATGCCAGTCCTTGCCAGAACTCCGTGCTCTCCGTCATTCTTCCAGATGTTTGGCCGATCCAACGCTGGTATTCAATGTACCGTGCTTTGTCCGATCGCAGAGACAAGCGCGACTGTCAACAGGACTGTCGACGCAGCGATCAATCTAGGACGCATTCCATCCTTGTATTACCGGTAGGGCATCAGCGAAAGTCTCGCCCCGCAAGGAGATGGCATGCGTACCCTGGGATCCTGGACTGACGACATGATCACTAGGCGGCTGTGGCCGGTCGCTACTAGATCATCAGGTTAGATGCTACGAACCACGATTCCTTGGGCGCATAATGAGCATAAAGGTCACCCTGTGAGAGAGGGGCTCCTCTCTACTGCCAGGGAGTTATTCTGCTGAATATAAGCAAAGCTCCTGGCGCCATTAATCGTGCCGTAGATCGCAGCGTGGCGGAACAAATTCGGGGGACCATCGGAGGCCGTCTGATGGAATGGTGGAGACTGCGATATCCGATATGATTATCGGCAGTCTAGAATACTAGGCAATTCAAGCAGTACCTCTCACAGGTGAAGAGAGCCAATCCAGCAAAGTCAGCGAGGAGGTAGTGAAATCACGACCGAATTCTCTCCTCCGCGAGAATGAATGTGATGATTGCCTCGCACGGGCAAGTATATGTTTGGGCTGTGGTTGGCCGGAGAAGTGGGAGATGCTTCCACGGCCAATAAGAGGCGGCTTCTAGTCCGAAGCCCCTTTAGCGCCGTACGGGCCCGGTAACGCGGTGCTGCCAACACACTTGCCTTTGCGCCAGTTTGTGGACAGGGCCAGCCCCCACCGGACCTATCCATACGCGGCCAATACCAAAATTTCGCAGTGTTCCCCATCGAGGGAGTATCATCCAGAGCGCAGGTATCATCCAGCCCATCGTCACCTTCATCAACAGCGCGATCAACTTACAGACAGCCTGCTCTGCTTCCCTTGAACCCCTCTTCACAGACACATTCCTGGGAGCATACCACCCGGTTGCCCGAGTCCAACATCGCACTCGTCAGGACCTCAACCCCAGACCCCTCTCCGCTCTCTTTGATGCAAAGCCCTCATCGTTTCTTCCCGAGCGATTCCCGTGGGTCAAAATAAACACACTGCAAGCGAGGATCTGACCGGACTGCTGCAACCTCCCAAGCAGTCCGTCGTAGTGTTGGTCGGTTCTCTGGTCATTTTCTCGCATGATTCTTTGGTTTCCCACTTGACCTCACCACTTCGCTGCCCTTCACCCCAGCCCAGTCACGGGGCTGATCCTCTGTCCTCCTCGTCCGCGCCGCCATTATTGATTGTCTTCTCTTTCTTTCCCCCAACTCCCTCCTTTCTGCCTGCTCCCCAAGTCAGGGAGAGAGAGAAAAAACGACGAACCTCTAGGGAAACAAAGAAGTCTGATCGGGCCATCCCCCTTGCCGTCAATCCCACTTGTCAATTGATGTTTCCGTCCTCTTTCCGGTTCTCCATGGTTTTCTTTCGGGACGATATCTAGCTTTGATCCCCCAACATTCCGCGAACAGCTCCTCTTGAGTCTTTTTTCCTCCCCCCCCCCCAATTCAATTTTCTCGGGTTTCCCTCTTCGCTCCTCGTCGTGTGCGTCGTCATTGCGACGGCCTGACTTAAATGGCGCCCCCTCGTTCGACCACCACGACAACCACGACCAGCTCGTCCTGCTCGTCTCCCAACAGCCTGCTGGCCACGCTGGGCATGGACGATGATTCGGATTGTTCCAGCCTAAGTTCAGCGCCAGCATCACCGCTGGCACCGCCAGGGTTCTATCCGTCGCCGCCTCCGTCGCAGGACGCGGATGAGCCCTGCGCCGCCCGGAGCCAAGACGACTTGCCGCCCGCCAGGAAGAAGCGTCGGGTCGCCGCCCCAAAGGAACGCCGAACCCAGCATCTCGACCTCTCGGCCTCCGCCGGTCACTCCTACGCCCAACAGCAATCGCAAATCGATTATCTCGTCAAGACCCTTACCCGCCATCGCAAAATTGTCGTCATCGCCGGTGCGGGTATCTCCACCTCCGCAGGAAGTATGCTTTCCATCCCCACTCCTGAGCCACATTCAACGTCGGACCTAATTCCTTGCCCTCGTTTGCTTTTCTAATCCGTCATAGTTCCCGATTTCCGCTCCACCGATGGTCTCTTCAAAACTTTGCAGAAGAAGCACAACCTGAAAGCATCGGGCAAGTTGCTGTTCGATGCCGCCGTCTACCAAGATGAGACGTTGACCGCCTCCTTCCAAGATATGGTACGGTCGCTGTCCGAGGAGGCAGCCAAGACCTCTCCCACAGCTTTCCACCACATGCTGGCTCGCCTTGGCCAGGAGAACCGCCTCACCCGACTCTACACCCAGAATATCGATGGCATTGAGACCTCCATGCCGCCGTTGGCTACGCAGATACCCTTGAACGTCAAAGCGCCCTGGCCACGTACCATTCAACTGCATGGAAGTCTCGACAAGATGGTCTGCCAAAAGTGTCGTCATCTGAGTGACTTTGATCGGGCCCTGTTTGATCGTCCTGATGCCCCGGAATGTCCAGAATGCTCGCGGAACAATCAATTTCGCATCGAGACCGGTCAGCGTAGCCACGGCATCGGGAAGATGAGGCCGCGGATCGTCCTCTACAACGAACACAACCCCGACGAGGAGGCCATCACGTCCGTCATGAATGCGGACATCCGCTCCCGACCGGATGCCTTGATCGTGGTCGGCACGAGCTTGAAGATTCCCGGTGTGCGTCGTCTGGTGAAGAGCCTCTGCTCCGTCATCCGCAGCCGTCGCAACGGCGTGACCATGTGGATCAACAACGAGTACCCCGTCGGCAAAGAATTCGAAGACTGCTGGGATTTGATGGTCAAGGGCGATTGTGAAGAGGTTGCGCGACTGGCCAATCTGAAGCGGTGGGATGCGAAGGACGACGTGTTCGACGAGTGCAATTCTTCGGAGGTGGAGCGGGTGAAGAGAGAGCAAGGCGAGGTGTCGGTGGTGGTCACGCCCACCAAGAAGCGACCCACCCCGACCGGATTCCTTACTCCTTCTTCCAGCTATGATGAAGCCCTGCCCTTGCCGAAGAGAAGCTGTTCCAACCCGGCCAGTCGCGGACGGAGCCTTCAAGACGTTCTTCAGGCTTCCAAAACGGCCCGTCCCAAGAAGGCAGCTCCGAAGAAGAGTGCGCCGAGAGGGCGGGCCAAGAAGGCCGAACCTGCGAAGAATACCAAGATTAACAGCTTTGGACGAGTCACCAAGGCCCAGAAAGCAGCCGCAAGTGACAAATCCTCCAAGCTGGACAAGGATGATACGAAACCCATGCATCCGCTGGCTCCGGGCGCAGCTCGCAACAACGGGCCGAATGTGATTCCCAACGCGACGGGCAAGGGATCCACGCCTCCTCGAGTCGGCCACTGGGGACGGGATGATACGATTTCGCCGGGCTCGATTCCACGAGGGATGAACCGCTTGCTGAATGAGCCGACCGCATGACTGGGCTCGGGTCTGCGGCGGTGTCTCTCAGCCCCGTCCGCCTTTTTTCTTTTCTTTCTCTTTTACTACCATACCTTTAAGACCTTCCTGGGGAATCTTTTCGACTACGGTTAATGGCGATACCAATGATAGACTATCTGGGGCGTTGGCGTTTGTGGAATGAGTCAGATGAATCTCACCATCTGGGCTTGAGATCATCTGGACCTCATAGATTCGGGGCAGGAACTGCACCACTGATTGTACAACATGGGCAGCTCTGGGGCGTTGGTGGGAGTTATGGTTTTGTGATCGTGGGGCATTAATCAATGGTGACTGAAGCGAAGTTGGGTATCAACACATTGTACATTGGATATGATCAGAGTGATAGTCATGCAACATCGTTGCCAGCATACTATACCATCCTTAATACATTCTAACCCAGTCCTAAGTCCCCTCGCAGCTGACTCCCGGGACCATCCTCATCCTCACTATCGGATTCATCTCCTTCCACATCGGGATTCATCAGACGATTAGCTCGGACATCACGATCCAGATCCTCCACCCGATCAATATCATTCTCCTCCTTATGCTCCTCTTCCTCTTCCTCTTCCTCCTCCTCCTCCTCTTCTTCCTCTTCATCCTCCTCCGTCTCATGCTCGGGTACTTCCTGCTCCTCCTGCGTCTCATCCCCATCCCCCTCCTCCAGCTTCTCTTCCCCTTCGACCCCCCTCTTCACCCTCTTCGCCCCCCGATCCTTCTCTTCCTCCTCTTCCTCCTCACCAACCTTCCCCATCTCCTCCTCCCCCTTCTTCGCCCGTCTCTTCCCAGCCTTCAACTCCGTAAACGCATCCAACTCCTTCTCCAACCGCGCCTGGAATCCATCAAACTCGAGCTCCGAAATCGCATTGAAGACGTCGGTCGGTGCCACTGTGCGTTTTAGGGTTGCTTCGTTGGCGCTGCATGCCACGATTGGAATTAGCATCTCTCCAACTAGCATAATAACGTAGTAAATTGATGGTGATGGATATATCCAATTCACCAGTACCAAACACACACACAGTATAACAAGAAGAGAAAAGAAGGAGGATGGAAGTTGGG